AACTTAATCGACTTCTTAAGTCTATTAGTTTGGTCATCTTTGCATTACTACAAACTACAACCAGCCTCGCATTAAGGTGGGTGGCGTGACCTTTCCCAAACATCTTATTGGACGCTAGTTAGGAATCTCGACTAACAACCCTTTTGTGTGTGAAATTCGTTATGCAGCTTCAAAGTTGCATGCCTGGTGGTTTAACTGCATTTAAAGTGGTTTGTAAGAATGGGATCCCCTTAGTTTACAATATTTTAACAACTACTGAAGGTCATTTACGGTCAACGTACAGAAAATTATATAAACTAACTACCCAGATTCTGGCTAGCATCCATAAATGTGGTATGTGCCTTCCAACATTAAAGTGCGATTTACCACAATAAGTGCAAAGCTGCGTGCTTCCACCCATCATTGGTGTTAAATCATTGGAAATAGTGAATTCCATGCTGCTGTGTAGTTTTATAAGTATGTGTGTAAGACGGGTTCAGCCTGCTTGTAGTTGATAGGAGTTATTGTGATCTAGGCCATCTCTAGCCAGAAATTTCGTTGTAGAATGCTGTAGTGATTGCAGTTACAAACGATTAACATCTATTATCATTTCACGACTTGCCAGTGTGGATGCTGGAGATCATTAAACTTAATGCTTCAAGGTTTTATTAGTTTTAGTTCACACGCAGAACCAGCGGTGATCTTGGTCTAGTTCTTCATAAACACTTTGATGTCTCTCTGCTTAATGGGAGTCTACCTTGGTTGTGTCATTACTTAGACTATTTTTTGACTTCTCTTAAATATTTTTAATTAATGGTTTCTATTTCTTCACACATTATTTACTTGGTTTTGTATGGCATGTTTATTAGCATCTTATTTTACTGAGTGTTAACTGGCAGAGTGATCCAAAAATAAAGAAGAAACCTCTGCGGAGTGCAGAGTGTAAGGTGCATTTGTCCGGGCCCGTTTATTCGTAACCTTTTAATAGAAGGTAATTAGGAATATCCCCATCTATTGTTTTTACAACCTAACGCATGACATAAAAATGTCCACACTTTATAATCAGTCAGTCATTCAGTAACAACGTGGAACTTCGTACGTACGTACATCAGTTCGAGTTGCCATATCACATTAGCACAGAGATTCAGTTATCGTTTCAAATCCCATAGTGGTAGAGGTACTGAAAGTATAAGTAGAGATAGGGGACATGAAGGTTTGTTGATGTTATTAAAGGAGTATAGTCCAGTGGAATAAATTGGGAAAGAAAATAAAGGACATAAAGAATTCAGAAGATTAGAGTTTGAGAGAATACAAAAAGTGGATGCACCTGCGCCATTGCAAACGATTTTGAGCCATGTCATTCAAGGTCTCTAACCATCGGTTGCTATCGTCTCGCGGTCCCCAACCAGATAGTCTACACCTACCAACATGACTCAGTCCACTTGTCAGTGACTTCATGGATTTGTGCCATGTTTTGGTCTGACCGCCCCTAACTTTCTTCCAACCTACTCCTACACCATAAAACATAGCACGTCGGGGCATTCGGTGGTCGGGCATGCGCAGCACATGTCCCAGTCATCTCAACTGATTAAGTTTCACTACTTCCTCAATTGATTTGCCATCCTTACCTAGTACCCGTTTCATAACAACTGCATTACTTACTCGGTGGTCTCAGGATATACGAGCAATGTTTCGAAGACACCTATGATCAAATACTAGTAACCTACGAATATCCTCTACTCTTACCGGCCATGTTTCACTGCTATAAAGTAGGACGGAACGAACTGCTGCGCACTAAACACTTCCCTTGGTTACTAGACGGATATCTCGCCTACGCCACAAATGACGCAAGTTGGCAAAAGCTAGTCGAGCCTTCTGTATCCGTGCTGAGATTTCGTCACACACCAAACCACAAGGGCTGATGAGACTTCCAAGATAAGTGGAGCGGTCGACACGCTCAACTACTTCACTCCCTATCACTAGTTCGGGTGTCGACGCAACCCAATCCTGAAGCAACATTTTGCATTTCGAGAGAGAAAATCGCATGCCGAACATGCTTGCATTGTTGCTTAGAGTGGTCAGCAGACTCTGCATTCTGTCAGCATCTCCACTAAATAGAACTATGTCATCGGCATATTCTAAGTCAACAAGTGGATCTCCCGGTAGTTCAACTCCTGGAAATTTAGATGAGGAAAGTGTCATCTCTAAAAGGACGTCAACGACAAAGTTAAACAAGAATGGAGAGGGTGGACAGCCCTGACGAACACCACTTGAGGTAATCAATTCTGATGACAGTTCACCATATGCTCTCACTCGACCAGTTGTGTTCGAGTAGAGAGCCTTTATTAGGTTGATTTACTTTTTTGGTACTCCCTTCAGTGACAAACACTGCCATAGAACTTCACGATCAACAGAGTCAAATGCCGCCTTAAGGTCTAGAAATACTACCATTGTGGGGCGTTACTTTGACATGGTGCGGTCAAATGAATGACACTACTTGGATCCTGTGTGCGCGTTTCGGAGACGCAGCACACATCGATGGAGCGAGATTCTTAAGTCTTAGCTAAGGAAGCCTGTTGTACTATTTGGCACAGTGTTCGGACGTTGAAAGCTCCTACGTGTAGTTTGGAGCGTGGTTTCAGGAGACCAGGAATAACATTCCGCGTACTCGAATCGTTCGCACTAGCGGGGCGAGGTGATAAAGGAACGTAAGAAGGGTTAGTCGTGGAAATAAGAGAGTTATTAGGAGGTGTAGGAAGGATTTGAATGTGACCAACTTGGTCTCGTGTGCTGTTACGGGTATGAGGGCTGATATCACTTCCCGGTTGCCCACACTGTGGAAGGGTATTTCTTGAGGAACCTGAAAAGGAAGTCGGATTAGTGTTGGTCTTAGCGACCTGAGTGCGTGACCGCAGAGCCCAAAGGATAACTGCTTGAGGCCGGTCGCGCACGACCTTATTGTGGGAGGTTTTTAATGTGTTAGCTCCGTTCTTCAAAGGGCCTTACCGCCGGAGACGGAAATCCGTGGGGTAAGGTGAGATGTGACATTTTTAGGGTCAACTTGTTCTAACCCCTTTCCTTCCTTATGAGAAGACAGCATCGCTGCAGATGCTGGTTTTCCGAGGGAAACACCTTACTGCTGTCACACCTCTGTACAGTCAGCAGTACGACTTCGCCCTCAGACCTCGAGTTGCTGCTTTTAGTCTTACCGTTCGCCAATCGACCTGCCTGGCATGGTAGAACCTGCAGGAACATGTGTTCCAGCCAATATAGCTCGGTTGGGTCATCACGATAGGCAAGCCCGACCACCACGTCAAGGTAGCAGCTACATGAGGTATAAATATATTTGAGCTATATTACCGAAGTTTTGTATTAATCAATATGTTTCTTTTACATATCACTCGTAAGAAATATATATTGCTTTGACAGACAGGCAATGGAAAAAATGATTAGTCAGCAATGTAAAATGCAAGAGATAAAGCTATTGGGGCCTAAACTCGTATTTCTATATTTGACTGTCGAGTTAGGAAATTATTAAACCACAGTGTAGTGACATAGTGATTACAGTAATTAAATATCAACCGGTAATTCACAGTTTCGAACCCTGCTATCTTGATGTAGGTTGCATACTTAACCTTCACACAGTACGGCTTTAAGTTAAATACAGAAACTTGTACTTGAAAAGTGCGATACAAACTTCGATTTCACAATTTTCTTTCATATCGGTATTGAGAAAATGAGTAAATTTTTTTATTTACCAACTATTTAGTTACCAGGATGAAAACTTATGGTATCTCTTGTTGCTGGTTTTCTTGCATATATATATATATATATATATATATATTAGACAGGGTTTTCCCCTTTAATACGTATCGGTTCAGGTTGTCACACCTTAGTGTGTCATTAGGAAGATTAGTATGATATAACGTAAATGACACAAGTGAGAAGAGAACAAAGATTGAAGATTATACCATTAAGGAGCAATTTTGATCCATGTGGCCTAATATGTTCAACCAAAGAATAGGATATATATACTGTATTTTTCAAATATTCTATTTTTTTCGGCGTTGAAGTAGAAAACAGTTTAAAGTTGGGGTGGCTCGAAATAAATAAATCCTAAATTGTTTCGTATGTTTTATAAAGGAATAGAGAATATAATTAATTATCACAATCGTGGAAAATAAACATTTTATATCTATGATCCAAATCTGTTAAGTTCATCTTTCGTAAACAAGGCGTAATGTTGTGTGTTAAAGGAAGTTATAAAATGTTAAGAGTCCGGTCTAAGTTACAAATTAATGTTATGCATATTTGTAGAGTAAATAAAAAACCCAAATATATTAAACGAAAACAATGAAGTAATCCTATGTAAAGTTATTCAGTCTAAATTCAGAATTCCGATTGCTAACTACTCTTGTTAGGTCCTGCATGATGTTCTTCAAATGCCCTGGTACAGCCGAGAGTGGGGAGAGTCAGCTCATCCTCTCGAAATGCTCTCACATAACCACTTGCATACAACCACTTCCAGGGAAGTCCTACTCACTTGTACCAATATCTATGTGTTCAAATGAATAAATAAATAAAATAATAATAAAAATCTGCATGATGAGCCATTCTGATCCGCCTATTTCTTACATAGAGCGTTTTGTAAACTTAACGGACTTATGAACTATGGACCATACGGGAGTATATACAAGAAAATATTTTTCCGTTTCTTGGGGTGTTTGATCCGTCAGTGTTTTACAATCTGAAGTTAGGTCTGACCTATAATAATAGTATGACATCGCAAATAATAGTAATTATCCCTACCAAACCTTGATTACTGTCTTTTATGAAAGTATTTTTACGTGCTTTCATTATCATTAAAAGAAAATCTATCTACCTATCTATCTAATATATATATATATATATATATATATATATATATATATATATATATATATATATATATATATATATATATATATATATATATATGGAACGTTTTAATTACCCACATGATTATTAATTTGCTGTATTCTAGGTGCATCTACAATGAATGGTGATGATAGTTCAGTTAATGATCTGGAAGGTTGTTGTAGATATAGTACAAGCAAAGCTGGTATGGAAGGTTTAGATAAAGCCACAATTATGAATATTATATTGGAGAATTCGAAAGGTGAATTTTGTTGAATATATATATATATATATATATATATATATATATATGTATATATATATATATATATATATATATATATATATATATATATATATATATATATATATAATTATACAGCCTGACAGTCCCTAGTCAGAGTGTGAGATTTGAACATATTGGTTGAAGGTTGAATGCTTTAATCACTAAGCTGTTTTTTCATCTGGATAAAATATTGATGAAAATACTCGTTGACATATTCAGTGGTCTGCCAATTCATGAAATAAATGATGTATAGATATTCTGCAGTAACTTATTGTAAGATGATATAGACGTACGAAATAGTGTTGAGATCCGATGATATATAACAACTTCATCGTGAAAAAAATGCGTTTTTGATGTTGGCATATTCAGTTCTTTAATTTTTTGGATTTTTTGTCTTATTCCACTTTGAAATTATTAGTTGTATACCTGTGACCAAATCATACATATAAGTAACAGGTTTAAAATAAGAGGAAATGTACATACTTCATCTTTAAGGTACTTCAAAATACCATTCACATATTATTAATAAGTAATATCATATTATTCATAAAAATTCCATAGGATGTCAAAGGATGTCTAATTCGGCTATATAGATCAATGAATAATTAATCTAAAGTTTCTTGTAAATATGCTTATGGGTTCGTTCTTTTGTATTTAATGTAATTCAGTATATTTATAGCCTAGCTTACGAAAGTACTGATAACACAATTGGAGATCATTTACAACCCTATGTCATTTCAAGCTGCCTTCCAAAACGTAGATTCATTTCACCTAGTGAATTTACATAGTAATATCTTGCGAACTACAGTGTTGAACTCTTCATATGATTGGTGTCTTCGATTAGTGACGTCATTAATTGGTGTTTTGATTTGTTGTGTAACATGGTCTATTGAGTCAAGAAGTAAGCTTCCATTCATTAGAATAGGGGTTCAAGCGCCACTCTGTCTATCGTCGGAAATAATAGGATTATTTGTTTAACACAGGTCTCTGTAACCCTAGGTAATTCAGTATCATAATACCATTAGTTAGGTCGCTCTTGTCAATAACCTTGCCATTATTAAATGGTCCTATTGGACCAAAATAATGCTTCAGTCATTCAGCAACAACGTAGAACTTCGTACGTACGTACATTATTTCAAGTTGCCATATCACATTAGCACAAAGATACAGTTGTTGATTCAAATCTCATAGTGGTAGAGGTAAAAGTATAAGCAGTAATCGGGAAGATTAGGGTTTGAAGATGTTATTCAAGGATTGTAATCCAGTGAAGTAAATTTGGAAATAGATAAAAAGGGACATGAAGAATTCAGAAGATTAGAATTTGAGAGAATACAAAAAGTGGATGCACCTGCACCATTGTAAACGATTTTAAGCCATGTCATTCAGGGTCTCTAACCATCGGTTGCTATCATCTCGCGGTCCCCAACCAGGTAGTATACACTTACCAACATGACTCTGTTCACTTGTCAGTGACTTCATGGACTTATACCACCTTTTGGTCTGGCGGCCCCTAGCTTTCTTCCAACCTACTCCTACACCATAAAACATCGCATGTCGAGGCAGTCGGTGGTTGGGCATATGTAACACATGTCCCAACCATCTCGGCTAATGAAGTCTCACTACTTCATCAATTGATTTTCTATCCTCACCTAGAACTCGTTTCCTAACAACCAAATTATTTACTCGGTGGTCCCAGGATATACGAGCAATGCTTCAAAGACAACTATAATGCTTCAAAACTCCAGTAACTGTTATCTGTATTTTTAATATATCTTTCCTATTCAAGAGATGTTTTGCGACTGTATTACAGCACAGGAAGTAGTCTTGTACAATATACTTCGCTTATAATACAGATCCGGATATATTTTAGGTGTCATGGTTATATCAAGCTTTCGAATAACTGTAAAGAACTTTTTTTGAACTCACGTTCATCAATACAAAAGAATTAGTTTTACTAACAAAATTTTAATTATTTAAGGGTCAAAGTTTTATGAAAATGAACTGAGGCGAGAAAAAGCTCTTCGTCAACAAATTGAACAAAAGCTTAAAGTTATAAAATCACTTACACCGGCGATGTTAAAAAGTGGGGAATTAGAAGTGAGTACATTTTCTCCTCTTTTTCTCATTGTCTCTTATTATCAATTAATTATTTCATATGGAATTACGAAGTTAATTTAGTCAGGTTGTAAAGATACCCAAGTTCGTTAATTGGAGATGCATCTTAAATTCTTCGAAGTTGACACTTCCTTATCCAATATTTTCCAGTACTTTCCTCTTGTTAATCACTAACACTTCTTTCGATTGCTTCCTTTTTTTATTACAGAGCTTTTATCTTGTCTACATAGTTAAGTAATTTAATTATTCCGTACGACCTAGAACAAGAGTTTGTCTCTAGTAGTATAACCTTTTGTCCAAGTTCTCAAATTAACAAAGTATACATTCATCTGGATGAGAAATGTTTCGTTATTGTAGTTTTGTTATTAATACTTTTACCCGGCATCTTGGTCCTTATTTTAAAGTTAATGATAATAATATTATTTTATTAGCTTCAATTGACTCATGATCTAAACTCTTCAATATTATATGTTTAGCATAATATGGAATTCTCAGAGTACAAGTCTCTTGGATATGTATAACATATTCATTAGAAAAAGAGATACTCAATTGTACTAATCATTAATCTTTTATAATCAGTGTAGGGTTTTGTGGAGATTGTATTAATTTAATAATTGAATTCATGAGTCAATTGAAGCTAGACCACCATAGAAAACCTGGAAGCACTGGACGGTCGTTTAATCCTAGTTTGGGACTCCTCATCAGTGCATATCCACGATCCCGTCCCGCTTTTGAAATATTGAGCAACTTACTCAAATTAAAAACTTTTTTTCAATACTTTACTGGCGTTTTGATTAAAAGTCAGAAATTAAATATCGATCATCATGTATTCATAAATTTCTCAAATATTTCAAGCTTTGAAACTGCATGGATATAATAATTGATTATTGTTTATTTCACTTTCGAATGATGTACATTGTATTCCTGATTGCACGACTTCCTAACAGTTATATCAGTCAGATTATAATTTGCGGACGACGTTTGAGCGACGATTAAGTGACCTTCAGAATGTGACCTACTAACTAGGACCGAATGAGGTTTGTAAACCAGTGTAAGGAATTAGAATTATGATATAAAGTTGATGGTGAGTGTTAAGATTTAGATTTAATGTTTTCATCTCGAACTGACATCAGCTAAAATGCCAAAACGCTGTTAAGCTAAACGGTTGAATGAATTTCGTTCCGAAATCCAAGACTTGTTATCCTAAATCTGATTGGTTCGTCCATAAATTATAGTCTCACCGTTATACCTTGTAAAATTTTAGATGTTCCCCACTGATTCAGCTTTTGATCTAATTTGTTTTATTTTGCAAATTATTTATTCGTATTAAATTTGGTTGTTCTATCAACTGATTTTTCTTGCATCCTAGGCAGATCACATACTGAAAGATTTAAGACAGAAACGACGTTTTTCTCGATTCATTGTACATGTGGACATGGATGCATTTTATGCAGCTGTTGAAATACGTGATCAACCCGAACTTAGACATCATCCAGTTGCTGTCGGTAGTAACAGTATGCTAGTAGGTTTTAGAAAAGATTATTTATCTTATACTGCATAGTAAACTAAACAAATACCTAGTTTATTAGTAACAAAAGTAATAAAGAATTTATTATTTTATTTATTTATTTAAACACATGAACATTGATACAAAGAGGCACCAAACAGATATGCGCCACATAAATCATTCGGTTTATGTGAGGGCTAGGATACTGCCCGGGTGCGCAAACCGAAGCACGTGGTTGACCTATAGGTCTGACCCACAAGGCAATCGAGCATCGTAAGGAGATGCAGTCCCATCGTAGCCGGTGACCAACAATAGCTTCACACGCCATTTGTTCCCTCAGGATACTGGATCCCATGTGCACCATTAGTTTGGAATCAGGGTTTTCCAACTCCCCTAGATGGATTCTCCGTGTCCATCGACCCGGTCAAAGCGCCGGACATTCTCTTTTCGTCTTTTCAATTTCGTAAGCAAAACCCCTGCTGCCGAGAAGGCAGTGAATAGGACTTTCCTGGAAGTGGTTGTATGCAAGTGGCCGTGTGAGAGCATTTCGAGAGGATGAGCTGACTCTCCCCACTCTCGGCTGTACCAGGGCATTTGGGGGCAATAAGTGAAATGGAGATCGCACTGACCACTTACTGTACACTCCTATGCAGATCCATTTTTGTCTGAACTGATTTAAGGTTAATGTGACACTGTTAATACTATTGATTGTGTTATACTTATTCTCTGATAATTAGCTATTCATTTTATTTATAGATTTATCTCTTCTATATATGATTGTCTGTGCCTATATTTGTTGTCATATCCATTGTTTATTTTGCTATAAAAAATAAGTTATAACATTTAATGATTTGAATGTCAAGTTATCGATAAGTTCTGTGTATTTATCTGCTCGTGTACTAAACAACCTGGAATCTGTTCAGTTCAGTTGCCAGTTTAACGACACATTTGTGCATGCGGATCAGTTTACACATCCAAGTTACCCTTCTGCATACTGAAAGCAAGAATGTCATATCTACTTCACTGGTGGTAACCGTTCACAGCAATATCAGAGATGTAACTTAGGAATCATACTCTTTCTAGTTATAAATTATGTTCTCGATATTTATTCAGTGTTCAGTTGTGAACTGATGTAGCACCCACAATTTTCCATCCTATAAAGATCATCTTTCTGATAAATACGCATCATATATTACCAACCACTTATCCCCATAGTCTACAGGTCTTGGCTATTGTAATAACTTATAATCATCCGTTTTTAAATATCTGGCTACTAAATAATTGCCAACTCACATATATACTTACTACCATGAATACACTGTATATCAATAAATCCTCTTGAATATTGTTTAATAACTGCAACTTATATGCACATATGCTGCTTTGTGTATCTGAACATTGGGTTTAAGGCTGCTATTTCATGAATACACCCACGTTCGTCACATTACAGCCAACGTTTTCGATCTGAAATCCGAGGTTTAGTCGATATGGTCCGTAGTGCACATCGTTTTCTAAACACAATTCATATATTTCAGTAGCTATCATCAAGTCTTGTTGCAGTTGCGCTGTTAATGAGATCGAGCGAATATCTCATCAACCATACAAGCCAAAGTAGTGAGTTCAGATTTTTTCTCTCCACTGTTACACTCGTTTCTTTCCAGTATCCTGTTAATACATATACAACGATTAAAAAATACCCTGACCTTTTGCTTTAAACGAATAACAGTTCAATTACGAGGATTATTTATCAATTCATTTGTCATTTAATCACCTGAATTCTATTCTAACTGCAAACATTTTGAGTTATTTATGTGGAAAGCCATAAGTCACTTACCAGTATTGCTTATTTTATCGACTCAGTACAATATATTATTTATCCCTTCACATTTGTCACCGCCAGAGATTTGTTTATTCTTCCCTTCCTATTTTCTGAAGGTTGTCAAACTATCATTTATGTATGTAATTAGCGTCACATCAAGTGTTGCTATTCGTTTTAAGTATTCAAATTTGCTAACACTATCATTATATATATAATATTCAATACTTGATTACATTATGCAACACCACTTCATTTTCATTGAATTTCACAATTAACCGATCACTAGATAGTGACCAATATCATGTATGACAATTCTTTCTTAGTGCTAATGGAATCCTATCGATCAATTTGCAATGTGGCTTATGCCACGGCCCGGATGGATCAGTGATAATGTTTCTGGTTGTAAAACTGTTTTATGGGATCGAATTTGCCAGGGAGCAGCAGTAAACCTTGTTGACGAGTCTCAAATAGCACGAAACGCAGGTCTAGGGTTTCTTGTCAACTATCTCCATCACAATTTTATATCTCATTAACTTTCACTTGAATAAGTTGGTCTTTGATAACTTGGTTAAAGTCCTCGATTTTACCATAAACTAGTACATGTAAGAGTTACCAATAAATATGATTGTACAACTTCGGAAAATGATATCATCGAGAAGAAACTTTTCTTCTCTGAAACGTCTTAATTATTTTCAAGTGATATAAAATAAGTCTACAGTAAAAATTATTTTTCATTATGTTTTGCTTTAGTCTACAAGCAATTATATCGCTCGGCGATTTGGTGTACGTGCTGGTTTACCTGGATTTTTAGGCAAAAAACTTTGTCCTCAATTGAAAATTATACCATGTGATTTTGTAAAGTATACTGCAGCTAGTCGTGTAGTACGATCTATTTTAATGGAATACACTGTTTCTGCTGGGAGTGCACGAAATTCCTGTGAGTCAGATAATATTCCATTTTCGGCGGTCAGTTTAGATGAAGCGTATCTAGATATAACAGATCATTTGGTAGACCGTTGTGATTTTCCTGTTGAACGACGTACATTTTGGCCTAGACCAGCACCTGGAGCACCTATGCTGGTTTGTCGGTAATTTTTTAAATTTAGTGTTTATAATTTTACATATCGTGTGTATTTATTTATAAATATTTGTATTGGTCATTATGTCCATCTGATAACATTGTTGACAACCAGATAGATAGAGAGATCTAAGAAATATTAGGCGGTTAGGTTCAACCTGATAAAAAATTCTGTACCTAGATTTCGTGCTCTGCAGGACCTAGCACATATTTATGTCTGCTCAAGCTATTACTCCTCACTTTAGTACATCTAAGGAACATATTAATATCAACTGTAATAGAGAAATAAAAGTAAAAATAATGCAATGAGAAAAAAAGCAGATGAATTTCGGGAAACAGAAATCGTAACGTAATACCTTGTTTATTCATACTTTCAGATAACAAGTAAAGGTTAAATTTGTTGTTGTACAATAGCTGAAGATGGATGATACATGTTTTAAACATGTTATTCGATTTATGACCTTTGCATATTATTCCGTTTAACATCATTGTGTTCTGTCATTACCAGGCAAGTTTTCCTAGATAAGTTTGATGATTAAAATGAAAGCCACTATGTTTCCTACTTTTAGTAAGTTATTTTCATTCACACGGTACCAGAGAGTCTAATACTACATAGTGTGCTTACTCTTTTATTAGACAGCAAGTTACCGTTTGGTCAGTTATGGCTGCTTTCTATATATTCTGTTATGTCTAAACTTAAAACACTTGAAAATCTAAAGTAATGTCCCATTCATGTTTCCTTCATTTGTAACCTGACTTATCACTAAGTCAGTCAGAAGTAACGTAGCACCTAGTACATATATACATTGGTCTCTAGACCACATCAGAAGAGAGACATAAAACGAACAAAAGAAATCTCAGTTTGGTAGAAGTAGTAACACTATTATCGATAGTAAGAAATGTTAGGCATAAACAATATAATTCATAAGAAAGAACACATTCATGGAATACAGAGTATGAAAAAATTCTAGAAGTAAAAATTTTAGAGAAAATAAAAAGTGAATACATCTACACTATTGTGCCCAACTATGAGCTGTTTCGTTCAAAATCTCCACTAATGTTTGTTTTTGATTACAGTTATAATATTCCCGATATTATATATTAAATAAATTCACAGTATTAAATACTTCACAAATATTAAGAATATAAGCAAGGATGGATGGTGGCTAGGAGTGGAGTCCAGTACGTGCGTTTCATCTTATCTGGGACTCGTCAGCTGGATGTACCTGCGTCTCGAAATTGATGTTCATTTCTGGACTCTAATCCAGTACCTTTTGCTTCAAACGCCATCGCGTTAAGAGACTAATCAATTGCAGTCTTAAACATCAATGGGAACATTCAAACATACAATACCAAATGAATTTACACTTCACCCCATTGCACAAGCTTGTGGCTATTAGGACTGAGTAGCTAAGTGAATAACGCAATGGCGTTTAAAGCAAAAGTACTATGTTTGAGTCCCGGAGTAAACATCAATTCCGGGATGCAGGTACATCCATCTGACGAGTTCCAGATAGGATGAAACGCACGTTTTGATTTTCATTGTTGATCATAATATCAAGTATAATATAGGAGAAGAGTTGAATATATTCTCGATTGTCATTAATATCTTCAATCGAGCAATAAATCGATTAAGTTACTCATTCATATTTACTTTAACGCATCCTTAATTCCAGTCTCATTTTCACCTTTGATATATTTTTTCGCACTTATTTTCCATCATAAACGATATGTTTGTTTGATTTAAATCAACTTTCTTTTCAGAAAATTCATTTCATGATCACCTTTTGTTACGGATGACAATTATCACTTTATAATTAGTTAACTAAATCTTTGTTTTTCATATTCCCTTTGAAAATTTTGAACTAGAAAGATACGGAAAAATTTGTAAAATATAGTGGATTAATGCTTATATATGGTTTTTCATTGGGTATAAATGGCTTTTAATCAAAATGAGTTATATAATTGCTCATAAAAAACTGATGTGGTTGTTGTAGCTGAAGCAAAACAAATCAGGTGAACAAAATACAAAGGCTGAAATAAATGTTTTGCTAAGTATTCTAATATTTCCCAGTTTTAATGAAGTCATAATGTATCAGTCTTGAAAATACACCGATTACTTCTAATTTTCAAAGGTTAATCCACTCATCGAGACGTAGAACAGTGGATCAGTGGTTAAATCGTTTAGCTTTCAGCCACCCTATCTACTTCGGTCTGAGCTACGGGGAAGTATCGAAACTCTCACATTTAAAGTGTGTCCCTACGTCAAGTAAATTATTCTGTACCTGCTGTATGAGTTAATAAAAAACGGTGTGTAAATAACAAGGTGGTGTCATTTTCTTCATAGTGTAATTTAATACACAAATCTTTGCTTAGTTGCAGAATAGAAGTGTGTGTTGTGCTGTTGACTCACTATTTGGTCGATAAAGAATAGACTTTAAGCTATAGAATTACTCTGTACTTGTAATGAAAAAAGAACTCTACAGATATTTATCGTCATTGACGAAAATCATACCAGGTGACAACTATCTTTCCTATTTTTAGTCGAGATAATACGAATCATTATAACTTGTACCGTGTTTCCATGTTTCAAACCTCTGCTCAAGCTGATATCATTCAACCTATAAGTAGTCCCACTTATAAATTCTTATGATACATCGCGTAATACAATCTCTACTTAATCATCGAGAGTGACCTGTTGTGTAATTAAGTAAGAAGTAAAGACAGTTCAACGAAGAAAATTTTTATTTTTACGATATCATTCACAAAGTCTGCAATCGTATTTTCAGTGACTTAGTAGATTTAATGGTATATTAAAAAATTGAAAGTACTTACTTCATATTTTACGGGATTTCATTTGTTATGAACTATTTGTGTAACCGTCTAGTAGTTAAATGAAAACATTGGAATGATAATCGTTCACTTAAAGAGAAAAGGAATAAGTTTAATACGTCGAGGTTCTAATAAAAATGACAAGGGCATCGGAAGAATATATTAACAATAAGTTTTCATAGTATGAAAAATTAAAAGCTGTTGATCTATGGTAGAATACAAATTCGAATGTGCTGTGTTTTTATACAAAGTTCTATTTAGAACTGATAAATTGCAAATGCAATCAAACCCAATCGTTTGACTTTTCAGATGATTTTGTAGGATATTTTTGATAACAATATGATCAGAATTCACGAGTGTTTCCAATATACTGAGCCATTGAATTCTTCGCATTTTGTTGATAGTCATGCACAATAGTGCTCGGAGATGTATTTATAAGGTGTTCTCCTTTTACGGCCGACGCAACCCGATTCACGAATGTAAATAGACTTATAGATGCACATTAACGTGGTCCGAAGCAGGAACTTATTCTTTGCACATCAACTGACTGGAAAAGACAATATGAGGCTAAGTCGAACAAAACCTAACACTAGAACACGGATATGACAGATTTTTAAGTTGTTCCTTTTTATAACAAGTCATTTTGTTATGTGCCCCCAAATGCCCTGGTACAGCCGAGAGTGGGGAGAGTCAGCTCATCCTCTCGAAATGCTCTCACACGGCCACTTGCATACAACCACTTCCAGGAAAGTCCTATTCACTGCCTTCTCGGCAGCAGGGGTTTTGCTTACGAAATTGAAAAGACGAAAAGCGAATGTCCGGCGCTTTGACCGGGTCGATGGACACGGAGAATCCATCTAGGGGAGTTGGAAAACCCTGATTCCAAACTAATGGTGCACATGGGATCCAGTATCCTGAGGGAACAAATGGCGTATGAAGCTATTGTTGGTCACCGGCTACGATGGGACTGCATCTCCTTACGATGCTCGATTGCCTTGTGGATCAGACCTTTAGGTTAAAGGCTCCGAGTGTGGACGCCCAAAAAAACCACCCGCTTCGGTTTGGGCACTCGGGCACTATCACAGCTCTCGCACAAACCAAATGAGACTTGTGTGGTGCATATGTATCTGGTGCCTCCTTGTACCAATATGTGTTGTTATGTGTTTTACTATGTAAATTATTGAAATCTCATTCCATCTGTTAACAATTTATCAACTGAATATAATGAATAAATCCGTCTCCTCTTTCTCTCTTGTTTTTTTTAATGAAATAAATTTCAATAAATTTTGTTATAAATCTCTGGCCGAACTGTTGAAACACTCAATTTTCAACAGGTTAGACGACTGAACTCTGATTTATTCACTCCATACATCCTGCTTCTTTGATAAATTTAAATAAAGAGGGAGGATTAAAAATTTTTGGAAATCTTATTCCTCTCGCTTCATTTAATTCAATTTTTTCAATCCATATAAAGTCACTATCCTTTAAAATCAAACACATGAAACTTGTATTAAAAGTAGTAAACCACATTAAAGTGATTTTTATACTGAAAACAATTAAATAAGATTAATAGTTGGATTCATGAGTCGATTTAAGCTAGATCACCGTTGAAAACCTGGGAGAATTGAACAGCCGTTTCGTCCTAGTATGGGACCTAGGATCTTCGATCTCGCGCGCGAACGCTTAACCTCTAGATCAATGAGCCGGCATGTAACGGTGTTAATGTCTAACTTCAATCAATCCTGGAGTTCTAGGGAGGTGCCATAATTAGTGGAGTTTAGCCGTGTCTGTTGTGAGACAGTTACTCACTGGAGACAATGGTGAACGGTCGCACAATATCGTGATATAGAGCTTAAGCATTCATGCACAAGATCGAAGATTCCGGGTTCAAGTCTCGCGTGCGTGGTCGTGGATGTGCACTATTGAGGAGTCCTACACTAGGACGAAACGTTCGTCTAGTTCTTTTAGGTTTTCAGTGGTGATCTGGCGTAATTCGACTCATGAATTCAACTATTAAAATTACTACAATCTCCACAAACCCCCATTCCAAATAATATTATACAATATTGAATATCGTTGTCATGATGAACTTCTGTTATTCTGTAAGCAATGAAATCATAATTACTTCTTTATATCTGTTATAATAATAAACTATATGCTTGTTCAATTATAAAATTATTTAATTCAATTTAACTAGTAGTAGACTTTCATAATTGACGTTATATTCTTCCTCAACATTTTTTCTTACTATTGATATTGTACGAAAAGTGTTATAATGTGGTGTTTCTTTTCCAATCACTACACAACAGTCATTGTAAATGATTAATATGAAAATTTTCTAAGGCGATCGGAGAATAATGGATGAATAAAGTTAGGAAATGTTTAGATGGTATATATTCGAATACGATAAACCAAATAAGGTTTAAATGAACACTTTTAAGGAGTATCTTCCTAGGAAGAAACAGATGACCAGTGTTTACCTAACCAGGTAGAGTTATTATTACTGTTATTATTGTATTATCATAAACTTTCCTTTTAGTGAATTATTTACATCAAATATTCATCGTTACTTTTATGGTATACCATTCAAAGCTGACGTTAACTATGGATTATTCCCCATTTTTTTCTATTCACTAGTTGTCGGTCACGTTCTAAAAATCCACAATCTCATAATTTGAATAGTAGCTGCACTGATAACCAACCCGAAATGCTTATAGATGATAATTCTGAGAGTAATTCTAATTCTTGTCAAGAAACAGATAAATCATCTGATAAGCAATCTGTACCTATAATAAAACCGAAATATTCTGATCCTGACTTAGCTGTGTGCATTGAATGTGGATTACTTTGTAAATCTGGTCGTCGAATATTTGGTTTATCAGCTTGGGAAGCTGTTCGAGAAATGCGATTTCGTGTTTTTTGTGCAACACGTCTTACTTGTAGTGCTGGTGAGTTAATATTCTTATTTACTAGTTCTTTATGTAGTTCAGTCTTTATTGTTAGTTATTTTATTAGATAAATCTTCAACGAACATGGTTCAATTTGATTACACCCGGTCATGAATGATCAATGTGGTCTTATTTTGGACTCATAGTCGCAGGATTTTATTTATGTTTTAAAAATAAATCTAACCAACTATATTTAATAACATCGCTTATAACTAATCTTGTCATATTATTAATTAAGGTCTCGGTCCGAATACACTGATTGCGAAAATCGCCTCCGATTGGATAAAACCATGTGGGCAACATGAAATCGCTAACACATTAGAAGCTGTCGATAAATTTATGCAAGCTATGCCCGTGAGAAAAGTAAGTCTCGTTACATCGACTTGTTCTTCATTATGATTGGTACACACCTCACTTCACTTCAGCTTCCCCATAACTTGTGTATACAATGTTGAATTACTTTTACCAATTAAAATATAGCTTCCAGACTGAAAAAATTGATGGTGAGTATCAAAAAACATTTAAAAAAATCATAATGATAACGTTAATAATAGTAATATTAGAGTTGTGATTTTTGAAGTTCGTAGAACATTCATTGTTCAAATCACACAATGGCTAGATTAACACTGAAAACCTGATAGCACCAGACAGCCGTTTTGTCCTAGTATGGGACTCCTCAACAGTGGGCATCCACGAGTGAGGCGGTTGTCCATCACACACAATAGATGAGGGTTGAGCAATATCATGGACTGACTGAAGCTAGATGTTAATACCGATGAATAATGGCTCAGTGGTCTGGATGTCAAGCGTTTGTGCACGAGACTGACGGTCCTGGGCTCGATTCCTGGATGCCTGGTCATGGATCCACACTGATAGGAAGTCCCATACTAGAACGAGTTGGTCGTCCAGTGATTCTAGATTTGCAATGGTGGTCTGGTTAAAATCAGTTCGTCGTTTTAACTTTGAGAACAATAATAATGATGATAATAATAATAGAACCTGAAATGCGGAAATGTATTAACTATAATGGTTGGATTGATGAGATTTTTAATTTTAAAATGACAGAACTAGTTTCAACAACGATAAAACTTGACCAAAATGAATGGTTAAAGTGTTATTGTGTTAAATTAAAAGTTTGTAGGCAAGATGAAGAATGCTTGTAAATGTTAGGCGTCAAAAAAGAAAACTTTTGAATATCTGGAAAATGAAGAGAGCGAAAAGGAAGGCAAAGAAGAATGACAATGAATCAGTCATCATGCCATTGGTAGACGAATGAAGAGTTAATTTTGTTTACCTAGATTTTGGTCGAAAGAAATTGAACCACATACACAATCTTCAAGTATCAGTTACTTGTTCACTTTACCAAATATTAACTAATCAAGTCACCGTGTTAGACTGCTTGTTTAAAAAAAATAGCATTTTGTAAATGCGATAATCAATACCACTTTTCTACCGTTATAGGTTCCAGGGATTGGACATGTTACAGAACGTCGACTAGATGCATTTGGAATTAAAACATGTGCTGATTTAATTGATAAACGTGGTTTACTCTGGCATGTAAGCACTAAAATATCAATGGTTTACTACATGCGTATTGCGTTAGGACATTCTGACGATCGTTGGTTAATTAATGTAAAAAATCATTTTGATGAAAAGTCAAATAAACCTTTTGGATTTATTGATAATGATGCAGAAAATAGCGTTCCTTCTGCACAAGGTCAAGTAGAATTGAATAGAAAGAGTATGAGTGTAGAAAGGTTAGTTTGAATAGTAAGTTCTTTATAGAACGTTTGTTAGCTTGTAGTTTATCTGCTTACACTTGTTTACAAATGTAGATAGTTTGATTAGATTATGCAAATATTCAACTCTTATTCTCACATATCATTAGTTTCAATACTTAATATTACCAGACTTGTATCATTCATTGGTTTATCAATCTAAACTAATCGTTTCTATGATTTGTTAGTGTGAAGTTACGCTTGAAGCGTGTAATCAGTTGACTTGCAATTAATAAATCGCAAGTTTGAACACTGTTATATCCTTGTCATTTTTGGAACCTTATTTATATAACTTAAGATAGCCATTTTAAGTATAACTAAAATGTCTACTATATAATTCGTATTTAGTCAATAAGTTAAATCGGTTGTATTAATTCATAGTAAAATGTATTTAGAACAACTATTTTCCTGGAAGTGTTTATGAGGAATATGTGAACCTATTGATTTATTTATATATTCACTTTACTCAATGCACTTCTATTCTAATACGAAGTTGTTTGTAAGCTTTGGTGAATGTGATTACGCATAATAATAAATAAATAAATAAAATCTATTCAACACTTGTAACCTGAGTGGATCAGTGAGCAAAGTATGTATAAGCCGTGCTGTGTATAATAATCGTTTTCTTTTACAGTTAAAAATAAGATTTCTATACTTGTTAGTTGACTTTATTTGATGATGATATTGATGAAGTATTTCTTTATAAGTAGTTTAGTATTATTCTTCACTATGTATAGAACGCCTAGACAATTCGGTAGCAGTAGTAGTGTTATTTGTTTTAAGCTTAGTCGTTAATTTAAAATTTCCTTTTTTTAGCCTCTCGTCACAATATTTTCTAGTTTATTCTTTTTGTACCCAGTTAAGTTATTGTATTGTATTCTTATTGACAAGATTTTACTACTGATATAGTTTTTCTACATCAATTACCCATAATATTCTACTTGAAAACAATCATGGTAATATAGTGGATTATGTTTTTTTTTAACTTCCAATGTTCTAAATTGTGTTTATTAATCACAATATCGTTTTTACTTACTATTATTATTGTTGTCTACCTTTCTAGAACATTTTCAGATACATCCGATGAAAATGAATTAATGCATCGTTGTGAACAACTTGCTCAAATGTTATCAACTGATTTAAAAGAGGAACATGTCAAAGTAAGAATATGTGTAATAATTAAGTTATATTTTACGTAGTATTACTGTTAAAAACTACTTAATATTGTATTTGTGTAAGAAAAATTTTATGCTTCGTATTTCCAATGTGAATACTAAACCAAGTCATTTGACATCATGGCGGACTAGACAATGTTACTTCAAATAAAATTTCATCATAGAACTGTCACTGACACTTTGAACACCTCACTAATACATATAGGTCTATGGATATCCAAGTGTAGAAACTCTCTTTGTGAAGATAATATTGATAGATTTTTTCCTCTTCATTTTAATGTAGATTTAATTATCTTTTATAGTTGTTTATAATCGGGAACATAATATGTACTTGCTGAATCGCCTTTTTTGGTTATCTCCTTCAAACGAAATTAGATATTTTGTTAGATAGATCAATTACCTGTAGATTCATCAAAATCACGTGTGTTTCAAATGAAACTTATTAATCCAGCTTATATTATTGCAAAGGGGTACAAAGACGCGGTACAATAAATACACACAGATATCATAACAATGACGACTATTTATGGAACTTTCAAGAACTTTTACTCTATACAACAATCGTTCAAAATAGCCTAGAATCACTAACAAGCGCTAATCAGTAACTAAGACAAACAATTAAAGCAAGATAGTAACAGTATACCTTGACGACATACGTTATCGAATGGTTTAAATCTCATTTCCTTGACTTAGACCATCATAAAGAAGTAAAGCTTTCATTCATAAGCAAGTCTCAAATATACAGTCGGTGAGTTAAGAATAAAATAAGGACGCATCAAATATATAAATTGGGAATAAAAGTGGTAATGCAGTATCATATGATTTTAAACATGTATGATTGATCGATGGGAATTATATCCTGTCTTCTATATGCGGAAACTATTTGTTGGATGTTGTTTCAGGATATTATACACCTAAAATTGATGCTTACAATTATTTTAATGTAGTTAACAGTTTATAAATTTTGAGACTGAACAATGTGACTCCTTTTGGACAAATGGGATCAGTTTACTGTGATTGATTTACACATCATACAAAATAATTAAACAAGAAGAGATAGATTTTGAACAAAGTATTAATTAAGGAATTAGATGGGATTCTTTTTAAATTATATGTTGAACATTTAGTGACAGCTCAATAATTACACAATTGTGAAATGCTCTGAACTGTTTCACTATCTTCAATCGCTCATCTGTTAATTTTCAACAAACGTTCTGTAGAAAACATGGTCACTCTTACAGGTCTTTGGCTTCATAAATCGATATTTTCTTTGTCTGGTTACTCTTTTCGGAATTTATTCTTATTCTAACCCTGAACTTTTCATCCATCAAGTGTTGCATAAAACATATGTATTGGCTTGGTTAAATTTCTGAATTATTTATCTTCTAGCTTTGCAGATTTTTCTAAAATCGTTCCTGTTTCCGATTTTTTAATCTGATTATCTATGTCAACCGTCTGATATTCTCAAATGCTCTTATGAAGAGTCTACAACTTATCTCTAAGATAGTAGTAGCTATATGAATAACGCGTTGACGTTTGAAACGAGCGGTGATGGGTTCAAGTCATGGAGTTTACATCTACTTTGGTATTCAGGTACATCTAACCTACAAGTCCCGAATAGGATAGATATGATACAAGATTTCTTATTTATATGTCTCTGCTTAATAATTTAATCTATGTTTATTTAAATATTAATGAAAGGAATAGATGAGAATCTTAATAGTGACATGATTGCAGCAAATCATCTATTGTACAGTTAATTGTATATATATTTTACGTAATAAAAATACGCTCGAATGAAATTAATTTTAAACGATTTTTGTAATTAGTTGATAAAGTCTTTCGAAATGGATCAGCATTATTTCGACATTTATGTAGAATTGTGGATTATCGAATAGCCGTTTCGTTAAAACTTCAGAATCCTCAAAAATGTGTTCATTCATGGCTTCCTATATATGTCACGTTTACTACCTTTATATTTAGATAACTAAATCTGAATCCAGCATTGGAAAGTCTCAGTCTAAGCCTTTTTTCTTTGTATGAAAAAATGTCTTAGGACTAGAAAAATGTAAAATATGTTTGTTCGATAGAACAGATATACTATGTCTAGCAGTCGTATCCAGGACACATGTTTCATTCCGCTTGTGACTCATCATCCGGATACACCTATAATTTAATGTTGATTTTAATATCGGTATTTAAACTCAGTGTATTTCACTTCAAACACCAAGACATTAAAAATTGAGATACTGAGTTCAAACAATCGCTAACATGTTCAATAGATATGATGTTACGTATTATTATTATTATTATTATTATTATTATTATTATTATCGTTTTTATTTCACTCTCATACACTAATTCCTGTTCATTGCATTTTTTTATTATACTTACTTACGCCTGTTACTCCTCGTGGAGGAGCATAGGCCGCTCACCAGCATTCTCCATCCATCCCTGTCCTGGGCAATCCTTTCCAGCTCTTTCCAGTTCTTATTCATCCTTTTCATATCTGATTCTATTTCCCGACGTAATGTGTTCTTTGGTCTTCCTCTTTTCCTCTTCCCTTCAAGATCCCAAGTTACGGCTTGCCTCGTAATGCAGTTTGATGATTTACGTAATGTATGTCTTATCCATTTCCATCGTCTTTTCCTAATTTCCTCTTCAGTCGGAAGTTGGTTTGTTCTCTCTCACAGTAGGCTGTTACTGATGGTATCCGGCCAATGGATGTTGAGTATCTTGCGTAGACAACTATTTATAGATACTTGTACCTTCTTGATGATGGTTGTTGTAGTCCTTCAAGTTTCAGCTCCGTACAGCAGAACTTCCTTGACTTTATATTGTCTATCTCTTCGCAACCTGATTGTTATTTCGTGGCGCATATGGTGCCCCTTTGTACCAATATTTATGTATTCAAATAAAAATATAAATAAATCTTAAATTGTAAATTTGGTACAAACTAACAAAATGATAAAATAATTGTGTGCAATTAAGTATAAATTATCTTGTCGTTCAAATTATGGCTGAAATGAAATAGTTTTTATAATTGTAATTTTCATAGTAATTTAAATTACTTCCGTTCAAAGTTCCTCTAAATTTTTTCATTGGTGAATTGATTCACTTCAGTAAGTTTAATTGGAATTCTTTATTCTAACAAATTTCTTTTATATATTTTCTAAAGCAAAACTAACGAAGATTTTGAACATATCATTTAAATTATTCTGTTTGCTGGTAACAAAAGATATGGTCTCACAACGTATATTTGACGATAGATCATACTAGATAGATATTTTTTGATTGAGATCATGAACCGATTGATGTTAGACCACCATTGAAAACCTGGAAGCGTTCGACGGCCGTTTCGTCCTATTGTGGGTCTCCTCAGCAGTGCGTATCCACGATACCGCTCGCGGGATTCGAACCCAGGGCCTTCAGTTTCGCGCGCGAACGCTTAACCTACTGGATCACTGAGCCGGGATCCAATGATGTTAGTTTCTAACCCCAACCAATCCACGAAGTTGCACAACCATCTTCCATTGTACTGAGGTAGACACCTGTTTTCACCCGACACAGATTAACACCAATCGGTCCATAATCTCAATCAAAAACTTAACAATCTCCACAACCGCTAAACTGATAGATAGATATTATTGAGTTTTTAGTTGGAGATGTGACTATTTAACTTCCACTTTTCAATATCAACCATTTTTCATAGAAAGTAAAATGTAGGGAAAAAATCGATTACTTTTTCTCTTGATTGACTAAATGATAGTTTAAATGTATATTAGGTATTCTTAGGAAATGATGAAGTTGATAACTCCCTCACTATGATAGTGTTAGAATAAAGCAATAAAAGGATCACAGAATAGTAAGAAAAGGAATGCACACATAATTCGAGTTTGTTCAAACCATGTTGTAAGATAATTGGAACAGTGAATAGAAATTTAATTTCTAAGTCGATTTATTGGTAAATCCAGAATAATGAATTTTTTAAACTGCTAATTGCAATGCTGTCAAGGATGAAACCGATTTGTGGTGGACTCAGTAAAGAACCTAACGCTATACAGTCTGCCTATAGATATTGCTTATCATTGCAGCTGAATTTTTTATTTAAAGTGCATTTCAGTATAAGTCCTTTTAAGTAAACATTAAGCATCTCCTGATCTATCCCATTAGTATCGATAGTTCCAATTAAAATTTACTGTCTCTTACTAACGGTACATTCGTAAATAACCAACTATCATCTCATAAAGTTTTCATCTTATTGAAAACGTTTACATTACTTACAAACTTGTTTAACAATTGACTCACTTTTGTGAGTTATCCAATTTTTAATCGAGTAGTACGGTGATCCAGCCATATTTCGAATAGGGTGATTAGCTAATCTATTCTTATATAACTTAGATAAGTTGTATAGTCTAGATATTTTAGAAGCTGATAATTTTAGGCTGTTTTTTAATTACTGAGATTTTATTGCAAATTGCTTTTTAATCTACAAACTTTTCTGTTGTTTCCTTGATTAGGCTTTGAAAAAGTACTAACATCTTGTAATGTATCTGTTATTTTATCTTATATAGTTTTACTAATCAAGTAGTAATAATCCTGCTCATTTATCTAGACAGGTTATTAAAATGTTTTGATTCTCTCTAATAAGTTTTAGTTATTGAATATATTTTAGACAAATCAGTCTTACTTTCATGAATAGATAAGTGTATCTGAACGCTGTTGAATTTAAGTATTTTAGTTCGAATTATAGAATTCGAACTCCGAGACAGCGTTGTTATTAACATTCTTAAAATGACCAGTAATAAAGTCTTTTTGTATTAATGTATTGATGACACAATCGTAATGTGCAATGAAAAGTCCTGTGTGATTGATTTAGCGATATCCCTTCATTTGGTCTTAGTTTAAGATATGTTACTATGACACATTATTAGTATCAGTCTTTATTTAAAGAATATTCACCGTTTTTATTTTTCCTGCACATCAAAATCGATATTTATAAATATTATGTCTTTGGTAGGTACTCATGAAAAATTGTTTTTTTTTCGTTTATTTAAGGGTCAGTTAATCACACTTAAAATGAAATTAGATACATTTGAAATTCGAACAAGATCACAACTCCTACCAGATTACACTAATCATACAGAGATTATCAATTCATTTGGTCGTGAATTATTGCGTGAAGAAATGGTAGGGTTTAAATCGAATACAACTGCGAATAAACCACTTACTTTACGTCTTATGGGTAAGAAGTTTACGGTTTTTTTTTCGTAAAATAGACCTAAGTCTTCTTTTTTTAACCTTATTTCCACAATAAATGACTAGGAAAATGTGTTTGGATTTCATAGGCTTCTGTAGTGCTGGTTTACTTCGCTGCTGTTTAGTCAAGTACACTTGAATGTTTCCTACCACACACATACTGATGATAGTTGCTCATACTATATGAATGAAGTAGGTTAAACCGAGCTCGAACATGTAATTTAGTAATTGAATGAATAACTTACTGATCCCATTTTTCTCAATTGCTTAAACTCTAAAATCAAAGTCCGTTAAGCATAGATTAATTTAATGGGATTATCACAGGTTAAAACATCCATAGTTCCATGGCGTACAAAACAAGCTATTTTAAAACATTATTCAAACTAGTTATCACATCACTGAAAAAAAAATGTACGTGCAACATTTCAATATGATAAATATTTTAATTAAGTTCATGAACCGGCTGATGTTAGGACACCATTGAAAGCCAGGAATCACTGGACATCCATTTCATTTCAGTATGGAAATCCTCAGCAGTGCACATCCACGATCTCGCACGCGAATGCCTAACGTCTAGACTTCCAATTTTATCAGGAAATTTCCATTAAAATATTGATCTTCAAATAAATAAATAAAGAAATGATACTTTTATCTGTAAATATCATACTAAATATTAACAGCGATTACTCAAATAAACTAACAAACATTATTAGTAGAAGCAATCCTATTTATAGCGAAGTACTGTTTATATCAAATAATGAACACGGCGTTGATTCTGTGCTTAATTTCACAGATTTAAAGAAAGAAGAAAGTTGTACTTTCAAATTTGATAAAATATAGTTTTTTTAAACTTAGAATAAGCTTTTACATGTGTGGGATATTTCGTAGTAATAATAAATAAAAGAAATCACAAAAATATTAAGGTTAAAAAGTGGGAGACGGTAAAACGTAAATGTTCTGGTTGTGAGGGATTATCGAGTTTACTTTAGCTTATTGAAGGTTCTCTGTGTGGGATTTACATCAATTAGAATACTATTGAAACCCAGGTTTATTGTACATACAAATTTCGTTCTAGTATGTGGAACTTCACCAATGCATACTCATAGCTCCATCAAGGACAGAAATCCGGACTTTTTTGGGCGATGTTTACTTGTGTAGGAGTAATTTAAAATAAAGCTAGAAGCGGTCATACTAAAATGTGGCATCAATCAATAAAATCATTGATCATTGTTCGAGCCGTATAGGTATGTGCAGATTGTTTGCTTTCTCTAACTTGATGATCAGATGAACAGTTAATGCTTCCATAGTTTTTGAAAGTTAGTAAACAACAACGGCAAAAATAAATCGATGGAGAGACGTTTTTCTGTGTCGATTTGGTAATAAAAAATGTTGAAAATAAGAAAAAAGCTGATTAATTTGTACTTCTATTATTACCATTGTTCTAGGCTTACGCATGTCCAACTTATTACCAGTGGAAATGTGTCCACAAATTCGTCAACGTAGTGTTGAGGAAGCTTTTATGTTTGCAATGACAAGCAATAATACTAGTCCTGAAAAAAATCCCAGTACAATCTCTAAAACTCTGCTACACACAGAAACATCTATTAAATCGCTTAACACGATATCTTCACCTAAATCAGTTGAATCAACTAAAAATAAACTGAAAAAGTTAACAAAATCCAGTCAGAAAAATGATAAAAAGAAAACGATCGGTTGTAATTCTTCTTCACTGGTAAGTTTATTAATAAAAAGCTTTAGAATAGAACATAACTTGTGTTATAACCCGTTTATTCAGCAATAATCAAAGATTATATGAACTACTAAATAAGCACTAAAAATATGTTTCACAAAAGTTGAACTGGGCTGATTATTATAGTTTCCTTAAAGTGGTGACATTTATTAAATGGTCAACTCCTATTTGAAATCGAACCAATATTAGTAGTATTAATAATTTTCGTTTTATTCATTACCGTCTGTTTACCAACTTGCGTCACAGGTGAAGTGTCTTTCCACCAAAACGAGAGCGAGTATGGTTCTTCGGAGTCCATTCTATATTACATTATGACTGTGAAACATGAACTTAAACATAAAAAATGCGTGTAGGCTGCAGGTTCTTAATCCTATATGTGTTCCAAGTATTTCTCGCGTTTCATGAACAGTGTTGAAGTTAAGCATAATGATGGTTAATGAGTTTGTAAATTTTCATAGACTGAGATGATTAAAACTTATGTTACATTTAGTTTAATCACTGCCTACCTTGACGTAGGTTACTTGCTGCTGTAGTTGTGGTTAGCCATAGCTAAACCAAAACAGCATCAATCCATAAAGTTATTATTTGTTAGTTTGAGCTGTGTTGGTAGATGCAGATTATCTGGTCAAGTATCACATTTCAGAATTGTTGCTGAAGAATAGATTCATGATTGGTTTTAGATTGCCCACTAATTGAGGTAATATTTTCACATTGTTTATTCAGTTATGCAAACCAGATTTTACTCATTTCAGTATATAATATGTAAGTGGTGTACTTGGGTTATAATTTAGTTTATAAATCTGCTAATTGTTGGTTTATCTTCCCATTTTTAACTTCATCCTGTTTCATCTACTACAGTACTTATGGCTTATCACATACTCTATTGCAATGTATGCGCGTAATACTTTGCAGAAATTCCTTCTCCTGAGCTTCCACTTAGAACTTTGGGATATAAGACGATTAATTAGAAGTATTTTATGATTTCTATTCAAAACTCATACAATTATACATATAAAACTACAATGTACCATCTCATTAGTTATATGACAGATTCTTTGTATAAAATTTAACACGGAGTTCAATCAAACGTATTTTAATCTTTGAACATATCAAAGTGGCCAATTTCAAAGCGATATGACCATTTCGTTCATCTCTTTTGAATTTTTTTTCTTCTAAATTATCAATGAACCACTTAGTGTTGTTTATTAATAATCATAGATGCTTTCAAAATTTTTATTGCTAAAATTATTCAGATTACACAATGGACTAAACCTTCTCCATTAAGTAGAGTTAATGATGCTAGTTCACCATCTTCGTCTATCTCATTAAATTTATCGCTTGAACCATCATTATCGTCGTTGGCATCAGCCTCATCTTCTAATAACAATACTGGTAACTTTTTTACATGTCCTGTCTGTGAAAGAGATTTTCAATTTTCTTCAGAAGATAAGGTCAGTCTGTTTAAGTTTTTTACTTAATTTAAAGAGTTTGTTTGTTTGTTTTCAAAGAAAGAGAATATTCTTTACTTCTAACAGATTTGTTTAAATCAAGGTCATATATTATGATTTTTCTAACTTATTTAAATAATTGTGTAAACACAATGTCAATAAAAGAAAACATTTTAAATTGTTTCATGTATTACGATAAATAAGTTTCTGTCGTCGTTATTTATTCTTATAACCGATAGAGTTTATTTGCATAAATTGATCATTAAACAACTTGATGTACATTCCAGTCTGTCTATGTTGGCAAATATTCAACTTATTTAATAAATTACAATAATAATATGTGATATAAATGTAATCATCATAAGTAACAAAGTGATGAAGTAAAAAAAAGTGTTTATTATTTGTTTAATTTTACGGTTAAGTTTTTGTGAATACTATCATTTATCTTACCTTCACTTTATATTTTATGCACATTCCTTTGTTTGTTTGTTTTTGTTTTGCAGTGCTATTCATAATATAATGGATTGTTAAAGTTAGTTTAAATAATCGTTTTAAGGCGGTCGCACGAATAGTTAAATTTTATTAGAAAAACTAAAATCTCTTCAGAAACGATAACCACTCTCATACTCAAGAATTCAATTTTTCGAATGACTTTTGTCACATCTGATTAGTTGTTATGATTTTTTCAGTTCGCTAAATTGCTACATGCTTGAAGATCATATTCTGCTACTACAATGACAAGTTTTGCACTTATTTCGTTTGAGTTGCTTGTCTTACCACAAATATCAAGTTACCGGCAATTGATTTTCTTCCTGTGTTATCAGTCGAGGTTTGATGTGTTAAGTATAATTGACTGTTGTCGGTTCCGAAGAGAATCTAATCGTATTAAAATAGCCCAATCGTTCCCGTTCCTAAATCCGTAACATCTTAGGCCATACTGAACCCCAATAACAAGACATAACAATTTGTGAATTGCAATTCATGGTCTGATGTCAAATTTGTCCTTATCTTCCTTTTGTAGCTATCGTTTAAATTATAGTACCGCATCACATTTTTGCTGAATTTTCACTCAATTTTAAGAAAATGTCATTGTCATATTTCTTTTGTATGCTGTAAAATATAAACAGATGACTATTAGTTCTTTTAGCAAATTTGAGTAAACTAAAATTACTCGACTTTTATAATTATTTGAAAGAAATTTCACCTAAATTTGAGTAAATATTTTCAAGGTAACGTTATAGTTGAGTTCATGAGTCGATTGAAGCTAGACCACCATGGAAAACCTGGGAGCACTGAAAAACCGTCTCGTCCTAGTATGGGACTCCTCAGCGGTGCGCATCCACGATCACGCCCCGCGAGATTCGAACCCAGGATCCATCAGTCGCGTGCGAACGCTTGACCTCCAACGGTGTTAATGTCTAACTTCAACCAATCCACGAAATTGCTTCACCGTCCACCATTGTTTCACAGTAGTTGACCTTTGAATTAATGTAAGACATTAGGAAGTAAAATCATATTCATAAAAGTTTAAACGGTTAAATAAATCTATTGTTAAGAAGAGCCAATCAGAAGTAGCTTAATTACAATGTCAACCGATGGCAATCAGAAGTGATCTAAAGGTCAATTGCATCTCATTGGGGTCAATGGGTCAATTACCTAAGGATAGAATGGTATATATGAATAAATATTTGTGCGTTTTATTCGGTAGTCTGTAGTGTCGGTTATTATGTTAAGCCTATATACCTTATTCTAGCTTTCATTCTACTTGAGTCACATTCTGACCTTGTTACTTATTCGTTTATCAACGTTGACGGTTTTTATATGAGTGCATATATGTGTGTACACTTCTTATCCTATTATTCATCATATGTCTGTAACTTATTTTTGTGTGCCTATAAATATTGACTAACGCTTGACTAAATGGAGTTGACTCACACGCCTTCTCCGCCGCGCGTCATTTTTGCTTCGCTCTCTTCCCTTCGCATCGTTTCCCCGTTCGTTTGTCTGGACCAACGATTATACAAAATATATGTGTTCAAAAGTCCATTCTCCATATTTGACTTATTTAATTTCGTTATTGACTAACGCGATTTAAATCGATGATTATATACACGAGGATAGGCGACATATACATATCGATAGCAATCATTCATACGATCTATTCGGAGTCAGATCCTGGGCCACTAAAGTGGAGAGCCCATCGACAAACATCGTCCGATCTAAATGACGACAAAAATAAAGGACCCAACATGTCCAATACACTTTCACTCTTGTGTTCTCTCTCTCGTAGTCACTTGGGAGAGAGTTTGGCACGTAGCATACTGTGTATCAGTATTATATATATATATATATATATATATATATATATATATATATATATTAGTTACATTCAGTTTTATATTTCTACATAAATATACTGTATCCATTATTATATATTAGTTTTACCGGTTTTCAATTCAATTTATTTTAAAACTGTTTCCATTCATAGTTCAATTATCATTTGGATGAGTGTTTAAATAGATCAACTATTTTAGAAGTAGTCAAAGAGACTTTAATAAATCATCAATTAACTGATAGAGATTATTGTACAACTACATCACAGTCTAATCACTTGAATTCATCATCACATGATATTGGTATTCGGTAAGATGATTTGTTGAATTTAATTATATATATATATATATATATATATATATATATATATATATATATTATAATGCTCAGTTTTGCTTCGTCTTAAGTTATAACGGTTAGGTTTTCACGTTTACACGTATGGGACGTTAATTTACCTTAGACGAATATCTACACTAGATTTCCTTCCAGTGTCTATTCTACAGGACTTCAACACAACTGAGATCAAGAACACGTGATTAGCCTGACCACAGCGTAAACATATTTTCGGACCAAAACCCGACACAATCCAACAAGAATGAACGATCAATTATAAGTGAGTAATAATAATAATAAGGATAGGGGAATATATAACTCATCTGACACTTGTCAGACTATCTACATGGCTGACTAACCAGACAACCAATCACTAATCATTCTCGCCCACACATCAATATATATATATATATATATATATATATATATATATATATATATGAATGGATTCGACTCGGAGTTCGCCTCAATATTTGCTTCCTCGTACACACTTGATCTTTTGCTCAAATTCTCTTAGTATGCTTTTAATTTTGTCACCTGCTCTATTCAATAATACACTGTAGTAGGCTCTACATGTTGCCTTCTGAATTTGTGTACCGTTAGGATTTATTTAATGATGTTTATCCGGATGATTGATAGACGAAGCCTAAAGTATTATATTGAAGTCAATCCACTACACTATCCATTCATTTCAGTTCAAGTTGAAAAAGCTTACATATTTTTTTACTTCATATTATTCATACCCAGTTATTGAGATCAACTTCTTGTATCAATGTTGTGGTTCGCTTTATTATCTTTATAATGGCAAATTACGTTTTTCCTCTAATAAATTCTTACCATTTTTCTCTCTTTCCTTTTTTTTTTCTATGATATACTGTTTGAAGAAAGGCAAAATTGCCAAAACTTGAAGTTAAACAATCCAAAAATAGTAACATATCAACAACAAAGTCAATGACGACGGCAACAGCAACAACAACTTCTCATGGACCTCTTGATAAATTTATATTTAATTCATCTACTGTACATTTTGATTAGAATTATATATGGAATTCCCAGAATAGAAAATCATTTACTACTTATTCATTGTAATTATTAATTATTTGAATAGTTTCAATCGTTAAAATAATTTACAAATTCTATATTATTTTTCTTATTGTTGTCTTCCATGAACTAGGCGTTGAACCAAATGTGAAATAGTTCATTTATATTTTAGAGTTAAGATTAAAATAAACACTGAGTTTCTTTCATTTATACATCCAACATTGACAGTAATTTTTCATGTTTGATTTTATTCATATTTTTGTTTCTTTTTCTGATATTAAGTCGATAGAAAGTCATCAATAATTTCTACTGATTAGATTTCTATTTTCATATTATTTACCAACGATATTTATGTATATAATATTTTATTACACATTTACAAATAAATTTTTCTACTGATCTGGTTCATATTTATACATATACTGATAGTCAGTCAGTCAGCTATAACGTAGGACCTGGCATATATATGCATCGGTCCAAGTTGCCATACTGCATTAGCACAGCATGTTGAACACCGGATTCATAGAAGTAGTTAAGCCAATGGTGGTAATATATAAAAGAAAGAACGCATATAAGGATATAGTACAGGAAGAAAGAATTAGTTGGTAGAAAGAAAGATATGAAGCGATTTTATGCTCTTAGTTTAAGGGAGGACAGAGAGTGCATACACCCACTCCATTGTGATCAATTCTGAGCCATGTCTCAAAGAGTCTCCAACCATTGGTTACGATAGTCACGCGGATCCCAACCGAGTAGTCTGCATCTACCAACATGGCTCAGACTAGAAGTTAGTGACTTCAAACACTGATGCCACGTTTTGGTTTGGCCGCCCCTAACTTCCTTCCAAACATCCCCTCCACTAGTCATCATTGCGCGTCGTGGTAATCGGTGTTCAGGCATACGCAACACGTGGCCCAACCATCTCAGTCGATGAAGACTCAATATACTGATAGTCTTTGTTTTATCGATTGTAATGTACAATAATACCTTAGATTGTTCTGGTAATTATAAAGTCATTATATCACTATCCTATTAGAGTTTACACAAAGTTGATTGAATTTCAAACCAAGTTAGGTTATCGTACACCAGAGGTTATCAAGACATCAATAAGGATCTTCCAACAATAGATAAACTGAAAGATTATACAAAAAGAAGACAGCAGGAAATACATGTGATAATTTTAAAGTGTATGATTTTATTTTCAACACATTCAAAATAAAAATTTGTGTACAAATGCTTTAAGCTTTAGGCAGATTGGTATTATGAAAATGAAGAATGATTTAGTATAGAGATATTTCTAATGATCAAAACACAATTCACAGCATTAACAAGTGGGCGAGTCTATAATTTTTGAACAAACAAATCAGAGATAAGATAACAGGACTTGGAATTTGGCAGGGAATTCATTTGTCCATTTGGCTAAATAGAGTTTTGGCATTTTAGCTGATGTCATCTCGTGATAAAAACATTAAATTAAATTCTTAACCCTAACCATCAACTATAAATCATAATTCTAATTACCCACATTAATTTCCAACCCTCATTTAGTCCTAGTTAGTAGGTGAACATTCTCAGATTCATTCAAACGTCGTCTATAAATTATAGTCTCATTAGCCGTTGTTCAACAGTTTATCTCATGAACAGTACAAGTATTTGGTGCTGACATTCATAATAATCAAATCGAAAAACAATCATTGTGGTAGAAAATCTTACAATAGCTCCATCTTTGGTTTAATAAGAGTCAGTCATTGTTTATACTGTTCGTATATGTTGATTTTTGATTTCATCTGTATTAGTAGGTTAACTGAAGGAATTGAAGTATAATCGTGGAGAAGAAGAATTCCAGTTAATGTTCTAGTTAGTTTGATACAGTTTGCTTAAATACGGCTCATTTAGCTGCGGAGAGATTTGCTCTGCCTCATTACTGATAGGGTTTTTGTTTCAGCGATTATAATTTACAGGAATGAGTTAGATTGTTCAATGATTATAACTAGAAAGACAAGCTGTTTACATTCCATTCTGATGATAAATAGCTATAACATAAAGTTGAGTGATCGTCATATATTTAGTGCTAAATATTCAGTTGTGTTCTACTTAACACGTAATAGAGATATATTGTACACGGTTTATACACAAAACATTGGCCTACTCCTGTTGCGTTTAATAAGTTGATCTATTCACTGTTTAAATCCTTATGCAGAAGGTAGTATTTGAGTTCATGACATCTATCTTGAATTGATTGCTATCTTTCAGGAAGACTTATGTGAATCCTTATTAAATCTGTATAGTTATCTAGCTGACCAACAGTTTTCTCTCTATAAGTAAAGATGGATGGTTTCTCTCTATTTGCAAGCTGATTATCGTGGAGATCTTTAAGGTTGTTTCACAGATATCGTGACATTTAGTTTGATGTGTATTAAATATTGCAGTTTTATTTTTGAATTTTGTTATTGCTTGTGGCCGCCAAACAGAGAGCAGTGACTTATCGATCGGATCAGTGACGCGTAAACGCATATGAGCAGTCTGGAATCATTATCGGTCCTGCTTTCCGCCTAGCCCAGCCAGTTAAGTCCAGAACACAAATCTCAACCTCTGCAACATGAATCATTTATTTCAAACATACTCTATTTATATACCAATCAGACAGACCACACTGTACCCTACAATAGGAAATAACATTTGCACAAGATTTGGCCAAATGTGGCTGTGAACGTGGGAAGTAGTGATTAATAGACAGGGTATAATTCAAGAATGGTAAGTCGTATAATAATAGTTCCTAGGTCAAAATAAAGCTCATAATAAGAGGGACATGAATATCTATGGTTTAGTTATTTAACAATTATACGATAAAAATGTACGTATAGTATTGATCCATTTTTGGATCACAAAAGTTACCATTCATTATGCCTATCAGGACTTAACAAATTTGAAATGAAATCAAGTCTGGCTAGAAAGTTTCAGCTGGTGTGAACAAATCACATATTCGGATTGTCAAAGTCAATTACCTACTAAGATAAAGTATTTTAACCATTATTAACTCATAATGATTATATAAAAAAGTTCTAGTTCGCTGATTATTAGTCTGACGCATAATTTTATTTTACTTACCTACACCTATTACTCCTCATGGAGGAGCATAGGCCACTCACTAGCAAATTGTATTTTAAGGTTTCCTTAATTGTGTCTGTCCTATAACTTTCAATCAGTTTGTTGTTTTTAAATACATTTATTATAACTGATAATAACAGCATCAAGTTATTCAAATAATAGTAATATGAATCAGGTAGAGTTCACTATGATTGGTAATAACGGATATATAAAAAAGATGAAATAAAATGACAGATTAGCACCGAATGATCTATTTTCAAGGACTTCTGTTTTGATTCTTATTTCTTTTAATTTAACACCAACTGTAAACTTAATGACTTTCTAAATATAAACTTATATTGGTGTTGTTTATTAAATTTAAAACTCAAGTATGTAGAAACGGAGAACTATTTGCCAATATTTAGTTATCTGTAGATTTTATTTAATATGAAATTTATATGAAGATTTCGTTTTATAATTCATTAGTTAGTTAGTGGGTAATAGACATTATGAAACCATTTCTAACATGTGATCATGACTGACAGTTCGTTTAGTAAAACTAAACATAATGTTTTTACATTTAGTATGAAAATGAGATTTTAATAATAATGATAGTAATAATAACAAGACAATGTTTAATTCACTTTTGTGTTGGTTGTTTGAATTTTCCCATTGACATTTCAGACTGCAATTGTTCAATTAGTTATTGGCATATATGAGTCCTGGCTTTGAGTGCCTCAGTGAACAACAACCTTAGGATACAGGTACACCCAGCTGACGATTTCTAAATAAAACGAAACGAATGTCCTGGATTCTATTGCTAGTCATCTCTGCCTAAATCATAATTTTATAGACATAATCATCCGATATGTATTTATCATTATAGTACAATTTGTTATTTTCACTTTACTCTATTATTAAAATGGTTTAAAATTTTTATAAGGAATTTTATCTAATTATTTACTGTTTATTTTAACTATTCTGTCGATTGACTTTACAATGTTTATTTGGTCTGATTTAATTCAAATGGTGTAAATAACTTTGTGGGTGTAAATAATAGCTGATTATTGGCTAGACAAAATAAAGTAAATAAGTTATACGAATATTCGTCAAGATTAGAACGAATAGTTTGACAGAAATTGGACGCCGAGTATAGAGGAGTTATTATATGTGAAAATTATGTATGAAATAATCTCAGTGATTGAAATTTAAATCGTTCCAACGTTTCGTCCAGCTAACTTGTCTAGACGAAACGTTGGAACGATTTAAATTTCAATCACTGAGATTATTTCATACATAATTTTCACATGTAATAAAGTAAGCAAGTTTTATTCGTATACTAACTGCTTTGTGCTTTTTTTTAACAGTACTTCAGTTTGGCGCTAAGCAAAAAGAAAAACGACCAGCGAGCTAAACATCTCATGTAATTATGACTGAGATGTGTTGTTTTAATTCAAGGTACCAATAAGATTTGGACTACAGTAACATTAATGTCTGTGATATTATACTGCCATATTATAGCTGTGATTTAGTAATATGCAGCATTGGGAATAAATATTGGTCTTAGAAAAGTATCCCATTTGAGATGTACTCGATATGCTTATAACTTTATTGTCTGTGCTATCCGCTAACGAATTATAGTTGCTGCTTCTCATTGCCTTCTGATTTCAGACACCGTTGAGATTTATGTAATAACGATTATCAAAATGATTGATTGATGAAGCTAAGCCACTAGAGACACACCATCAAGTCGATTTGTGAAATAGATATCATCCACATTTATTGCTATTGGTCAGCTTCCGTTTATTACTTGACTTAGTTGAATTTCTTTTAAGAACTTCAGAACATCTATATTGAAACTTTAGTGAAGTTCTTTGTTAATAAATGATAAAAATTTAGATAAGGTTAGAAATGTACACCGTAATCTAAAACTATTGCGAGACGGTTGCCTTGATGGTTTTCAATAGTTCTTTACTTAAAAATCTTTCGTGAAGATAAATACCTTCGAAAAAAACCCATCCGATTTTTAAAATACATTACTATTTGGTCGGTCAGTCAGTCTATCTATCTATTTATATGGTATTAAACAACATCCTTGGATATATTTCTATCTATAGTATATAAAGTTGATTGGTAAACATTATAAAAATGATGTTTGATTTCGTCAGCTAAAATGGTCAATAATATGCATCAAACAACTAGCAATACTCACCCCCTTTTTTATTAGTAAAATAATCATTTATCAAGAAGATCGAGTTTAAGTAGTTCAGTTTGGTTACGCCCATTTGTTCAGTAGATGTCTCTTAAACTAATATAGAAACCAAAATAAGGTTCCTTATTTTGATAAGGAATAATAGTAGTAATTAATCATTTGATTAACATGAATACGGTATATGATTATGCTTTTTTTAAACCGAAATTACAATCTAAACTTCTTTACACTATTCTAGATTTCATGTGATTAAATAATCTCCATAGCTTATGATTAGAATATTTTTTGTTTTTTTCTATTTACTATCTTTGAAATTACTACATGAAGAATGTATGACTGTAAATGCTTCCACGTTTCTAGAATTTTCATGGTGAAATGGAATAATCTATTGATATTAGTACACTTCCAGTTAATGATGTTTGAAGCATACACGTGATGTCTGAAATTACGAATCGCAAAGCGAAATATTCATAAAATAATGTAATAGGTGTTTGATTTTGTAACTTGGACATTCCATTTGTAACATATAGTGTCATTTATGGTTCAGTTAATGGATGTTAGATATTTGGTAAAATGTAGCAAATATCAAAGTCTAGCTTTTACTAGGTCGCCTCAGATATATTCAGTCGTATCGATCAGATTATGAGTGATGTATTTACTTGTTTATGGCTTTTTTAGATCGTTTATAATGAAATTCGGAGTATCAATAAGTTTGTATATGCTAATCAATCTCTTCAGTATTCATAAACTCCCTAAACCTCTTCCCTACTCAAACATCATATAAAGAATGATTTTTTTTTAAATAAATGACCCTTGGATACTATATGTAATTACTATCCAACTACAGAACCATGAGTTTCAAATAACTCTTCCCATTCAAAAGTTTGATTCGACCAAAAACAGCAAACTTAGGATAATAAAAGCGATTCATATATTTGGCGATTTATCTTCAGCTTCTTACAATTAATGTGCATGTATTATATCATATTAATGGATAGTTATGGGATGAGAACAACAAATATACAAGAAGTAAACAAGTAGTTTATAGGCGTGCGTCTCATATATCAAATCTTCTCAATGAAATATGCCATAATATCCGATTTACCATTCACCAGGAATACGATAAATTTCTTTTTCTTAATGTTAGCATTCAACTCGATTCGAATAATCATGAAGAAAGATCTAGGCATTAAAAATATACTTGAAATGGCATTTATTTGGATTTCAGTAGTTTCTGCCCAACAGACTACAAAATGTCTTACTTAGAAAACTATTCAGTTATGTACTGCAACCGCGTTAGGCGAACAAAACAGGAGAAAAACTAATAATGACTGAATAGTGTTTGCAAGATAATGTTTATGCACAAAAATTCATCAGTAAGAATGGGGAAACAAGAACAAAGGGAACGGAATGTGCTACAGACGAGAAAAAGTCAGTATTTCTACAGCTTAGCTTAACAAGTGATAAAATAGCTAGTGTAGTTAATTCAATACTTGAATTATGTTGAAAATAACTCATCCAGATGTTAAACTGATCTCGTTTTGTCAAAACAACTGCTTGCTGAGACAAACAAAATAAACGAATTTCAACTTTATTTTACTCCCAAGTGTATTTTTCAATTTACATGTTTTCAGCACGGAGCACGTTCTGTAACAATTGAGATGAAAGGGTATAAGCATTTTGAATAGTGCGATTTCCCATCAATTACTTGAAAGTGGAGAAAATGTTGATATTTCGAATCTGTTTAGAATAATCAATGGTCAGACAACTTTGGATTTACTACGTTTCGATAAGAGTATTGTTACTAAAAGATTGAGGTCGAACCTGTGTATTAAATGGGATACAGTTGCAAATCTCTCACTACGATGGTAACTTAAACTTGCGATTATTAAGTGACGTAATATTTTACTTCATGTACTCAACTGTAAGTTCGTTTTGTTCATTGTTTCAATTTTTGAGCTTTAATCATTTCATTTTATCAATTTCTCCTATTTTACGGTTGTTATTACGTAACACTTGCCAGAAATTTCCATTTTTCTATATCAGATACTCGTTTCATTATTTTACGAAATTTCCACGTTTAGTGACATAAAAATTTATCCACTTTAACATTTTATAATTCTTCCTTATACATGCTGCCCATAAACTAATTGTGACACCCACGTGGTATATTCTAACTTTTGGACATTAAAATTAACCTGATCTTTTTGAGTTGTTATGCACACCCATATTTACCCCAGTCCATCAAACACTAGTAACCTTATTTGTTTCACGTGAGTATATATGTACGCATGTTTGTTTATCATTTACTCTAACCGTTACCTGTTTTTAGTTTGTTTCTATCTGTCTGAATATAAACATTGATTTAAAAACCCGTTTGATAAAACTGAGTATATAGTGAAATCCTTCTCCAAGCTGTACGTCTTATAGCCTGCCTGAATGAATGAATGTCTGAAATAAATCCTTTCAAATCAAGTCGCATTCGGCTTTCTAATGACCAACTTTGTCCACCGATGTTAGCCTGAGTATAAAATATGAAATTAAATTAAATCTCATGGTTCATTCATCCCTCGTTCATAACGACATCAATTCGTTTTCAACAATTAATCTTCATTAATATGATAAAAATTATGTATATTGGTTGCAAATGATCAATACGATTGTTTGTAGGTCGTAGATAGCTGAAGAGAAATCATGATTTAAAAGAATTTAGAACTAAATAGTTTGCAGTTTATCCCTGACGTTTGCACAATCACGATGGTTGTAGAATATTTGTAAAAGATATCTTTTTCACTATAAACTGATGTCATTACTAACCAGGGAATTCCCACAATATAGTCAGGAAAATACTTATATCAGAATCTCAAGATATCCAATCTTATATTCTTTTATGATCAATTAGAAGAAAAATAACTTTTTCACAGTAAGAAGATTTTTACTTAAATCTGATAATGTCAAACTGAAATTTCATTTATCTATGGCTTTCAAAAAGAAGTTAGAATTGTTAGGGTTTCTACAATTCACCTAAAGAACTTTACTACAAGCCGTATTATCTATATAATCAGAAGTTACACAGTTTATTCTCTCGGTAAAGATGAGCGAACATCGTTACTCTTCCTAATAAGTTAAACTAATATAATGACCTATATGTAATTGCTTAAGTTAGTCTGCTGGATCTGGTGCAAACGTGCAAGGGTCCACGTTGCCACACCTTGCATCAATACAAGTGAGGAATTCAGTCGGATGTAAAGCAAAGAAAATGAAGTAATCCTCAACTTAGATGGAAATTTAGACATAGGGAATTCAGTTTTAAAAGAACAAATACAAGCAATTTATTAAGTGTCAGAAGTGAAAAGACGAATACAACTGCATCACGATGAACGATTTCGAGTTACATCAATAAACATCTACAGACACCAATTACGATTAAATTACCGTAATAGCACGGGCTTAATGAAAGCAAATCTCCACGTGGTGACGTGACTTAGATCATCAACCGATAAATATGACTTAAATTCCTCATGAAACATGGTGAACCTACATCCGCGTTAATTGAATAAATCGAGTTGATAGGTAATGGTGATTACGAGAGGGATCAATGTAGTTATATTTTGTCCTTAAGCCTTCACTGTAACACTTTCCGGGATAATGACTTTAATTTTCCTTAAATTAATACATTCACGCTTGTATAATTTATTACTATGATCAAATCATTTATTCTCAGAAACTATAAACTTAATAAAAGTGTTCATTATATCTGAATTATTGATTGAATGAAATAGAGAATTTTAACTTGTTTACAATCTCATAAACCCTTTCATCTACTTTTGTTTTCGTTTTAAATATATTTTAGCTATAAACTTTGTACACTAATTTACTGCTCAGTAGCTATTGTTGGTAAATGAATTACATCGATCCATTTTCAATGTAATCACTGATTTAATTAATTCAACTTTACACTTCACAGTTTTATATCCAAAGTAGTTAGGATCAATCAACATAAAACCGTGAAACAATTGTGAATAACGTGTAGCACAATTGAAGGATTTTAGAGATACTGAAGTATCTGGGTTCAAAGAAAACAACAACAAAGGAAATCTAAAATTAGAGTTTCTTATTTAATACCTCAAATCAACTTAAACCACTTACATCATGTTATCGATTATTGACAAATTAGGGGATAATTCTGAATATGTCATTATATATTTATTATAAATAAATGAAATCTAGCAACTAATTAGTGGGATCATAACATGAAATAAGATTATACTTTCCTTCAGGGATGGACATTATTAATTCTGGATCTTGTGCAACTGTATAACAATTCAAGTTGTCATAACAAGTGAGAATCTTATAGTGCAAAAAGGAAAATTCATAAAAATAATAACAATTGTAGCGCATAACTGAATTATTTAAAATGTATTATGATATACACTGCTTTCAACTTGATATCCTTGTTTGATTATATGTGTAATCGATTTCGTAAAAAGATTACTTATTTAATATTAACTCTTTATTGTCTTGTTAGTAGATTAATTATTGAAAAAAAAGGGAAATATTAATTGTTTTATTTATTTAATTTGTATTATATTTTTGTGGTACATAATTCAAATGTGTTTTTCTTTTAGAAAATATACTCGGTAGAGGATAGAATTCTTATTATTGATTTTATTGATTTCATTAGTTTTATATAATATAATTTTTATCTTTTATTTTCTTCTTTTATTTCTTCTTGTTCAAAATTAGATCATATTTTATTTTAAACAAGATCAGGTTTGGCATACATTGATAATAAATTATAATTAAACATAATGAATTTAATTAAACGTTGTTCTACTTCTTTCTTATATTCATTATTATATAATCGTTTTAATTCTTGAAAATCATTTAGTGAAACCTATTGAAATATGTATGTAAATTATTAATTATTCAATAAATATGAATCTGAGAAATTATACAAACAGAATTGAGCAGAAAGTTCAAACAATAAATTTTTTAGCGAGTTAGTTTTCTACGGGATGGGGTCGCTAACCTCCATGCCCAAACCTCCTCCTTTATCCGAGCTTGAGAACAGCAGTAGACCCCAGAGGGTCTGCAGGCGGAGTAAATTTTTTTATTATTGGGAATCGATATAATTTGTAAAACAGTTGTAAAGTATTAAGTACTGGATATTCCGTTTTAGCTTACTTTGTAATTATCTATTATTCAGTATCCATTTAAGGTTTTCTGTCGATTAACTCAAATCATTTAGTATTTCGAAATGGTATACTCTATGTCAATACATTTAGACTAATGTTAACATTCTAATTTGATTGACAAAATTCAATTGACATTCAAAAAGAATGAATAAACATGAAGTTGGTTACTATTCAGTAACCAATCAATTGTAAATATATCACAGTCTTACAAGAGATCAGTCATAGCCAAAATAGCTCAATGGTAACAACTTAGATTATGTCAATAAATGACTCTTGTTAAGATCTCATGGGTAGCATTAATTGCTTTACGATTGTACGTGTGTTTGATTGATGAATACTAATTAGGGTCTAGGGTTTCCTCTCACCCACCTCCTAATATTGATTACTTTGGAGTAGTACGAACCCAAGATCTTCATATATTGTAATGCACACTACATCTTTGAATTATTTGGTCGGAATAAATCCATTTTTATTTTCAACCTCAATTAATTTGTACGAAGTCGTAGGTGAGCACTAATAGAGAGTCTGAAAACTAAAATAGAATTGTTTACACAGTGATATGAAGTGTTTAGTGGTTGTCTAAGTAATATTGCTTAGTAATGAAAACTTTCCTTGAATCGTAAACAATCTTTACAGTTATCCTATCAAATAAAATTCATACATAAATTAATAGATTAAGTAAGCTATGAAAATTGAGCAGTGCTTAAAAAGAAGTGTAGTAGAATAGATACTGTATACTCAGTTTACGATATTTTATTTTGATCGATTATTAAATTCTTTTGTATATTCTATTCTAATTCAAATAAATCATGATATTTATTAACATACTCCTTATCAGTCCATATAGTCTTGTTTACATTTACTCTTATCAATCTATTAGGCAAAAAATGTAGTTAGATCAATGATAAGATCAATCTTGATACTGAATTTCGTCCAAATAATAATCATGAAAATCTATGAAGTATTTAAAAGTTGATTCATTATGATTATTCATTTCAAATTTTCCAATCAATCTAAGTAATTAAATAATAATATTTATTTACTCTGAAGAAGTGGCTTACATTGAGTGACGAAACGTCAAAAATACAATATTCCTACTTATTGGAACATTTATTTATTTATTTTAACACATAGGTATTGGTACAAGGAGGCACCAAATACATATGCGCCACACGAATCTCGATTGATTTGTGTGAGGGCTGTGATACTGCTCGGGTGGAACATAACATAAATACATTTACTATCAATTCTCTACCCCAATGCTCAGTTTATTTGAAACTATCAAGTACAACCTTGGTATTGATACGTATCGATAAGAGATTTGATATAGTAAAATTTAAGCTGATTAAGTCAATTTCATGTTTGTTTTATGATGACTATCAATCGTGACTAATTGTCGTATTAAAAAAACCACAATTGATTAGTTGGATTTTCCCATATATATCGAGATTAGGACTTGCCTCCAAATGCCTTGGTACAGCCGAGAGTGGGCCATGGTTATAGCCACACGTAAACAGCCACTTACAATGAATTCCTACTTACTTCCTTCTCTCAAACAGGGTGTTGCTTATATAATTGAGAAGACAAAAAGCGAATGTTTGATGCTTCAACCGGGTTGGTGAATAAAGAGGATCCACCTATAGCAGTTGGAAACCCCTCATTCCAAACCAGTGGTGCACATGGGCCCCAGTATCCCAAAGGGACAAATGTTGTATGAACCTATTGTTGGTTACTAGCTATTATGGGACTGTGTCTGTTAACGTTGCTCCATTGTCTTGTGAATTGGACCTCTAGGTCAAAGACTCGGGGAATGACCTCCTAAGAAAACCACCTGCTTTATTTTGAGCGCTTGGGTAGTATCCCAGCCCTCATGTCAATCGAATGACGAAGTGTAGCGCCTCTTTGTATCAATGTTTATGTGTTTAAATAAATAGATAAACAAAAATGAATAAGAACCAAAAGCTAGAAGGCTCAATTGAAAGTGAAATCGGTTAATAAAAAATGGTACTATTAATGTTAGAATGGTAAGTTAGAAATTTCTGACTTAAAACTTAGAAGTTACCATTTCATTGTTAAAGATTGAATTTGTTTTTCCAGTTGATGAAAGTAAATGCGTGAAATATTTATATTTTTTTCTACCTAAGTTAAGAATTAACTTATAAACAGGATTCCTCAGCCAACAATTTAAAAATTATTTCATACCTTATCTTTTTCTTTAATTATTGTTCGTAATTTTGCTTCTATTGATTCGTCTGCCATCGTAGGCTGTAAAATGTTGAATTAATATGAAAATGTACAAATAAATATTCATATTTATAAAACTGCATATATATAAGTAGATCAAAGGAGGAAGACTTTATTGATCGGGGTAGTATGACAACCGCTGTTGCAGCTAGCTTTTTCGCTATTTTGATTAGATTTTTAGTTCAAGGAACAGTCATACTGAATTACAAGTACAGATGAATGGTGGTTAGCTTTGAAATCCAGGAGGCACGCTTCGCCCTAGTCAAGACTCATAAACTGAATCCCATAGTTGATATTCACTTCGTGATTCGAACATAGTACTGTTCACCTCATCGAGCTATTCATTCAGCTACTACATCCAGTTGGCCATTGGCTTATATTTCATCAGTAAATTATTACCCTTTTCTATTCTTCATAAATGTCGACACGAAACTTTGTATTACAGCAAACTCATGTGCATTGATTGTGAGCATTGTTTTAAAGTCTACAGAACAATGGATAGTACTGCGGTGTGTGCTACTTATTTAGACATAACTAGTATATGATGTTAGTCGTAAATAGAATGTCTGGCAGCAGAGAGATAGGAAAATAGAACAGTAAAGTATGAAAACAGAATGCAATTTGTATAAAAATTCAGGAACAATCTAGTCTGAGTTATTTTGAGACAATTCATAGACATTTTGCAAATTGAGAATTTAATATATGGTTGTTAGATTTTACTAACAAGTGCTGTAATATCGTGTCGAACATATTCGATTGCCCCTACTGGTGTTCTTATTCATTACGGTACTACCTTAATTCATAAAAGCCTAATTTCGAACAGTTAGATCTGTTATCGGGATTTCATTGCATAATTCTCAAAATCAATTTCACACAAAAATGATAAAATATATATAAATACTATCACAAGAATGAATAGGTTCAAGAGACACTTCTGTAGTTCTAGTAAGAATCCATGAACAGTGGAGTTCAACCAGATCTGGTGTGAGATATTAGCTCACTGAAGACAATGGTGACGGCGGCGCAATTTCGTCGATTGGTTGAATTTATATATTAACACCGTTGAATGCCGGTTCAGTGGTCTAATGGTTAGGCGCTCGCGCGCGAGACTGATATGTCCTGGGTTCGAATCTCGCAAAGAGCGGGATCGTGGGTGTGCACTGCTGAGGAGTCTCATACTAGGACGGAACGGTCGTCCAGTGCTTCCAGGTTTTCCATGATGATCTAGCTTCAATTGACTCATGACTTCAACTATTGAAATAAAAAAATAGTTAACTTATCATTTGCAAAGCTATTTCATTACACAACATTTCTATATAGTGATGGTATTTTAATAAAGTTCCTTCAAACTGTTTCTCATAGATAGTTTGATTGAATTTGTAAAATTGAATAAAAATCTATCTAATTAGAAGAAGGAGTTTAATGATTAAAAATTTTAATTCCAGTCTATACGTCAATTAGTAAATGACATAGTTATATAAAAGGGTTTCATTCAATAATCTAAAGTATTTGGTAATTATTTTATCAGAAGTCTAAATCATATTATTTGTGTCAGAAATTTTAATGATATGTGTAACTATGCAGAAACATTAATATCTGTTGTAAAATGAATAGTGATAATGAGAAACCGTTTATCTTTCTTACAAAATAGTTAGGATATTATTGTGGCAAATATCATTCAATGAAATCAAAGTTTGAAGTGAAACTATAAATTTAAAACGTAAATTTCATAACCTTAGTATGAGGTGCTATAGAGATCATTGAATTTTGTAGTTTCACATCACTGACTACATTAAGTCACTGAAAACCAAAAAGTACTGGAAATCAGCTTTTTCATAATATAAAACTTCACCACATGAAATAACTGAAATCACTAATGAAACTAATAGGTTCCAGATTAATAGTGATTAATAATTATTGATATCATCTTTTGATGGGGTCGTGAATCTTCACAAGTCACGTACCCGGAAGAAACAATGATCCAATGCTTCCTGGTTTTAACTCAAACTCTATCTAAATTCATTCTCTGATCCTAAACTGCGAAATCTATAACTTTATTCCTATGGTTTTATTAAATGAGCAAAGATATACTAAACTTAGTCAAAGTAGTAATCGAATAACAAAAACAAAATCCTATCATCAGAAACTGGATTACTCATTTATACTTTACTGTTTCTTACCGAACATGTGTTAAGCAGGTTACGTATTTCGGACTTGAAATCGGCAAAACGATCGTGATAAATTGCTAGAGACCATGTGTCATTAAAGTAACTGAAAATTAAAGGGAAAATATACATTATTGATTATCGTAAAGAAACACAATTATATGAACGAAGCATATGCTTTTCAATAATTTCTTATTATGTTCTACAATTATGAATCCAAATTAATAATCTATAAAATTGGCCAAATTTAAGGCAGAGTACATCATTTGGAAATTTTAATATGTTAATCAAGAATTGTTGTTTGTCATATAAAATCAAATCAAATCTTTCATGTTGGGGCTGACTAATGTGAAGTGTTAACTTGAATCAGTGAAATGAAATTGTGATGTCGTTCAGAAGAACGATGAAGGCTCCACGACCAAACCATCCAGCTCAGAGAACAAAACCCCACCAAAAAGAAATTGTGAGATAAATGATCAGAATAAATATGGTCAACATAAGGTGAGAGAGAGACAGAATAATGAAATAGAAATCAGAAATTGCGTAATATGCATAAGAATATGAATTAGGTCAGATATAGTAGATGGGGGTGGATGCTGAAAAGTTTTCAAACAGGTTACCAAGTGTAATAATGATAACGGTGATAAAGATAATAATAATAAGTTTGGGCCATAAAAATGAACATTACTCAAATTACGTCACCATATTATAAAACTGGTTATTAACTAGTTGGCCAGGGTAAAAGAAGTGGCTGAACATATTTCTTTTGGATGCAAAGCTCTGGCGTTCTGATCCGAATAGTAATTGCTTCAGACGTCTGCAAGTTTCTCAGTCTGACGGAATCAGGTAGACTGCTGTTAACATGATATATTATTACGAAAGATTGCTCCATGTTAACTGAATTAAATGGGGTAAAATCGAGCTGTTAACCATTTTGACTACACCTTTACTTAACCAAACTTGGAGGTGCTCATATGCCCGAACATACAAATTCCTAGAACATCTGTCAGTATAGCTTGCTCCACAGGAGCAGTTGAATTGATAGACACATAAAGAAGTGGCTAGTCCAGGCAATTTATCTTTCAACCTCGGAGTGATCATTGGACGTGTGGAAAACAATAATTGTAGTTTATCTGCATTAAAAGTTCTTTAGATTGATCTGTATAACTTCAGTCTTAGCATTTTACTCGGTGCATCACCTCTGAATTTATTCACAGTTAGGCATTCTTTATGCTCTCTTTCATTGACTGTATTTTTATTTATAAATTTCTCAGGATATCCATTTTTCTTCAGGGTCGTGCATAATATCTTTGTTTCATCTTCGACCACATCTAGAGAGCATATGGTCTTGATTCTATGATGCAATGTCTTAATATGGTTCCTTTTGAATTGCAGATGAACAAAACTAAGAAAGTTTATATATTAACTCGTCCAAGTAGTATATATTAGATACTACTATTTAGTAAACCTTTAACAGTATATAGAAAACTTTCCAATATTATTTATTAGATAAAATCTTCAAATTTTTAACTCTTTTTGCTTTTTTGAAAGTTGTTAGGTAATTAGTGTTCAACTATGATAAACAAAACTGTATCGTTGAAATATTTCTTAAAATGGATCAAGTGTGAACTTAATATTTAAATCATTAATTTATTAAATCTCAATATTTTTTTAAAACTTTTATGATTGTATAAAGGATAGTGTTCATTGTTCTGATATAATGAAATGGATTACTGTTTTTCAATAGTATGATTACATAATATTTCATCTTATTAACAAATTTAAGTGTATTCTATTAACCTACAAATGTGATTAGAAGCACTTAATTAAGAATAATTTAAATAAAAGCAATACAATACAAAAATATCTACATTATTATTTTAAGCATCATAACCCTGTTTTATATTACAACTGTTATCTGTTTATCTAAAACTGTAATATAGGTCATAATCGGCATTGATTATTTATACTTTTGTGAAGTTAACATTTTAATACTATTTCTTTATTCATTAAGTAAAATTAAAAAGAAAAAAAAAAGAAGTCAGTGAATGCCAATTCAGTTGTCCAAAGATTCTAAGCTATTTGTGAGAATTAAATGTATTATGTCCGATGCATTTGTGATCGTGGATATAAAAAAATACTGAGAAATTGCATAACAGGATGAAATAGCTTTACAGTACTGCCTGGTTTTTAGTGTTTGTTTAAATATATTAAGACTGTGATGATAACCATAATTCGATCTTATTCTATTTCTTTGAACTTCTCATTTACCATTGGTATTTCTTGTAATTGATAATAGCATTGTTCTGATCTCTATATCTAATTTGATATGAAGTGTGGGACCTTGGGTCAATGTATATCTGTACAATGTGCTGATTTGTTTATGGATATCTGACTTTGCAAAAATAGGATTTGGATGGCAAACTTTTCGTTCAGATCTATTTAATCCATCTACATTTCCAGGATAATACCGAACTACATAGTAACAATTGAGCTGAGTGGTTACGGTTACGAAATTTAAATTGATTCTTCTTTCTGATGCGGAACTAATACGATGAAGAACAGTTAATTCTGTCTGTCTTGTTAAGAAGTAGTCTGGGAACAGTCTTGGGTGATTGTAACTTAGCTGCCCACAGTAAAACTACTAAGTATATAGAACTAACCAAAAACGTAATTTAACCAACAGTTAAGAAAGAAAACAAGAAACTATAAAGCACTTACTCATAAAAATCATGAATCAAACCTTCATCAAATCTTGACACTAAATGGTTTAAAAGGAACTCATGTAAATTGAATAGTTGAATATAGTTCTCAGCAGGGAATTCCTATAGGGGAGATCGAAAGAGAATATTAATTCGGAACAAATAGTCGCTACGGCAGATTTTTACATTAGATTTTTTGTCAATCTAATAATTGTTATGTTAGGGTGTCGTTTTATTCTCATAAACATGTTTCCTATATATACACCCAGCATGCTACTTAAGCGCGAAGACTAATAAAGAACAGTGAATTGTATTAGAAAAACACAACAAAATATACATCAACTCATTGATATATAGATATAAACCCCTCGGTCTGTTGAGTTAAATAGGTGATAAACATTACAAGATATTATTTCACTGATAAAATTGGTTGGCAAGAAAATGCTCATAACTAATTTATAATCTTTGTTGGTCACAAAAATTGGGTATGAGATTTCACTTATGTGAACTTCAGGTTTTTATAAATGTACCTACAAAAATTTCGGCCTGTAAAACCAGATTGTTCATAGACTATATCAAATTAATTTGACTCAGATCCACGGTCAATAGCTTTCAATTAAATAATTGTGTGGTAATCTAAACTTCAAAAACAAATAAAGATTGATATACAATGAGTGTCTACAAAAGATTGAAAATCCTACTACCTCCATTAGATGGATGTGAGTGACTATCGTAACCAATGGTTGGAGACTGTGGGTGACATGGCTCAGAATCGATCACAATGGCGTAGGTGTATACACTCTCTGTCCTCCCTTAAACTAAGAGATTAAAATCAATTCATATCTTTCTACGAACTAACTCTTTATTCCTGTACTCTATCCTTATATACAATCTTTCTTTTATATATTACCACCATTGGCTTAACTACTTCTATGAATCCGGTGTTCATCATGTTGTGCTTATGCAGTATGGCAACTTGGACCGATGCATATATGTGCCGGGTCCTACGTTATAGCTGACTGACTAACTGACTGACTAATCGGATTCACTTACATGTTTATTTTACAATAATTATGTAGCATTAATTATTACAAAATTCTCAAACCTGATTTATGTATTCAAATCAGAGACAGTAATAAACTTATTACTACCCTGGTAAATCAATTTTCTGGTCAATAGTTTTATTTTGTTAATGTTTAGTTTGTCATATTTCTCTTCCATTACCGAATTCTTAAACCACCCCTTCACTCATATATTTACATTCACTCGATTCTCTTAAATTATGTAGACTCTTCAAATCCCATTCAGTTATTACGTAATCCATCTTACGAGCTTTTAAATTCCATGAATCTTATGTAAATCCTTCATTACCTCTAAAATTATCATATAATTTATCTTATCTGTCTCTGAATTTTACTCAACTATTACATAACCCATGCTTAATGTTACCTTGATTCTAACACCAAATAAACTCTAACCTGTTCTTGCACACATATACATAATTATTATTGATAACTTTTGTCATTCACATTCTTTATGTGAATTGTTCCACACTATATCTTACCTCAATGTTAAATTCTAATACATATTTGGTTGTAAGCAGCTGATGAAAAACCACGACATATAATGAATGCATATTTTTCTACATCAATGTTCATTCTGGCTTTAATCCATATAGGGAAATAATTACATGAAATTATCACAAAGTCTTAATATCCATAATAAGAACTGTTTCATCATTATTTTACACATAAAAAGACAGTATTATAAGTAGTAAATAAAACCTGTTTCACCTTTGTAGATAAACAGGTTATGTCCTGTATTAAATTATACTTATTGATATAGATAGAAAAATATCGTATTTCTTCAGCATCTTCACCAGTAACCAGTAAACGACCCTATGATGAAAATCAAAATACACAGAATATATATACATGTATCGTTTACAAAGTTATTTTGCTCATTAAAATGTACGAATTTTCACTTCAAAAGTTATTTAGTTTACCACTAAATATCCATGCAACATAAAATATCCAATAAAAATGATAGAGTAAGTGATAATTCTTTTATCGTAGTATAATGAAGCTTAAAAGTTGATATTTAACACTTAGAGAATAAAACCTGAGTCTTTTTAGTGTTGTAGTGTATAAACTGTGATTGACCTTTTCAATGATGATTCAGTATCAGATACTACTGTAGGATAATGTAGTCAATAACAACACTCTTCAAAAGGATGGAAGATATTCATGATAGATAATCCTAATAATAAAATGAAACGTTTAATGATGGACAGAAAAAGTTTTAATTACATAATATCAGTTTAAACAGTCGGCTGATGAGGTAAACGGTTCCGTATTTTTAATTTTGTCTCATGATGCTGTGTAGTTTTTATAATCCAATCAAATAGTTAATTATTCTTTTAGACTGATTAATATAAATTATTCAACTTTTTTTCTGCATAAATCTTTTGATATTTGTTTAAACCTTAGATTCAGTGCTACCTAACACGAGTCTATAATGATACCCGAGTTTAAAGATCATGAGTATAGACAATGCTATAATAATTCATTTATATGTTATTTTCGGTGATGGTGATCTTTATCAATAGACGAGTAATTAGTTTCTATAATGGGATTCTCATCTTCCAACTATAATTCTTGTAATATTTGATTGATTTTCTTGTCTATATCTTCATGAACAAGAAATTTTTGCAAAAGTAAATTGTGGACAGGGAAACTCAGCACATTTTATTTAGTTGTATACTTACACATTTACTAGGATATAATCAAGTAAACTTTACTATTTTAATTATCATGCAAAATTTAACTGAAAAACATATTGATTTAAGACAGTTTTAGAAAATGTCAGATAGTACACTCGATATTTTTTTTACAAATAACATTTGACTGGTAATATTGTAGTGTATACTAATTATGTTGTAGTAGTATGTAGTGCTATTTGAAAGTGGAATACCTGCGAGCAGGGGAGTGAGAAGATTGGAATGAAGAGAAGAGGGAAGAAAACTGAAAGCAATCATTTGATGTCACTGACTCTACTCAGAAAGATTCCACGGTCGCTGAAGTTTGAGAAGGAGATGTGCTAGTCTCCATGTAAGAATTTGAGGCTGTTGCGAAGCCGATTAGTGTGAAAAAGCCAAGGCGAAGATGGCAGTACCGCGGACGCTTCTTAGAAGCAAGGCAAAGGTTGTTTATGACAGCTGTGGGAATGCTGGAGAGAGGCGATAACAAAGTGATTGGTGGCAGAAGATGCTGAAGAAGCTCAAGCTGACGAAGTTGTCGGCGAATGGTGATTGATGAATGTCAATGGAGCTAACCAGGCTGTTAGGTTGTGCACTGCCGAATTCGGATGAGAAGTCAGAAGTCTAGTTGCTGGCATCACAGTTCATCGAGAGCGTACCTGTGTCTGATCGATACAGGAGCAGCAGTATCATTAATAGACAAAGAGAAACGTAAGAAACTTAAGTCGTTGCCCTCCATAAGGGGCCATACGTTAGCAAATGTAGTAAACAAAGACTTTGTGAGGAAACCATTGAATTATTCAAGATCACATAGTGGTTTAGTAAAATGTGAATATCATATATTAAGTACATCATTTTCACATCTTCTTTAAATTGTTTGTAACAAATTTCATTGTTTCTTTGTTTCTGTTTCTATTTTGATTGCTTTCAGTTTTCTTCCCTCTTCTCTTCATTCCAATCTTCTCACTCTCCTGCTCGCAGGTATTCCACTTTCGAATAGCACTTTATACTATTATTATTATTGTTGTTATTATTTTAACACATAAATATCGGTACAAGAAGGTACCAAATACATATGCGCCACACAGATCTCATTTAATATGTGTGAGGGCTGTGATACTGCCCGGATGCCCAAACCGAAGCAGGTGGTTTTCTTAGGGGCCACACCCCGAGCCTTCGACCTGAAGATCTGATTCACAATGCAGTGGAGCATCGTAAGGAGATGCAGTCCCATGGTAGCCGGTGACCAACGATTGGTTCATACGCCATTTGTTCCTGCAGGATACTGGAGCCCATGTGCACCATTGGTTTGGGATCCGGTTATAGCGCCGGACGTTTGCTTTTCGTCCTCTCATTTTCGTGAACAACACCCCCGCCACGAGAAGGCAGTGAGTAAGACTTCTCTGGCAGGGGCTGTATACGCGTGGTCTTGTGAGAGCATTTCGAGAGGGAGAGCGTACTTTCCCCACTCTCGGCCGTACCAGGGCATTTGGGGTCACTTTATACTACTTTATGCTACTTGTATCTAAGAATATAAGTAGTATACATCACAATATCACTGACGGTACTAGGGAACGAAGATTACATCACAAAATTTACTTATTTTTTACATTGCAAACAGTATATTATACCATTGTTTTGCGAATTTTCTAAAAATGTTCCATATACCTGATTAGTAAATTTTATTCAGTTGTTTCATTTATTTAACAATACCCTCATTTTAAATGTTTTTGATGTGATTTCCATGTTTGACAATAGGAGATAATTAAATGGAGTAAGTTTTCACTATAAAAGTTGAGTTTTGTACTCATAGAGTAAATATATCACTTTTTTCACAGCATTTATTTGTTTCAGTCCAATTAGTAATGAAAGTAAAAATTCAAGGCAATAATTTAAAATCATTGTTCGAACTCTTAGAAAATAGCCAGTTTTTGGAGATTCATCACAGATCAAAGTGATATAAGAGCAATTATTGTTAATATCAAAATATTATGTAATTCTCTTTTTTCAGTCAATTATAGTCGTTTTATTACATTTCGTTTGAAATAACTAGTTATTTCATCTTAATGATTTAAACGTTTTTATAATGCTCTGAAATCTGTATGGAATTATGTATTGGTACATATTTTGCATAATATTTCCACATTTTAGCATCATTTAACTAATTGCGTTGGTTTGCTCAGTCAGTCAGTAACAACGTGAAACTTCGTACGTGCTTACATCAGTTCGAGTTGCCATACCACATTAGCACAGAGATGCAGTTGTCGATTCGAATCCCGTAGTGGTTTGCTCAACAAAATAGAAAAGTTATTGTTTTAGTAATCGATCAAATCAGAATTTATTGAGCCATTCAAAAAAATCAGATAACACAGATATTTTAACAATCAAGATCACTGAGGTAAATTAAGAAAAAAAACAATAGAGTTTTTATTTCTCAAAAGATATTCTGTTTGAAGTTTACACAATGAAATGTATTGAAACTGGCTATTTTATAGTGGCTGGTTGTATGCCGAGGCCACATAGTTTATTCTAGCCTCTGGACAGATCGATTTATTCATTCTTTATGAGTCACATTTTTTACCCTATCACTTATGTGATTGTCAACCTTTACTGTTCTTATGTAAGCGTATGTGTGTGCATTTCGTATACTATTCATCACATATCTGTAACTTATTTTTGTGTGATCATAAACATCGATTAACACTTGATTAAATAGAGTTGGCTCACTTGCCTTCTCCGTCGCGCGTCACTTTGCTTCTCTCTCTCCTCTTCGCCCAGATCAATGAGGGTACAAAATATATGTATTCAAAAATTCATTCTTGTATTTGACTTATTTAATTTCGTTATTTACTAACGCGATCTAAGTCGATAATTATATACGAGGATTGACGATATATATATTTCAATAGAAATTAGGAATGATCGAAATGGGGTCAGATCTCGGGCCAATAAAATTTATTAAGAATTCATGAGTTTAATCAAGAAATATATGGTAATAATAATAACAAATTCCAGTCTGCTTGTTATTACAATTATGTTTGACTATGTTTGAAGTTTAACGAATTAATTGGAAAAAGTGAATACTTTACGAGGAGGTGTCATTAAATAAAGTCACTATTTTATTGGGTGCACAACTATAATACTCAGTATCACAATCAAAAGTGATACTTTTCATTTATATATTGGAAACTGAAAAGTTGTAAATATACATCGTATTCTTCAAATAGAAATTGAAAACAACTTACGAATTCAGAATTATTCATTCTAGTATCCATGGATTCCCATAATGATGGTTGTGTACAATGAATATAAAAAAGATTACCCGGCAGTAAAGCACCAACAGTTTTAGATTGCTTAAATGTTGGCAAAATAAATGAATCATCTACTGGAGGTGCTTTTAGGTTTTCAATATTTGGATCAAATAAATTTAAAAGTTGATCTCCTAACTATTAGAAAAAATACAAAACATAATACTGTAAGAAAGAAATACAATTATGGAGGTCAAAAATGTTGGCGTCAGAAAGATAAACTACAATCGATTTTGATTCAATAAACAATAAAAAGTTCGAGTCATAGACATCATGTGAAATCTATAGAAGATATAAATATTTCGTGATTTGGATGGTATGAATAGAGAATCCAATTAGTAGACCACTAAAGCATATATTTCTTTTAAAAATAAAAAAGATAAATAATTTTCGATAGATACTGCTAACAAATGTTTTAAATTGAGACAAAACAGTAGATTAGAGGTTTTCTGGTTTTTAGTGATTCTGCAGTCAATATCAATTAGTAGTATAAAAACCGACTGCAAAGTCTACAAGGAGCTTAGCTAGGTCATCCGAATTTCTAAAGATTGAAATCTCACTAGTAACTAGCTTTCTGATGAATTTCCCATGAGAGTTACCTTTTTCTGTATGACTGAATAAGTCCTGAACCAGTTGTAATCCTCAAATGACATTGTTTGAGAATAATATTATAAAATAACTTGACTCAGTTTAAAAATATAAATTACTGGGATTGACAGATAATCAAAATCATTGCTATCAAGACTAGTCTAAAAATGGTTGGCTTGATAAGTTATTGTAAAACAGGTATAATAAATATTGAAAGATGTGGTGAGTTTATTTTATTTAATATATCGTAAACCCTACATTTCAGCAGTAGTATTCCTTATAAATAAATCGTATAAGTTTAATTCAGTGATAAATCTAGATAAATAAAACAGGTTACTGGCAACTGTGGGAGCTCAAATGATCAAACAGAAGGCACAAAAATGACTGTGTCTAAACAGAGCTTGCTAATCACCTGTTACTGCTTTGGTCTTCAATAACTTTTGAAATTAAGAGATATTTCTCATTGTTCATACCATCTAATAACCTAATTATCTATATAAGTGAAGTTTTCATGTCAAAATAACAAATGCTTCGATATACTTGTTATATCTTAACTTCTTCCGATTTCTTGTTGTCCTCTAAAGTTAAAGTAACACCATATTGATAATCTGAAATCGATGACATTTATTTTAACACCTTTAGTTTTCTTTAAAGAGTAAATAATCGTAAAGTTGATTGTTTTATAATAAAATATACATATCTACATTGTATTTGTTGACTTGTAGCTTGTAATTTTCCGTGTGCATAATACTCATCAGTAGAAACAAAGTATCTATAGTAACTATATTAGTGTATGGTGAACTACTGTTAAGGAAATATATTACTTTTGAGATAGGTCTTAATATTGAGCGATGACTAAGTTATTCAAAAATAACTTGGTACTACATAGTTTGCTGATATTATATATAGATCAGATCTAATCAACTCAACACATAAAAATATGTATTCTAAATAATATAATGTATATTCATAGACTATAGTAACTTTGTATGGACTGATGACTGCATAGACGACAATAAATAAGTGTTTGAAATAATCTTAGTGATTGAATTTTAGATAATTACAACGTTCTATCCAGCAAACTGGTCCAAGTTTCTTCAGTGTAATTAAATTACTGTATCATTCCAGTTAGTGAGAAGCCGTGACCAGAGGAGTTTAACCGTATCGGATATGAGGCATTTACTGACCAAATACAATGGAAAATAGTTGTGTAATATCATGGATTGGTTAAAGTTAAACGTTAACACCGTTGGATGACAGCTTAGTAATCTAAAATGAAGCTTTCAAGCGCGAGACTAAATCGTCTGGGTTCGATTCCCAGATGTGGAGTCGTGAACGCGTAGTACTGAAGAGTCCCATACTAGAACGAAATGGACGTCCAATTCTTTCAAGTATTCAATGGTGGTTTAACATTGATCGGTTCATAATTTCAAAAAAATCTATTTTTCTTACTGACTAAATTAAAACACATCTATTTTCTTTTGAAAATAAATAAATAAAAATTGACAGTAAACATTATTATCAGAAAGGGTTTTGTGGAGATTTTAATAATTTTAATAGTCGATTGAAGCTAGACTACAATGAAAAACCTGCAAGCACTGGATAGCCGTTTCGTCCTATCGTGGATGCTTACTACGGAGGAATCTCACAGTAGGACGAAACGGCCGTTCAGTGATTCCAGGTTTACCATGATAGTGTAGCTTCAATGGATTCATGATCTCAACTACTGAAATAAACATTATTATTAATTTGATAAATATATATAAAAGTAACAAAAATAAAAAAAATTTGAATTTTGTTAAGTCTTACACAGTGACCAATTTCCACACTGTTTGCAATTTCATGTCTCCAATAATCATTATAATAAATTCGTTTTAATTTCGTTATTGGACCAGCAGCAAATATTGATGAATCATTTGTACGAAAATTAATATCGATTACTAATCTTGAATCAAATACTATGCATGAATCATTTAAAGCTAATTTAATTAAGAAAAAGAAATAATTCTGATAATAATTGTCATGGCAATTTTTTTTGTTTTGTTTATGAATAAATATTTGAATATACATGCTAGTAACAATACTATCAATAATACAATCAATATAATAGGGGGAATATTTAAATTTGGTGGTTTTGTGAACTATGGTCAATTATTTTTCTTCAGTGAAAAAAATAAACTAATATCGTATAATGTAAAATTAGAAAGTACCAATTACTCTTTATTACAAATAGATTGTAAAAAGAAACATTTAACATATTAATCATTATGATTAAAAAGTATGTTAATTTTTAAGAGATCTATATTTTGATCTCATTTCAAGATATAGGTGTTTAGTATTGAAAATTCTCAAACTATGGTAAAATGGCTTGTAGTAACATCATGTATACTTGGAACATAATAAATGCTTGATGAAATTTATAGTCATATCATACAGTGACATGATAGATTGATAATAAGGTTTTACTAGAACGGATACAAAGTAGGATAATTAAGTGACGTTTCGGTAAATCATAGTAATCAAGTTGGTTATATTTTATATGTTTATACTCAACCACTAGACCACTGAGCCGGCATACAACGGTGTTAATGTCGAACTTCAACAGCTGAGGAGTCCCACAATAGAACGAAACGACCGTCCTGTGTTTCCAGGTTTTCCCTAGTGGTCTAGCTTCACTGACTTATGATCTCAACCATTGGAATTACCATAATATCCAAAGAACCCCTGATATTTATTTGTATTTACCATGATAAATGCTTTAATATGCATTAACTGAGATATAAATTTATTTAAGGAGTTGGGGAGTGACCAATTCTCAAACTTCATCTATTCATTTCATTTACAGATTGTCTACACATACGAATGCATGAATTATCATCTTCCAGCAACATTTCATATACGACTTTTAAATACCACCACTATATAAATGAAGTGATCTGACACATTATATACGGCGTTAATAGGGTCTTCTGTCTATTGATTATCGTCATCGTTAGAAATAATCGATTCAAAAGTGACTAAATGCTCTTGATTCCTGGTTAATGCACACTTGTACAGCAGAAATCAAAGAAAATTCTCATGATAACCTTTATAACTAATTAAAATCAACAGCAATACCAATCAAAATTACAAAGTAATGGATGACCATTTTATCTTATGACGGAACTAAGCAGAATAGTTCACACTTTAAATGCCATAACTGGATTAACTTCATAACATAGTAAAAGGGAACATAAGTGGTGAGAATTTTTCGAATCCAGTCACTTCTCTGTAACCGTAATCTTGATTATATATCCACTAATCATGAAGGCTATGCTTAAAAAACAACTAAATCGTACAATTTACATACCAAAAAAATTTGCTTATATGCTTGGTTCTACAATGAACATAAATGTGCTTTATTATATGTTTTCCGTTAATATACATTGGTAAATAATTGGTCAATTAATAGTTCTCATGTGTTCATTGGATTTTGATAAATTTTATGCGATCATTAAATAAGTAAGCAAAAATCATTTAAATTTATTTAAAAAAATGATGATCAGGCTGACAGGGTAAAAAGCATTACCTCTGAATACATCCACGTCTACCGTCTTTATATGGAAATAGAATAATCCCTTTTAAAAGAAAAAAAGAATTAAAAAGTTGGAAAATTGTTCGTCATAATTATTGATTACTCTTGGTTCATTTAAGGACAAAATAGAAAAAAGGTGTTTACAGAACAGGGAAAAGGTCAACCATTATTTCAGTGAAGAAAGTACATCTTTATTCTTCACTGAATGTTAAATTAAAATTTAGGCACTCAATAACGAGTTACCTGTTCATTTTTTATGATTAATAGGCAGTTTATTTCCAATACCACACATGGAATTGAATTAAAGATTCTTAATATACATGTGGAACACCACACTTACAAATCATTGAGAAATCGTGAAGTGATTCGTAATGATTATCAAGGATTATTTTATATATAATTCACTCGGTGAATTGGAATCCCTAACTTAGACAAAATATCTGCCAAATACGTACTGATTTTCAAAGATTCAGTATAACATACCAGGTCATGACAAAAGTTTTTATTTAAAAATGTAAACACTCCCTTACGTAATCCTCTCACTGAATACATGTATTTAGCTTTAGAATGTATGTGACCGTTTAATGCGTAGATATACATTTATAATCATTTATATGTATGATTATAACATGCACTGAATTCAATTTCATCAGATGTATATAGAAGTTTTCATACAAAGTATAAACAGTCTATGAGAAAGATAAAAAAATCATTCTTAATCGAATTGTTTTTAATTTTGGTCCAAAAAAGCAGTTCACAATAAAACCTCCTAATAGTAATGCGAAAACATATAACCGATTATTTATTACATTTACATCTATATGAACACCTTGAATTATGTTACCCAACGGATAGGATACAAAATATCATACATAATCATGTCATTTATTCTCAATAATTTTAAAGAATGTTAAGAAGACAAACACTATTGACTTACTAAACATGGTATAGTTAAAAGTTTTCCATCTGAATTAAATGTAACTGTTTTAATGTCAGATGAACTGGATTCCATGTTACTATTACACCAATGGTCTAATATAAAATCGTATCCAATACGAATTTTCAGTTTGTTCATATGCCTGTGTATTTTTCGTTGAATAACAGAGCTATCAAAAGCTGGTGGCTTATTAGCATAAATTTGGAATAAATATACATTTTAAAATAAATGATGGAGTGAATATGAAAAGTACAACGAAACTCAATGGTAAAAAATATGACATTTATTGCATAAATTACTGAAATTAGGCATTTAAGTAATATTGTGAGACAATATTACCTCAACATGATAACATCACGCAGTCACTGGCTTTTTCTAATAACTTCGGCTATTTTTATATAAATGTGTATGTTAGCGGTACATTGGTGAACAGGGAAGCAACATCTAAAGACATGGGAAACGTATGATGTCTTTGGATGTGTATGTGTTTATCACCTACTTTTTAGCTTGTTTTTCTACATAACGATAGATAATTAGTTGCGTCTTATCAAATTGATTAGGCACGTTCACCTTCGTCTGTCTGTATAGAAGTATATCTGAAATAAATTCATCCAGTTCAATTAGTAACCGCCATCCTTAAACGGGGATGAATAAACTTATGTTCATAGCTTATTCATCGTTCGTGCACGAAAGAGTCAGGTTATAGGCTTAGAATTCTAGTTATTATTTTTAGACTAAATATTTGCAAAAAGCATATACGTTTTGTTCAAGGTGAGTTATTAAGATTGATTATTTTTACTGTACAGTAAATCTTTGACTCACTTTCAGTAATATGATACATCAAAGTAAAATAAATCAGTGGTACAATAATATTTGATGGATAGGTAACTATATAACATAGAAGAAACTAGATGAAATCTCTCAATATAACCGATTTTACCAAAATACTAATAATAAAAGATAATAAATACGAGCTTTTTTCTTTATGTAAAATATACGTTTGTTTTTATGATGTTTAATGTCATATCTTGTAGCTCCTACCTCTTATCATAACTTTCTGTTCTCTTTAGGACATCTATGTTAACTACATTGACTTAAGTTTATCAAAGTTTGCTTCAAATCATTCTCTTCCTTTCGAACTTGAGTTGTTTTCAGCTGATGAAAATCCCTGAGAAAAAGTGAACGGATTTTATTATGTAAGTCTTTATGATTTTGTCTTTTAAGAATGCTCTGATGAAAAATAGTCATGAAGAATTCAGAAGATTAGAATTTGGGTCAAGACAAATTTCTCTTTGCTATATCCTAGCGAAGATTAAACTGCGAGTAACATCTGAGACATATTAGTCGAATATTATTATCTATATATTCTTATGAAATAACTATTTAATAATTAGATTGTATATATTTATATTCATCTTATTATAAGCTTCATTTTGATCTATAGATTATTATTGTACGATTTACTGTTCTCAAGTTATACTCAGTTTATTAATTACTGTCTCCCACCTTCACAGCCACCTTCGGCTATATTTTGTACAAGTGTTATTTCCTATTTTATGGTGCGTTATGGTATGTTTGGTTAATATATTAACCAGTATGTCTGAAATAAATGACTCGCATAGTGGGAGCTGTATTTTTATTCTGGACTCAACTGGACGGGTTAGGCGAGCAAGGAACCAATAGGACGCTAGACTGATCAGACCGGTCGAATGTCATTAGTTTAGTACAGTAAAAAATGAATAAGTAGTATTTTGATTGGCGTCTAAATTACGTAATAACTAGCAAGACGTAAAGTCACAACACTCATTCACACTCTTCATTTTCTTAACTTATCTCTGGATACATATCAGTTACATTATTTAAAAAAAATAAAAGAAAACATCATATAGATTCATTCCAGACCAAGTGATTGTTTCTAGATATTCAACTAATATTGATTGTATATATAATGTTAGTTAAATGGACCCAAGAATGATCAGATATTTGAAAGTAAATTACCTTCAAATTATTTAAATCATGATAAATCACATTTTTATCTATGAATTGTATAGATAAAAAAGGATCAATCATTCACTTAGTTTTTGATTATGATAAATATGACATACACCTCTAATAATCCATTATATTATTTTCCGATTATTATACTGATTTTTATTCTTTCTATATGGTATTGTACGTTTGTGTTTTTATGTTATATTTCCAGTTTATTCAGTCAAATTTATAACTTAATAGTATATTTATATTATTACTTATTGAACCTACCATTTAGATCATATGACTATTATAGTATACGGAAATTTCAGCTCATGACCCTTTTCTCTAATCACGTGTCCATAACTATTTCACAAACGTTTTTGTATTACAAATTGAGTTTAAGTAAATATACATGTATCTATATTTAGCAGGGTGAAAGATGAACACTGTTGGAGAGTTTCATAATAACATAGAAACACCATCCGTCAGTAGATTTTACTTAGTGGTCTAGCTTCAATTGACTCATGATCTTAACTATTGAAATTAGTACAATCTTTACAAAACCCCTTCTGATATTAATCAACATATGCTCACTAGTGACTGGCTTCAAGTGGTATATCCTGGAGTTCTAGTAAGAAGCAGTGACTAGTGGCGTTCAACTGGGTCGGTTGTGAGCTAATGACTCACTGATGACAATGGTGGATGCGTCGCTCAATTTCGTGGATTAGCTGAAGCTAGATATTAACACCATTGGATGTCGGCTCAGTGGTCTAGTGGTTAAGCGTTCACCCGCGAGACTGATAGGTTCTAAGTTCGAATCCCATGAGGCAGGGTCATGGATGCGCGCTGCCGAGGAGTCTCACAATAAGACGAAACGGCCGTCCAGTGCTTCCAGGTTTCCCATGGTGGTCTAGCTTCAATTGACTCATGTTCTCAACTATTGGAATAATAAAACCAATGTGTATTATATTGGTAGAACAACGAAAAGATGGAGTTGATGTGATGTATTTGTTATATACATTTAAAACCTCTGGTCACACACATACTTATCAATGCATTTAGATGAAAATAATAATGGCTTCAAACCGGTTAGTGTCTAATGTTCCTATCAGCTCGGAAAGTACAGAACCATGTCCATCGATGGCAAAGCACACAATTAAAACGAGTCATAGAATCTACATCAAAACAGCTTTTAAAAAGTTGTATAGAAATTCTGAAGAACAAATTCCTAGGTCTATGAAAGCCTTATGTATTCGCAAATTCAAACCCTTGTTATGCGTACAAAAACAATTTGTTATAATCTAATCTATAAGTCGTTCTATGATGTAAGATAATCCGAAAATTTCCTATTCATTCCACATCATGTTAGTTTTCTTTCTCTTTTATTTACAATTATCTTTTTGCTTACTTGAACTTTGATTGATTTGACATTTATTAATTTTCATATAAAATGCCTTGATACGTATAAGTGTGATCAAATTGTTCGAAATATATAACGCAAATATATCCAGTTTTTAGATCAACTCCGTTTTCCCATTGTTCTATTAAAATTTATAAACAGGATTAATTACTTTAAATATAAATTACGTCAGAACTCTTACACAATGTTTCATTTTTGGTGGTTGTATCATAATTATACAATTTCCATCCACACCAGCATTTAATAAACCTGTGATACATGTATATGCATCAATTGTATAACCATAAATAATAAATAATTTGTTAACTATCTCTTCATTATCCGAGGCATTTAGGTCGTTAAATGTGTCGTATAATAATTGATTTGATTGCGATTTTAATTGCTCTTCAATCTCATTATTTTCACATTGTTTTTGCTTTTTCATTGAATTTTGTTGGCTTCTTCGTTTTTCTTCACAGATTTGATCATTTTCATTGTTCAGTTGTTTGTCAGAATTGAAACTTTCAATTTCAAATGAAGGTGTTCTATTTTCTGAAGTAATAAACTGTACTTCATGATATAATGGTAAACAAATATTATTGATCCGATCTATTATTGGTAAGACATCATATATATCATTGATCACGAACAAGTTACTTGGTCGGGATGTTTTTGATTGCAAAACTAGATTATAAATAAGTAAATAACCAACAGTATACGATTGTAAAGACTTTTGAATTTTCTTATTGAAACTATCGACTTATCTTTGTTAGGAAACAACTGAAAACTCAAAAGCAGTGGACGACCGTTTTGTCCTAGTATGAGACTCTTCAGTAGTATTCATTAACGACCCGGCAACTCTGCGTCAAACTGAAAGTCTTTAGTTTCAAGCATGAACAGTTAATCTCTAGACTGTTGAACCGGGATCAAATGGTGTAGACTTCTAACTCCATTCAATCCATGTGATCCTCCCCACTACCTTCGCTGCGTAACTTCCTCGAACTCAATAGGGTTTAGCTACACTGATCAGAGGTTCTCATTGGACGTCTGGAAACTTCCTCTCAAAGTTATTCACTTGAACATATGACAATTATCTGTATGAGGTTGGGGGAGATCGAAGATTCTGGGTCCTATTCCTGATTTCAGGGTTCGGGATGCTCACTGCTTAGAGTTCCCATTTTTGGGACGAAACAGTAGTCCAGTACATTTATGTTTTCAGTGACTGTCTAACTTAGATCTTTTCATAATTTAAAGGAAATAAATGGTCGTAAATATATAGAAGGCATACGTTAAGTAATATGAATGTCGGAATATTTGATCATCATTTGACCCAACTTGATAAAGTTTGTTGAAGATTACGTGCATTAAGACAGTAGCAATTCAATGAATATATATATATATATATATATATATATATATATATATATATATATATATATATAAAGTTGTTTTTCCTGGAATTTAAATAAACATATGGCGTCTATCATGTGATTGACCTTATTTGCTAATATTTAGCTCACATTAGTTGTTATATGTACCAGTTTATTCTGAGTACGAAAAAATTGAAAATTAGAAAGGTTTATTTATCAATGACGGATGGATGAAACAAAATGAACACCAGTAAAATAACGTACAACGTACAACTCTACTGAAGTATACTACATCAAGAAGATTAAGATAAGGACGGTTAAAATATACCGTCGTCGTAATGTTGCAATAACCTTATATGGTATACTTACATTTATATTCAATAACGTATGTAGGATAATGGTTTTTCTGATGGGTTTTGTGAATGAATGTCGTTCACTATAGATTATTGATTGAAGTCGAAAAGGTAACAACGGAACGTCAACCCACAAGTCCAGTTGTTAAGCTCTTGTATCTTTAACTACATAGGATTAACACAGTTTCCAATTAGAACTACTGAAGATTTTCTATAGTAGTCTAGCTTAAATTGACTCATGAATTCAACTATTAAAGAAGGTTTATTAGTTACTGAACCACAAAAAAGCAGACAACTCCAAAAAGTGACAAATCATTCTGTAGTTCAGTCATCTACTAACTTAAAAACAATTACGTTATTCTTCAAAGAGATAATATTAAGTGAAGTTAGAAAAAATTTGTCAAGTTGGTAACAATGATACTGATTGACTGTTCCGTTATTCTTACTCTCTTCTTCTTCCCTAGTTTAATTCCAATATTTACGTGGAGACTGCCAAAATATTTCACAGCTCCAAAAAAAATGCTGTCAATTGTAAATTATGCTTTTATTATGAATAAATCTCATAATAAACAAAAGTAATAGTAATACGTATTATGATATAAATCTTACTTGCAAACCGATGGTTAGGGTTGGCATTATTAGCATTATTAGTCCTATAACAACCACCATTAACATTGTCACAGTTGTTGTTATCTTGATTATGTTTATAATAAAAATTCATTGATATGAAATGATCGATAGTTTCTTCTTTGGTAAGATTTTCTAGTTTAGACATTGGACAACTTACATGATATTGTAATCCAGTTGTTATAATTAAATAATCATATGATAATTTTTGTTTAGATGATATTGTTATCCTTTTAAATTTCCTAATTCATAAAATAGAATTATAAAGTATAACAAAATAAGAAATCAAAATGTTTAATCAGAGAAGTTTGTTTAATGTATATTTCGATAGTTGAGATCATAAGTCAATTGAAGCTAGACTACCATTGGAAACCTGGAAGCACTGGACGGCCGTTTCGTCCTATTGTGTAAAACTCCTCAGCAGTGAGCATCCACGACTTCGCCTAGTGAGATTCGAACCCAAGACCTATTAATCTCGCGCCAGGGGCTTAGCCAACTAGATCACTGAGCCGGCATCGAATGGTGTTAATGTTTAACTTCAATTAATCCACGAAATTGAGCGACAAATCTACCATTGTCATCAGTGAGCTACTATCTCACAACCGACCCGGTTGATGCCGGGAATATAATCAGTATGAAATAGTGATAGTGAGGAACAATAATACGAATTGAAGTAATACATCAACGATATAAAAAGTAGTTTATTTTGGCTATATGGAATCAGTAACTAAATGGATAAAGTGATGGCGTTTGAAGTGAACGATACTGGGTTCAAGTTACAGAGTGACTCGTTAAAGGGAACTTCTCATTGATTTCTCGTAGTGAGCATCAACTCTAGGGTGCAGTTACGTCCAGCTGATGAGTCCTAAACATAATTAAATGCGTATCTTGGATCCTACCTCTGCTTAAAATCGTTATGATTTAATGACAAATATTAAGGCAATCCATTGAAGATGAACATGTGGCAAGAGAGATTTATCAATTGCAGTTCTAAACACAAAAGGAAGATCCAAACAATCAAGATATATGAATGATTTGTGGTAAAATGGTTAAGTTGTGGAAAAGAAGAACAGTGATATTACCTAAAAACATTAACCACACACTATGAAGAAACCATAATTGATTCAAAAAGTTTTCCGATAATAATAATGTAATTTGATTTTGCTTAATCAATATGTGACAGTAAATAAATCTACTTAAAAATTTATTAAAGTTTGATCATTGAATATGTGCTGAAAATTAACAAGATTATGTTAGCCTTTGAATCAGTCAGAATTAAACGAAATTGAACCTGATAGATATTTGCATCAGTTCAAGTTTCATACATCATAACAATACAGACGGATGAAATTATTAAGAACAATACCAAAGTAGCTAAAATAGTAACAGCAGTAGTAGTATCAATGATAGCAGATGAAAGAATGTGATGTGAGAAAACGGAATGAATTTTCAGAATCAACGGTATAAAATAATTTTGAAACTCAGGATTCAACAGAAGATATTGAGTGAATGCATGTGGGCAGTAGTTATAAATTTTGAGCAAATTCAACTAACGTTTTCAATTACTGTTCATGATAATTTAGCAGAATCCAACTAAACAGTAGGCATCTATCACTGTTACTCCTACCGACAGTTGATGACTTGGTCGACTAGTGCTAACTCATAGTTTGACCAAACGTAGCTATATTTCAACATGTTACTGTTAATGTCACTCATAGAATTGGGGGGTTATTAAGGACACATAATACTTTTCTTAATCTCTTCAGTCTATGAAAATTTATGTTCTTTTCAAATAAATCACCACGTTTTTTTCTAGTGAACAGTAACAGAAATCGTATTATTAACAAGAAGAGTAACTTGTATTCATTTTCATAAAATGACACAGTCGACTGATAAGTTTATCTTAACAAATAAGGTAATCAAACTCATAACTTCATAACAAAATATCACAAGAAATCTACTGAGCAAATGATTCCAGTAGGTGTAATAGGAAGATAAGACTGTTATTAATATAACAAATATGACTTAAGCAAGCAAGTATTACTTGTCAGATAGTGATTAGTCAATTGAGAATGAAAATAGATGTTAAAGTTCAAGCAAAAATTTTGTAATTCTGGTCACCACATAATCTTTTTTTTGAAATAATGTGGCATATTTAAAGGTCAAAGCCATATTCTTAAAAATCACTAAATAACTTCTTTCGATTCCGGTTATCCTGCCTATCCTGCATTTGTGATATTTGTGATTTTCAAAAAACTGATGTTTACGATACACGATTCTCTTTTTCTTTATTCAACGTAATAATAAATTGAAACATGATAAAAAGATCGGTTTTAGTGACCTATCCTTGTGGTATTTTCTCAAATGACTTGATAATATAATCCTGTTCTTATAAGGTATCTTCATGCTTGACGATGATGGCATTTTTATTGTAGTAGTCGACGAAACTTCAAGGTTTAAACTATCCGCATGATGTGATAACTGGAGATCCTGGTGTATGAACGAGTTACTATGACTAATACTAACTCTTTTTATGAATGAAATAGTCAGAAGATAAAGTTTTTTTAATCGTCTGACTGGTTTGATCAGTACGCTACAGAAAACTTACTAAACTTCAAATGAAAAAATTATTTTATTCGTACTATTCTGTTTGAATCAAATCATTACAATTCGTTAGTTAATTGAAATTATCTTTGGAACTTATTTGTTCTACCTGTGACCCACTGGATATGTTTACCAAAAAGTAGTGTCTTTTTCCCTTATTTATAATTGAAACACATCGTTTAAATAGTCGAACTACTACTTTGTAGACTTTTATATATTCAAAAGTTTCCATCTCTTTCGTTCAAATATTTAAGTTGGTTTAGATGAGTAAAATGACTAAGACTTGTCATGAAGTTAACATTCTGAGGGGGGGGGGTATAACTCACTAGATTAAAGGTTGGTACGACTATTTCGTGTACAATTCGACAGACAATATACAACCAAAATTCTGTTAAAAAAGTCTAAACCACTTATATCAATTAAATATATACAGATATTTCCTACCTGTCGATAGCAGTAAGTTTACCATATATAACATTAACACAAACTTTGAATCCAAGTTGACTTAAATAATCAACAGGATAAGCATAACTAAATTGTTAGGAAAAAAAGAAAGAAAATAAAAATCGATCTATCAGAAATTTTAAACATTAGGCAAATTAAAAAAAAAATACTGAGGTTAGTTAGAAAATGAAACCAGTGAATACAGAATTATATGAGGAAAATCCGGAAATGCAATAGTTCAATATTTTGTGTGTACATAAAGTTTCAAGATTTGTTCCTATAAGTAGTATATATATATTCATTTGGTGTTGTTGTAGTGTCAGTTATTATGTTAAGCCTATATACCTTATTCTAACTTTCGGACATCTCAATCTATTCATTCTACTTGAGTCATATTTTGACCTTGTTAATTGTTTGCTTATCAATTTTGACTGTCTTTATATGAGCGCGTGGGCGTGCGTACACTTCTTATCCCACTGTTCATCACTTGTCTGTAATTTATCTTTATGTGCTTATAAATATTGATTAACTCTTTGTTAGATGGAAGTTGGCTGGTAAGCCAACTTCACCGCGCGTCATTTTTGCTTGGCTTTCCTTCCTTCCCATCGTTTTCCCGTTCGTTTGTCTGGATCAATGATTATACAAAATATATGCATTCAAAAGTCCATCCTCGTTATTTGACTTATTTAATTCCGTTATTAACTAATGCGATTCAAGTCAATGATTATATACGAGGATAAGGCGCATATATATTTCCACAACGATCATCCATACGATGAAATCGGAGTCAGATTACGGGCCACAAAATTGTTTACTTGTATCTTCTAATTGTTATTTAGGATTGCAATTGATCAGTCTTTTGTTGGCATATGTGCATCCTGTGAGCACTGCTTCGATATTGCCTTATGTCACAGGCTTTATAAGCAAAGATGAATAGTGGTTAGCAATGGAATCTAGGACGCGCGTTTCGTCCTATTTGGTATTTGAAGCCAACGGTACTGGGTTCGAGTCCCAGGGTGAACATCAATTCTGAGATGCAGGTACATCCAGCTGATGAGTCCCAAATAGAACGAGACGCGCAAACTGGATTCATCTGCTAGCCACTATGCATGTTTAAGTATATGTTTACAATACCCTAAAGAGTGGAAATAATATATCATGGCGTTTTGCAGTTTTTTTACAGTTGCTTCTTCAGAGTAAATATATTGCGTTTTTGTATTACGATAAGGTAATCTGTTATTTTAAGATTTTTAACTCAAAAGCAATCATCTGATAAATGTATGGTTTTTTGAATGTAGTGGGACAAATATATATTCTCAAATACATATAAAATCAAGTTAATTTAAAGGTGTATACACTTTAAAAATGAAAATGTGATCTGACTGAAAGTTATTATTAATAAGTACTGTATATCTTTTCTATCAATACCTGAGTAGATGTAGAATGCTAAAAGTTTCGAGTGATATTTGCTTAGCCTTTTTCCTGAGGGCTTAGCTAATTTTACAAGTTATTGTCTAGAAGAATTCTTTACATTTACAGATTTTGTAGAAATCAGATCATTATCCACTGGGATTTATACACTTAAAAAATTGGTATTGGACACAGAAATCGTGTTATGCGTAAATAACAGATTTTATGATTTTCATTACCGTTGTCAAATATTCAGATATGTAAACGACATTAAAATAAGCAGAAGGTTTAAGTAACAATGTTCCAATATTATTCCAGTTGTATCCTGTAGCAAAAATAAAGTATTCGTAGATCTAATTGACAAATATGAAATTATTTAGGATGAATTTTAACCTAAAAAATTAATACTACTGATTATATTTTAAATAACATAAATTTATTTACTAAACAATGTCAACCAAAGTTTTGGAATCTGTGATAAGAAATAATTTTGTGAATAAAAGATTCATTTATTACGCTTACTCTGTTGATAGAAATTTGTAGGCGAGAGGATTTATTCTTTCTAAAGTATCTCCAGGCAAACCATTTGGAGACAATAATACAAGATTAGTAAATCGAATATATGGACTAAAATTAAAAATCAAAATTAGAATTGTTAATGAGAATATTTTGTCACAGAAAAAAATATACAGGAAATCAAACCGTATGATCACCAAAAATAAATTTAATTAACAGAATTATCGTCATATATTTACTGAATATGTTTTGGGGGATCATTTATTCAAGTCGGTTTAAAAAGATGTTTCACTGCTAATAAAACGTTTTTTAGAACGGATACATACACCCTGCTAAAAAATAAACTTTGAAACGTTATCTTCAGAATTACTACAACCTGAGATTGTTCAATTTAGTTACAGATCTTAGAGTGTCTTTTATATTAATAGAAAAGCTACATAAGTGGGAATAAATAGGAAGCTATATGTATTAACGGAATAGAAGTGTACACAACTCTTTCATATGATATATCTATCCTACAGATATGTAAGCCAAAACCTGAACAAAATACACTATTAACTTTATTCAGTTGCCTGCGATTTCTATTAATTCTTCATCGGGAATTTGGTCTTAAATAAGTATGTGAATACGGAAGCCTTATATGTTTGAGTCTACTAAGCCTGTCAAACAGATGAAGTCCCAACTTTTAAAAAATAGTTTTGTTATAAATGCTTGAAACAGATATGCTCATCTCAGTCCTCACATATCAAGGTAGTTTTTCGTCATATGAAATAAAACATATTTCTAATATTTATGGACAAGTGATAACGACTGTTGGAAAATGTTGATCTGCGTAAAGTAAGTGTGTAGGTAAGTAAGTGAGTAAGTAAGTAAATGACTAAGTAAGTAAGTAAGTAAGTAAGAATCATTTCAATCGGTATCAACTAAGTATAGTGATTACTGACATTCGTCACTCATTTAAATATCTATCATATGATCTGAAAAAAGTTAGACAATGTAAAATGAAGTTATACTTTCGGTTGGTTACGAAAGTTTAGCTTCAGTTACCATTTCTTAATCTCGATTTCTTATACGTTCAGTAGTAAATACTTTATTAACTTAACTATATTTAATTTTCTTGTACTCGTAGTTATGTATGCAACAGTTCTGATGTATGTATTTTTTTGAAAAATCTTAGAAAAGTATTTTACTATTTACAAGATCAAGACACAATAAAGTAATTTACCACAGGTTATGTGATTTCGGTCATAATTAAACAGGTTATCATTTTAATTAATGTAATTCAGCGTAAACATTAAAAATACAATACACACATGATGAAAATCTTTGTATGTATGATACGTTAGTAGCCTAGTTTTGTTAAGGTACCTTAAGTACCGAACAAGTTATGGATGTGCCTAAGTTTCTATGGTTACTTATTGATAAGAATGTATATTGTAATGATATAAAGTAAAATACAAGAAAGTATAATTGATAAACTGAGTTTACCTAGGGACAGCTTACATCTCCAATCAACATAAAAAGTGACAAGACGGAAATATTGCTAAAAAATGTGATTGTGGAGAAAATAAAGGACAATAAACGTATTTAGGTGAGACCGGTCTTGAGGTATTCCATATACAACTTTTATTGATTGGTTCTTTCTTTTGACAGTTGTGATTAATAAATTTACATTACACCGACTAATTCGACTACTTTCAAACACTATATATATTAGGTACTGACCGCAAGGTGTGACTTTGGAGTTAGTTGTTGGTCACACCATCACCGTTTAACTCGAGTCGACCCTCAGTCATTTGAAATGGATTATCTACGTTGATGATCTACAACAGTTTCTATTTATAAAGCTGGATGCGAAGCTAACCATCTATATTTTATTTTGCTAATGCATCAGATGTTTTAGGTTTATATATTTGAGATGTCATAAATTTCGTAATTCCTCTTATTTTCTAAGAAGTTTGAAGAAAAGTTAAACAGAAATAAGCCGGTTTTTAGTTGACAAGATGAGATATGAATTGTCAGTTTATGAGGTTTATCTACATATATTATGCAGGATAAGTTCAGTTTTAAAGCTATGACTAAACACTATGTAGCTAAGAATTTAAATCCTGGATAAAGCTAATATTGATGGCATCCAAATTGACTTGTCAACAAAAACTAAAACGATTAAATCCTTCTTCGTGATAGATTTGTGAAGTAAAAAAAGTTCCATTCAATTATTTTCAAAATTTACGCTGATTTTGGTTTAAAGATTATCTGACATAAAGAACACAATGTCCCTAGAATTTCTACCTTATTTTACATATACTTATACTATTTATTGTAATAACCTAAGAAATATCAGAATGAGGATTTGTGAAGATTGTAGCAATTTTAACAGATTAATTCAACAGGATAAGCATAACTAAATTGTAGGGAAAAAAAGAAAGAAAATAAAAGTCGGTCTATCTGAAATTTTGTAAATCATTAAGCAAATGTCTTCATGAGTCGATTTTCGCCTGACTAACATTGAAAATATGGAAGCACTGGATAACCATTTCAGTTTAGTAGGAGACTCCTCAACAGTGCTCATCCACGATTCCGCATTCGCAACTCAAACCCAGAATCTTCGGTCCCACTGAGCCCACACCCAATGGTGTCAATCTTTAACTTCAATCGATTCATGATCTTGCACAAATCTTCATCCATTGTCTGAGGTGGATAACTGTCCTTATCCGACAAAGATGGGACTCCACTTGTCACCGTTTCTCACTAGAACTTCAGGAAATTCATCTTGAAGCTAATCACTAGTTGGGACTGTTTGTTAAACAGAGAACGAAATAGTGAGAAAAATACTCATTACAATTGTAAAGAGAAAAAAATTCTAAGCCGACTAAAATAATAATCGAAACATAACTGAATATACATTCAATTTGAACAACACACACAGTCCCTTTTATCAGATTCTCTTGACAATTTTATTCTTATTTGTGATCATATTTGTTATTTGTAGTGATGTTTAACTATATCAACAAAATTTCTAATTAATATCAAAATGAGGTTTTGTAGAGATTGTAGTAATTTCAATAGCTGAAATCATAAGTCAATTGAAGATAGATAACCATGGAAAACCTGGAATCACTAGAGTTCCACAACAATGGAATAAAATGGTCATCCAGTACTTCCAGATTTTCCATGATAGTCTAGTTTCAATTGGATTATAATCTCAACCATATATATATATATATATATATATATATATATATATATATATATATATATATATATATATATATATATATATATATATATATATATATATATATATATATATATATATATATGATCTACAATAATAAACCAGATGGAAGAAGTAATTACATAATAATTACATAATGCCAATTAAATTAACATTGATTAATTGGAGGAAAGGCGATTAATAATATTCAAAGTAATTATTCGAAAATCAAGAAGTTGATGAGTTGCATAATATGTGAAAAAGAGAAGGAACAGAATAATTTAATGAATGGTCAATAGAATAATAGTTATGTAAGAATCAAGAGATGAATGTTGGAAAAAATACATACACTATGGAAAATATGAAAGCAAAAGATGTTCGTTTCGTCCCACTGTGGCACTCCTCAGCAGTGTACATACACAATTCCGCCCTGCTCAATTCGTTCCTTCTTTATTTATCAAATATTAAAATGGGAATTTTCACCACAATTTTTAAATTAATAAATCATTTAATAAATTATAAATATTTTTTTATGATAATTAATTTATTACTTGAAAATTTTGTTTGAATTTACCATGTGATTAGTTTTTCAAGTATTGCTAATCCAGTAGTTGATGCACCAACAATAATAATTCTAGCATTAATTAATTCTTTTGGTTCCATTAATAATTTTTTTGTTGTTATAAATAAAGCTGGCATTGAATTAAATTTTTCTAATATTCTATTCTCTGGTCCTTTAATATTATTTAATATAGATTTTGGATAAATAATTTGTTTTCTTGGTTTAACAGGAGATAATTTGGATAGACAAGTGATTAGGGTACATTGATTAAATTTCTAATTATTGACAAATGAATTTTAGTTGAAAAAAAAAGAAAAAATAATGATGAATAGTGTAGTAGTTATGACAAGAATAATAAAGTCTTAAAACAATATTACATAATCGGAAATAAATTAATGATTATAGATGTCTTATCAGTAATGATGTATATCTTTCATGCATAGAATAAATGTTATGTAAAACATCATATATATATATATATATATCAATAGTTGAAATCACGAGTCATTTGAGGCTAGACCCCCATGGAAAACCTGGAAGCGCTCGCGCGCGAGACTGATAAGTCTTGGGTTCAAATCCCGCGGGTGGAGAAATCGTGAATTCGCTTTGCTGAGGAATCCCATACTAGGACGAAACGGTCGTCCAGTGCTGCCAGGTTTTCCATGGTAGTCTGGCTTCAATTGACTTATGATTTCAACTATTGAAATTACTCAAAATCTCCACAAAACTCCTTTTGATATATATATATATATATATATATATATATATATATAAAGTGTTATAATTTATGCTCTGTGTCCTATTAATATATAACGTAATGATACCGAAAATTAGAGAACAGTGAATTATCAACCGGATTAATGACGCATAAAACAAATAAGAGCAGTCTAGGGTCCTTATCAGTTCCACTTCGCGCCTAGCCCTGCCTGCTAAGTTCAGAACATCAGTCTCAGCCACTACGATATGAATCATACTAGGTTTATATACCAACCAAACAGACCACATCGTACCATAAAATAGAAAATAACCGTTGTACAAGATTTGGACAAATGTGGCTGTGAATAAGGAAGATAGTAATTGGCAAACAGGGCATAACTCAAGAACGGTAAATCGTAAAATAATAATAGTTCATATGTCAAAATAAAGCTTATGATCAGAGGCACATGAATACGAATAGTTTAGTTATTTATCAATTATACGATGAAAATATACGTATAGTATTAGTCCACAAATAGATCCCAACAGTTATCATGGATTTTACTAACTAGTTATGTAATTTGTTGTTTTAATGCATTCGATTGTCCCCACCTGTGTTCTTGTTCACTACACAACGAAGGACCAGACACATATATGCATCGGTCCAAGTTGCCATATCGCATTAGAGCAGTATGACGAACACCGGATTCATTGAAGTAGTTAAGCCAATGGTGGTAATATATAAAAGAAAGAATGCATATAAGGATATAGTACAGGAAGAAAGAATTAGTTGGTAGAAAGAAAGATATGAAGCGATTTTATGCTCTTAGTTTAAAGGAGGACAGAGAGTGCATACACCCACTCCATTGTGATCAACTCTGAGCCATGTCTCAAAGAGTCTCCAACCATTGGTTACGATAGTCACGCGGATCCCTACCGAGTAGTCTGCATCTACCAACATGTCTCAAACCAGAAGTTAGTGACTTCAAACACTGATGCCACGTTTTGGTTTGGCCGCCCCTAACTTTCTTCCAAACATCCCCTGCACTAGTCAGCATTGCGCGTCGTGGTAATCGGTGTTCAGGCATACGCAACACGTGACTTTACAAAAAATATAGTATTAAACATTATGTTTATTAATACTTTATTAGTAACATTGTGATGTGTGATTGGAGTAATTTGTATGTCAAACTGTTAGCTAAACATATATCCAATACTAATGATAAAGAAAATTAAAGACATTAAAATAAGTGATTTTTAGCAACTAGAATCTTATCAAATATAAAAACTCCTTTTCATTCGACCAGAGCAAGACAGTATGAATTCCTGTATATCATATTATTCTTTTGATGCCCCCAAATGCCCTGGTACGGCCAAGGGTGGGAAGAGTTAGCTCTTCCTCTCGAAATGCTCTCAAACGGCCACGTGTATATAGCTGTTGACATGTGAGTCCTACTCACTACCTTCTTGCATCACGGGTGTTGTTTACGAGATCGAGAGGATGAAAAGCGAATGTCCGGTGCTTTAACCGAATTCGTGGATACGGTGAACCCACCAAGTGGAGTTGGAAAACCCTGATTCTAAACCAATAATGCACATGAGCTCCAGGATCCTGAAGGAACAAATTGCGCGTGAACCTATTGTTGGTCACCGGCAACCATGAGACTGCATCTCTTGTCGTTCCTCCATCTCCTTGTGGATCAGACCTTTAGATCGAAGGCTCTGGTTGTGGCCTCGTAAGGAAACCACGTACTTCGGTCTGGGTACCCGGACAGTATCATAGCCCACACACAAATCAAGAGCCTTGTATGGTGCATATGTATTCGGTGCCCCTTTGTATCAATATTTATGTGTTCAAACTAATAAAATAAATACTAATTATTGATTTGATAGATAGATGTACATCTTATTTTTACAAATCTGAAGCAATATTTAGCGTTTCTAGACTACAATGACTTTCTTATGTTATTCTGTAATTAAGAGTTTCTTTAATCATTACGTAATTAATTCTGCTGTTTTATGTATAAATACTATGTGACTTCATTAGCTGTTTTTATTAGAACCAAACAATAGGGATTAGCATAAGTTTCTCTTTTTCAGATCTCTAGATTCCATTTGTTAGTGAATAATGTGAAACACAATTTAAAAATTTAAGATTTAAAACCAACTTTTTTTCAGTTGTGGAAAAACTGTAAAAGCTTTTTGTTATTGTCAAGAAAATGGATTTCTACAAATTATCACTTCAAAGTATAGTTTCAATACAAATTGATATTACTAGAGATGATCTGTTAGCTATCCGATTTAGATTAAAGATTTTTCAACAGTGTTCAACTACGATTAGATTTTGAACTTGCAAGTTTCGTGATCATGGTATCACTAAACAATAAAGTAGACATTTAGTAGTCCTTATTCAATGATCATCCAATTTATATCAGTTCACATTAAGAACTACCAATAAGTTGAACGAAATATTTGGACTTGTTATCTTAATAATGACAAGTTGATCATAAAGTACTTGATTTTAGAAAAAAACTTCCGTACTGCTAAATATTCTGAAAATTCGTGGATGATGAAGACTGAATAATTCATATTTTTCATCAGACTTACTGATTCCTCTGCATATGGTGGAAGTACACGGTAATAAATACATGTTTTCTTAGATAGACGCAGAATTTCTCGAAGAAACAACTCTGTTCTTGACTGAAAATTAGCTGCTAGTAAGAAATGATACAATGAAACATGCTCATTTCGAGCATGATGTGCAAAGTATATAAAATCTTCAATGTTGTAGTGAGCTCGAAGCCATTCAATATGCTGTAATTATGTAAAATTAAAAGTGAATCAGAATGTAGCAAATATTCTTTTATTTATATTCAAAATAAAGTTATGAGAGAAACAAACTGATATGAGTAACTTTCGATGATGTATAGCGAACTCTAAGTACTCAAATCATAGCCAGGAATGTAAAATAAGTTCAACACATAGTTTCCCTTGATCCAGGTAAAAATGATTTGTTTCTGAAAGTTCTTCAACCAAAGGTTATCTTATTATGTAGTTCATATTAGACATTAAACTTAATAAATGGATATACATGAAATGTTTTAGAGACGTTTTTGTTAAGAATTAGTTTTAAATTTTTTCTCCAGTGATTCTGGCACTATTTCAGTAGTATGAATAGATCTATGGTTAACCATGTAATGCAAGAAACGCGTTTCATTCCATTTTAGAACCATCAGTTGCACGTATCTGAATCCCAGTGTTAATTTTAACAATGGGATATGAACCCGATATTCTCAGCTTCTAACGCTCAAAGCATTACTTACTGAGCTTCTAAGTTCACGCAGACAATCACTTAATATCAGTCCACTGATAGCTACAAATTAATCTATTCAATGAAAACTTATGAAGACGGCTACATTGAGGCAATACGCACAAGAAGCGTATTTACGGAAAAAGGTTAGTCGGAATTCAACCAAGATTATCAATAAAGGGATATTTTAACTACTTCGTACTGGTAGCTAACTATTTTACTGTTGAATTACTACTTTTACAACAGTTTGTAGTATAAATGAAGAGAGCCATATATGAAATTTTAGTCAAGATACATCTACACTACATTACTAGGAAGTGGTGAACCTAAAAATCCATGTGGTAGGAATTTTCTTACGCAAGATTTTGCTTTATTCAGCTAATTGGCCTTAACAACCACATTCGGCAATTTATTTTATTGTTAAGCAAATAAGTATAAAGCATTTGATCAGTTTTTCATCGTAATTTTAGATTGGTTCTAAAATGTACATTTCTTAATGATAGTTCATTATAACCACAAGCCAGATATCATCACATTTCACTGTGGGTCACTGAGACATAAAGTACTGAGGTAAGTGATAGTAGTTGCATTTATTGTTCATTTGTACATCGTCAGTACGAATCGATCCTTCTCATCAAATAAATATATTAAGTTATATCACATATATGTTAATAGAAAAACATTCAAAGTATCTAAAAGTTAGGTACTATAGTACGTCTTACGAAATAACTGTAATACAAAATCTCTCCGTTTATTTATAAAGACTTCGTGCCATCTAAATATTTCATCAAGTTATGTTTTATTTTACTAGTTGAGCTAGACCACCATGGAATACCTGGAAGCACTGGACGGCCGTTTAATCCTAGTATGGGACTCCTCAGCAGTGCATATCCACGATCCTGCCCCGCAAGATTCGTACTCAGGACCTATCGGTCTCGCGGGAGAACGCTTAAACTCTAGACAACTGGGCCGGTATCGAACGGTAATAATGTTTAACTTCAACTTCTTATTTCATAGATTTATGAAATAAGAGTAATTCGATATACAGTAATTATTGTCAATTGTTTTTTCATGTTTAATGAAAAATCTCAAAGATTGATTTTTAAAATAATTCCCATAGAGATTATTTAAACACTCACATGTTCATCGCGTAAAATTGCTACACCGACTAATTTACCCAATGCAATAGCAACATAACTAAAAATTATTGTCCCATCCTGAATATAAGAAGGAGTAATACAGAAGAAATTTGAGCAATTAGACTAAAACTATAACAAATGAATGATGATATCATTTTATAGATTAACATATGTAATATACAATGTACATTAATTACATTTCAAATATTTAATAAGATCAAATTGAATATAAATGAAGTATCTTTTTAAGACTGTAGTTAACTTGAATTAATGAAATGAAACATCAGAAACCTTACTATATTCTATACCGCTATTTTTTTAAACCACAAAGTACTACTCTAGTTCTTCCAAGGGTATCATATTTGGTGTAATACATAAAGCTATTGGGTCCGTTCATATATGCTTTCTTGGATACTCGTTCTTTGTAAATTCGTAAATACATTAAGCCCTGATTAGGAAGTAACCATTTTCATATCTGTTTTGTCCACAATACTGATCAAATTCTATTGATCTAGACTTGACAACACTCGTACTACGTTTAATGTTAGTTGGCTGGAAGTAGTCAATAAGAAACCCTACTGGATCTAGATTTCGTGCTAATTTATACTCGTTAGTAGAGCATACTTGTAAGTGTGAAGGAACTGATCCACTAAGTGGGTTCCCTACAGATTAACTTCAGTCCCTAAATAGTACGAAACAGCCGTATGAATCTTTGATAATAAAGATTACTATTAATTTGTAAGGTTGTAATAAGAATATTTGATTTTATTCTGTTGTAAATCAGTTTGTATTCTAAAATCCAATCAGCTTACTTCATCTCGACCATTACTTATGAATGATTGTAAATCAGAAAGAAACAAAGAACGGTCAAATGTATTCATATTTCTGATTAGTAATTTGATATCTTCTTCATCAGAATGGCGTGTACGTCTTACGGTAAAATCTCTACAATGGAAATAATTAATAATAATAGTTAAAAAAAGAAAATATTTTGTTTATAGGCACCTATTTATTTCCAGTAGTATATTACAAAATGTGACTAGTATGGAAATTTTGTAAAACTTTGTCTTACATAGAAATTCAAAGGTTTAAAGCTTTATGCTAAACTTTAAAGAATGTTAATGTAAAAAAAAGCTTGTTATGTACTATACTGCGATCACGAATCGTTCTAAATTAGACAACCACTTAAAATCTGGAAGCTCCGAGTGGACGTTTCATCTTAGTAAGAGACCCCTAAGGAATGCGCCTGCATGACCCTCTATACGGGAATAGAACCCAGGAACTTCGGTCTTATGCGACTGCTTAACCTCTGGATCACGGAGCCGACATCCAACGGTATCAACAATTAATTTCAATCAATTCACGATATTAATTTGTCTTATCTATAATTTTATATTCCACATAGATAAATGATATTAGCAACCAATGGAGACTAGAAAACGTTGGATAACTGATTTGTCATAATTATGGGCTTAGTAACAGTACTCATCTACCATATATTAGGGACCGATCGCAGGAAATCTAGGTCTTGCAACAGATGCATATCTCTTGCGCGACTGAGTTGGCATCCAGTGGTTTACATATCCACATCAGTCACTTTGTTATAATGCGTGACAATCTTCCGCTGCCATAGTTCGTATTTGTCTCACTACAAACATGATGTCTTGAATTTGATCCTATACTATGACCGATTAGCTTTTCAATGCTGCCTGATATTAAACAGCTATCTAATTTACATCAGTCTCTGGTGAAAGTTATGTAATTCAACAACTTCCACAATAACCAATAGTTTTAATTCTATAATTAATTGCACCAGCTTATTCTACTAGTATAAGCTTACATCACTGAATGTCAACTCCATCTTTCAATTATTTCATCAATCATTCATCATTATTTACATAAACACATCTGGAATATATTGTTTTGTTACATAACACACTGTTAATTTATTAGCATTAATTTATTATTATTACTATTATTATTATTATAAAACACAAACTGTTACACCTATGAAAAGATTTAGTTGAGAAGATATATTTCTTCGCTCTTTTCGTCTTTCTAATTGTCGTAATAGAGAGATTTCATCTGACTAGAAAATGTTTTTAATAAAAACGTAAACGAAATTGTTGGGATATAGAAGTAACTAGTAAAGGGCTTCCTAATCGGACAAATTTAAATGGGATTAGTTGAAAGACTCAGTTTCGTAAATCATGATAAAGGTGGATTGTGAAAGAAAAACAGAAGCAAGCATAACAATAACCGACTGAAGAAGAATTGGAATCTAGTTTACAGTTGAGCTTTGAACGCTAACCTATACACTACTGCTTTAAATTCTGTCAGAATATCGATGATTTAAAATGTTATGCATAATCCATCCATATCCATGTGTTGGTATCGAAAGTTATAAACATTCATTCGAGATTATATATCTGATGATAGTGAGGTTAGACGCAGGGTATTAGGGAATGATGGTAAATCAGTTGATGAGGTTATGAATCTTCATCGACTGAGATGGTTGGGCCACGTGTTGCGTATGCCTGAACACCGATTACCACGACGCGCAATGCTGACTAGTGCAGGGGATAATTGGAAGAAAGTTAGGGGCGGCCAAACCAAAACGTGGCATCAGTGCTTGAAGTCACTAACTTCTGGTCTGAGCCATGTTGGGAGATTCAGACTGCCTGGTTGGGGTCCGCGTGACTATCGTAACCAATGGTTGGAGACTTTAGGTGACATGGCTCAGAATTGATCACAATGGCGTCGGTGTATACACTCTCTGTCTTCCTTAAATTAAGAGAATAAAATCGCTTCATATCTGTCTAGGAACTAATTCTTTCTTCCTTTACTATCTCCTTATACACAATCTTTCTTCTATATATTACCACCACTGAATTAACTACTATGAATCCGGTGTTCATCTTGTTGTGCTAATGCGGTATGGCAACTTGGACCGATGCATATACGTGCCTGGTCCTACGTTGCAGCTGACTGATATATCTGATGATCGGTATTTAGTAAGAAACGGTTGTATATTCGGATGACAGAAAGAGTTGTTTTTAAATCTAAAAAAATATGTTTATGAGCCTATTTTACAGCTCTATACTATTTTATTATTAACTTTACTTGGTATTGTTAACTTGAATCTTCCTATTGATGTTTGGGACTACAATTGATCAGTCTCTTATTGGAAATCCGTACAGTATGTATATATGATAACAAGAGACTGATCAATTGCGGTCCTAAATAACAACGGGAAAGATACAAGCAAACGACACCAAGTGAATTTAAACTTCACTCAATTGCACAAGCAAGTAAATATCAGGACTCAGCAGATAAATGAATAAAGCGTTGGCGTTTGAAGCGAACGATACTGAGTTCGGGTCCTAGAGTGACCATCAACTCTGAGATGCAGGTACACCCAGCTGACGAGTCCAAAATAGGATGAAACGCGCATCTTGGATTTCTTTGCTAGCCACTATACATCTTTGCTTATTATATTCATCGTTTAACTTACGTATTTCAACTATTAAAATGAATTTTATTATAAACGATCTTACCTATGAAGTTCACAGCGATGAAGTACAAATAATTCATGTTCAGGATCTTTATTTTGTCTTATTCTACAATGCTAAAATAAAAGAGCCCCAAAAATTACGTAAGATGTATGATAAAATAAATCATGAACTCAACATATGGTTGAAAAGATATTTGTTTAATTTGTTATCAAAAGTTGTTTACGAAGAACAGAAAAAATATTTTTGGTTGGACTATAATTTATGAATGGGTCAATCAGATTTAAGACAACGACTCCTGGATTTCGGCGCGCATTTTGGTATCGCTCAGAAGTTGTTTATAAATTATAATCTCACCAAATTTCTTATACTCTGATGTGAATATCTACTTTGAAAATGCATATCGTTTTTTTACATTTCACTTCTAATTATAAACATTATTTTACTTAGTAGTACGATTACTATTCAAAATATCACTGTTTTTAACAGACTTTATTGAAATTAAGATTAGGTGTAAAATATATTAGTTGGTTAAATTCATGAGTCAATCGAAGCTAGACCAATATTGATAGAGCAGACATTTGAAACATCCGTCACCGACTCAAGGATGATTACGATTAACAAAACTATCCAGAGTCATCACATTATGTAGCGGTAACAGCCCCGTTGGTTCTATCCCAGTAAATGCATCCGTCACTTAGCGGGTCAGGGATTCAAGGCATATATATAAGCACTAAAAGTACTACATTTATCCATGTAACATTTGTGATCTAAGTAGCTATCTCTGATTTAATGAGTTCTTCGCGGTTTCACCGTTTTAAGGTATGTACTTAGACATATATGGCTTAACCTCTGAGACACACATATGACTACTGACAGGATCAACCAGTCTATTCACAGTTATATAATATCCCCTATTGAACCAGGGTAATTTTACATTGGTTTTCAGGAGAACAAGACACTATCCAAACTTTTACGTTACAACCCAAATAATACAGCTCAATCCCGTTTTATGCGAGAACCAGATACCATCTGTGCTTTACCACTACAATCCGAGCAGTTCAGCTCAAACCTGAGGCGCCCAGCACCATAGTGAAGATTTGCATCATTCATTCATATATATATATATATATATATATATATATATATATATATATATATATATATGTAAATGTTACCATTATACATCATTTACGATCAATGATCGCGTCAATCAATTATGTACAGTATGAACAGGCCAATTTTGACCTATTACGCTCATATGCGAGTCAAACTCATTGATGTTATTAAAATAGATATGCATTACCACGTCCTAATGACAGTAGCACTTTGGAACACTGTAAAGCAACCCCCAGTATCACTGTTGTTAGAATCAACATACTCATATATATAGCATATTTGAGTATATGCTATATGTCATAACCCTAACCCTAACCGAGGCTCTTACCATCCATGAGCTCAGGCCAGAACGATGCGTACAGAAAAAGTAAGTCCTATCGTTATCATTACCTCGCCCTTAATTTATTATTATTATAATTACATTTTTCCCTTTGCTTTTTATCTCATATTCTCATTATTTTATCCACAATTTTCCATGATATCACTTCATTTATTTCGCACATCTATTACCTATAATTATTATAACAAAAACATTTTAATCTTGCTACATTCATGTTATAATTCGTCAGTGACTTATTAAGTCTATTGTTATAATTCGTATTACGTAGTCTAGTATTATAATCTTTCTATTACATCAGCATGGTTGTCCTTTGTTCACATGTCTTCACGGAAATGGTGCTTTAATATCAGAAGAGGATTTGGTGGATATTATAGTAATTTCAATAGTTGAGTTCATGAGTCATTTGAAGTTAGACCACCAAGGAAAACCTGGAAGCACTGGAAGACCGTTTCATACTACTGCGGGATTCCTCAGCAGTGCGCATCCACGATCCCGCCTCGCGACATCAGAACCCAAGACCTAGTACTTTAGCAAAAAAATCTCATATATATATACGATTGAACAGCTTGATAATAGATTTGTTGAAAAGAAATCCCTTCGCTGAACTTCGTGTTTTTAACGTAAAATCAAGCTAGGAATCGCAATCACGGTAAACATTGTTTGATATTAAGTATTTGAAGGCAACAAGCGGTAAGACCTCAGTTTAAGTTTTATTGTGATTGACATTTAATGCCAAACCATCTCTACACTGATGTAGAAAATTGTCCAGATAACTGTTTGCTAACTTCTCTATCAAAACAAGAACTGAAATAAAATAAATTCTGTTATTTAATAAATGCAGTAATGTCTTACTCTTAACTACCAGGTATCTCATTCACTCACAACATCTCTTATATATAATTGTAGTTGATTAAATTGTGTTTTGATAAAACTATTTGACTATAAATATATTTATCTTAAAATTTAATTAGCTTTTAAGGTAAAATGTTCGTACATACTGGAAGAAAAAAACAGTTAGTGAGAATTAAATTATGTAATAAGTTTAACAAACTTAAATAGTGAGAATATCTGAGTTGATGAAAATTTTACAATCATAAATTCTGAATGCCTTAAGAAATTCTATTTTTATTTAAGTTCACTTACTACAAAACTTTTCAGCATTGGGAAACATTTAACCAATCTCGGAACTGTAATTACAGCATATTCTAAATCAGAAAATTGACTAAACAACAGTGGTAGCATATCCATAAATCTGAAAAATATTAGAGAAAATACAGTTTAAGATACAGGAAGCAATTGTTTTCGATTTTAAAATTTCCGAAAGTATTTAGATTTAAAAGTGAATCAAATTTTATTAAAAACAGTATTTAATAAATGCTGTTGTATTTATTATTACTATTCCTTACTTACTTACTTACTTACTTCACTAGTTACTTACTTACTCTTGTTACCGCTCATCGAGGAGCACGGGCCGTTCACGAGCACTTTCCATCTAACCCTGTCTTGGACAATCCCTTCCAGTTGCTATTCATCCTTTTTATATCTGCTTCCAATTCCCGATGTAGTGTGTTCTTCGGCCTTCCGTTTTCCCGTTTCCCTCCAGGATTTCAAGTTGGCGCTTGCCTTCTGATGCAGTTTGATGATTTCCACAATGTGTGTCCTATCCACCTCCAACTTCTTTTCTTAATTTCCTCCTTAGCTATAAGCTGGTTTGTTCTCTCTCATAGTGAGCTGTTGCTGATTGTATCCGGTCAACGGACATTGAGTATCTTGCGTAGACAGCTATTGATAAATACTTGTACCTTCTTGGTGATTGTTGTAGTAGTTCTCCAAGTTTCAGCTCCGTACAGTAGAACTGCCTTGACGTTCGTATTGAAGATTCTGACTTTGATATTTCTCGACAGTTGTTTCCAGTTCCGTGTGTTGTTCAACTGTAGGAATTCTATCCTTGCTTTGCCAGTCCTCGCCTTTACATCTGCATCCGATCCTCCACGTTCATCCATGATGCTGTTCTGGTACGTGAAAATGTCCACATCTTCCAGAGTTTTGCCATCAAGTGTGATTAGGTTGGTGTTCTATTTATTGTATTAGAGGATCTTGTTTTTTCTCTTGTGTATGTTGAGGCCTACTGATGCAGAGACTGCTGCTATGCTGGCTGTCTTTATCTGGATTTATTCGTGTGTATAGAATAGATGGACCGGGTCATCTGCGAAGCCTAAATCTTCTAACTGATTCTGAGCTGTCCATTGTATTCCATGCTTCTATTGAAATGTCGAGATATTCATAATCCAGCCAACCACCACAAGAAAGACAAAATGGCAATAGTAAGTAGCCTTGTGTTACTCCAGTCCTCACTCCGAATGAGTCCTTCAGCTGTCCCCCATGCAACACTTTGCAGTGTAGTCCGTCATATGAATTCCAGATGATGTTGACGATCTTCTCAAGTAGCCCATAGTGTTTGACAATGTTCCATAAAGTCGTCCTATCCAGACTGTTAAACGGTTTCTCACAGTCAAAGAAGTTGATGTGTAGTGACGAGTTCGATTCAATTGATTGTTCAACAATGATCCATAGAGTGGTGATTTGGTCTGTGCACGACCGATCCTTATGAAATCCAGCTTGTTAATCTCGAAGTTGGGCGTCCACTTAATTTTTCACCCAGTTTGGCAATACTCTGTTGAAAAATTTTCCTGGTACCGATAGTAGTATGGTGCTTCCTTAGTTCTCACATTTTCTCAGATCTCTGTTCTTTGTAACTTGATGAGGTGTCCTTCTTTGCAGTCAGTCGTCACGTATTCTTCCTACCAAATCTACCTAACTAGGACGTGAAGCCTGATCACAATTGCTTTTATGATTGACTTTAGAACATCAGCTGGTATATTGTCAAGTCCTGGTGCTTTGCCGCTTCTGATTTCCTCCGTCGTTGGTGGAGTGACGTCGATAAGAAGGTTCGTAAGTACTGATACAGCGAACAAGAACATAAGTAAGAGACAAACTTATAGAACGTCTTAGTAAAATTTGAGGACCATACAGTAAATGCTTAATTTGGAAAATGTTCATTAATTGTCTCAGAGTTCATTGTTCCTGCATTTCCATACCAATTGCTTCCTCCTCGATCTTCTCGACCTTCTGCTGTCAGACATTCTATTCCTGACTAGCGTTATATACAGCTTATGTCGACATAAGTAGCACACACTACACTGCTTCTGTGCCTGTTAGATTCAATGGAGTTAGTCTATTTACGAGTTCCTAGGATTATTCCTATGTATATAAGTTGTTTTACTGATTTCAATTAACTCAGTGATTTGGATTTTTAACAGTAAATTTATTATTTTATTGGTCAAGCTATAAATTGATTTTATGAAACACATGTCCAAATATCCGGCAAATCTGAAATATCCTCAATGGTTTAATTGAAAATTTACTATTTAGCAATAAAAATTTAGATAATATAAGTTCAATAAAACTCCGCCTGTAGCTCTCCTAGAGTTACTGCCGGTCCCAAGCCCGGATAAAGGAGGAGGGTTGGGCATGGGGTTAGCGTCCCCATCCCGTAGAAAACTAACTCGCTAAAAAAGCGCTAACCAGAAAAAATAACTCAAACCATTTAAACTCGGTCCTGGGAGTTAGAAGGTCTTCATTTAGAAAAAATATGACGCCTCAGGGTGAAAGCCGAGTTCCTTCGGAAGTCATGAGGCCGATGACCCTTCTAACAACCAGAGCAAAAACTTTTTATAGGTACATGGAACGTCCGGACAATGTGGGAGACCGGGAAGGCCATTCAAATAACAACGGAAATGAGGAGATACAACTTGGCAGTACTGGGAATCAGCGAAACCCATTGGACCCAAGCTGGACAACAAAGGCTAAATACGGGAGAGATGCTGCTATACTCCGGTCACGAAGAGGAAAATGCTCCACGCACTCAGGGAGTTGCTCTAATGCTATCCAAAGTAGCACGAAATGCACTTGTAGGATGGGAATCTCACGGATCCAGAATCATCAAAGCATCATTCAAAACAAAGAAGGAGGGGATCACAATGAACATTATCCAATGTTATGCACCCACCAATGACAGCAACGACGACGTTAAAGATCAATTCTATGAGAGGCTGCAATTAATCATAGAGAAGTGCCCAAGAAAGGACCTCACCATTCTGATGGGAGATCTAAACGCCAAAGTCGGAATGGACAACACCGGATATGAAGACATCATGGGACTACATGGATTGGGAGAGAGAAACGAAAACGGGGAAAGATTTGCAAATCTGTGTGCATTCAATAAATTGGTCATAGGCGGTACAACATTTCCACACAAACGTATACACAAAGCTACATGGATCTCACCGGACCACACCACAGAGAACCAGATAGATCACATTTGCATCAATAAAAAGTTCCGAAGGAAAATGGAAGATGTGAAAACCAGGAGAGGAGCGGACATAGCTTCAGATCATCACCTAGTTGTGGCCAAATTGAAACTGAAGCTAAAGAAAAACTGGACAACTGGACAAACAGCACCAAAAAGGTTCAATACAGCCTTCCTTCAAGATACTGACAAACTCAATGAATTCAAGATAGCTCTCAACAACAGGTTCCAAGCCTTACAGGATCTACTGAAGGAAGAAGAAACTACTATGGAGGATAGCTGGAAAGGTATCAAAGAAACATTAACTTCAACGTGTTAAGAGGTTCTGGGCCTCAAGAAGCATCATCACAAGGAATGGATCTCTACAGAAACACTGGACAGGATCAAAGAAAGAAAGAACAAGAAGACAGCAATTAACAACAGTCGAACACAAGCAGAGAAAGTCCAAGCACAAGCAGAGTACATAGAAGCAAACAAGAAAGTGAAGAAGAGCATTAGAGCTGACAAGCAGAAATACGTGGAAGAACTAGCAACGACGGCGGAAAAAGCTGCAAGAGAAGGAAATATGAGACAGCTTTATGATACAACGAAGAAGCTTGCAGGGAAATACAGTAAACCAGAGAGACCAGTCAAAGACAAAGAAGGAAGACCAATCACTGAGATTCAACAACAGCGGAACAGATGGGCAGAGTACTTCGAGGAACTCCTGAACAGGCCGGCTCCAATGAATCCACCGGACATCGAAGCAGCACACACAGATCTTCCTATAAATGTCAATCCACCAACGACAGAAGAAATCAGAATGGCCGTCAGACAAATCAAGAGCGGGAAAGCAGCAGGACCTGACAATATACCAGCTGAAGCGTTGAAGTCAGACATCGAAGTAACTACAAGCATGCTTCATCTTCTATTCAAGAAGATTTGGCAGGAGGAACAAGTGCCGATGGACTGGAAGGAAGGAAACCTCATCAAGATTCCAAAGAAAGGAGATCTGAGCAAGTGTGAAAACTACAGAGGCATTACACTACTGTCAATACCAGGAAAAGTCTTTAACAGAGTGTTACTAAACAGGATGAAAGACACATTAGACGCCCAACTTCGAGATCAACAAGCTGGATTCCGTAAGGACCGATCGTGCACAGACCAAATTGCGACATTAGGGATCATCGTCGAACAATCAATTGAATGGAACTCGTCACCGTACATCAACTTCATTGATTATGAGAAGGCATTTGACAGTGTAGATAGGAGGACGTTATGGAAAATTCTTCGACACTACGGAGTTCCTAAGAAAATTGTCAACATTATCCGGAACTCATACGACGGACTACAGTGCAAAGTCGTGCATGGAGGACAGCTGACAGATGCATTCCAAGTGAGGACCGGAGTCAGACAGGGCTGTCTACTCTCTCCCTTCCTCTTTCTCCTGGTTGACTGGATTATGAAGACCTCGACATCTGAGAGAAAACACGGCATACAATGGACAGCTCAGAACCAATTAGACGATTCGGACTTCGCAGATGACCTAGCCCTCCTATCACATACACACGAACAAATGCAGACAAAGACAGCCAGTGTAGCAGCAGTCTCTGCATCAGCAGGCCTCAAAATACACAAGTGGAAAACCAAGGTCCTCAAACACAACACGGAGAACAACAGTCCAATCACTCTTGATGGCAAAACCCTGGAAGATGTGAAATCCTTCACATACCTGGCAAGCATCGTCGACAAACAAGGAGGTTCAGATGCAGACGTAAAGGCGAGGACTGGCAAAGCAAGGAAAGCATTCCTTCAATTAAAGAACATATGGAACTCAAAGCAACTTTCAACCAATATCAAAGTCAGAATCTTCAATACGAACGTCAAGGCAGTTCTACTGTACGGAGCTGAAACTTGGAGAACTACAACAACCATCATCAAGAAGGTACAAGTATTTATCAATAGCTGTCTACGCAAGATACTCAACATCCACTGGCCAGATACCATCAGCAACAGCCTTTTGTGGGAGAGAACAAACCAGCTTCCAGCGGAAGAAAAAATTAGGAAAAGACGATGGAGCTGGTGGATAGGACATACATTGTGGAAATCATCAAACTGCATTACGAGACAAGCGCTAACTTGGAATCCTGAAGGAAAGCGGAAAAGAGGAAGGCCAAAGAACACATTACGTCGGGAAATAGAAGCGGATATGAAAGGGAGGAATAAGAACTGGAAAGAGCTGGAAAGGATTGCCCAGGACAGGGTTGAATGGAGAATGCTGGTAAGCGGCCTATGCCTCTTCACGAGGAGTAACAGGCGAAAGTAAGTAAGTTCAATAACAATAACCCATGACAAAAACATCCATCCAATTTTACTAAATTTTCGGTCGTCTTTAACTATGACACAGAGGTACATTTTCGGAAGAATATCTTATCTTCTCTTACGTTACCGATAAGTTAATTTTTGTAGTAAAATAAAGTGTCCGTTTCAATAGGTTGGTTGTCTTACAATACTTAAACTAAAACCAAATAATCTCTACTCATTTTCAATTGTCTAAGTGGTTAAAAAGTGATATTACTTTATTTCCATCTTATTTCATTACATCATTTAAGTCAACATTAGGTACATAAGAGTACGTAATCACATATTGTCTTATATATTAGAATTATAGCCAGTTATCTTGATCGGACACAGTGGAAAAAGATTTAAACTTGTCACGTTATCTCAGTAAAACATGAGGTAAATAATAATAGTAAAATATGAATATTTTCAAATCTCACCTTGATTCATATCCCGGTTTCATAGTAAAAAGTTGTATAGCAAATGCATTTAATTTTGTATTATCCGTCAACTCGATTTTATTGCTATGTTGTGCGTCATAATCTTTATACAAAAGTCGTTTTGTCCAGTGACATACTTGACTATTGTCTTCATTATTTAATAGATAATCTGGCCGACTAAGATCTGGTGATTTAATTTGTTTTTCGGTTTTTATATAACTCGATCTGGTTAGAATGTTTTCTGCTTTGTCTGTAAATATATATATTTATACGTCCGAAAGAAAAACCTTACTATATCACGAGAAGTTAAACATGTTTAGATATGGTATAATAGAAAATTAGATTAACCTATGTAACTGCGATTTACAGTACAATAAACAAAACGATTAATAAAAAGCAAAATTTATCAGAACAACCAAAGCAACATATGTTAAATAAGAAAAATTAGTGATTCACACAATAATATTGAAAATTTACTAAAAAACTGCGAAATATGTCCAGATACACGTTAGCAATCAATTTAGGATTAGATCACCATCCGTGCACAGTCCAATTTAAAGAGGATATGGATCAGCATGCATGAATAATACCAGTCAATAAGCAGGTAAATAATTAATGTAGTTGGCTTTATTCTGTAGATACATCATTAGTTTCCCTGTTGTATTGTTTATCAACCAGCTTGAAGTCAATCTTAACTTAAGAGATTTAAAAGTCAACATTACCAGTGTTCTCAGTTGAGACATTTAGTGATGAGACTAAAACAGACTAGATGACCTGTATTTGTTCAGACGATAAAATCCAACAGACTGAAGAACTATGAGCAAAAACATTTTGCCTGAAAATTAAATTTTTGTAGTTTTATTTGATCTTACCAACTTTAATTCTTTAAACGTGTCTGTAATGTGTTAAGACGTTTGGAAATAAACCATTTTAAGATGATCATTGTCTATCCATTTAACCGATCCTTTGTACTCAAAATCTTCATAAAACATTGGATACATAGTCAGTCAGTCAGTCAGAAACAACGTGAAACTTTGTACGTACGTACATCAGTTTGAGTTGCCCAAACCACATTAGCACAGAGATTCAGTTATCGATTCAAATCCCGTAGTGGTAGAGGTAGTGATAGGGAACATTAGGGTTTGATAATGTTATTTAAGGAGTATAATCCAGTGGAATAGATTTGGAAAGAAGATAAAGGGAATGAAGAATACAGAAGATTAGAGTTTGAGAGAACACAGAGAATGGATGCACCTGCGCTATTGCAAACGATTTTGAGCCATGTCATTCAAGGTCTCTAACCATCGGTTGCTATCATCTCGCGGCCTGGATACATACCATTTTTATTTATTGTCTACCAAATGTGAAGCCTGTTTTTTATGACATTAGTAGACTTAATCTTGTCTGATATGTTTTTTGTATACTAATTAAGGCTTTAATGGCAGAAATATCTAAAACTTTGACTTCTTGTGCCTTAAGCAAGATTCTGAAACAATATGGATATGCCATATATTCATCATCAAAAGGAACAAACTTTCTTCCACCTTAACCTCATTTGCTCATTTATTCAATAATGAATAGGTAGACAGTTCAGTTGTTGGCTTATTTCTTGGTTAACAAATATCTGAAATCACAGATACCCATATGAAGGATGGTACAATACAAATTCCTGAACAATTTATAAGGAGACGAGACGACCGACAAACATTTTGCGGGGCTATTTATAGAGGACATCACATTTCAAATAATTGTATCGCTCTGTGAGGTTTCGACCACTGGATGTTCGTCATCAACCTATCCTGTTCTTTTGGTTAAAACTTCTAAAGTTTTGCGGAGTTTGTATAGACTAAAAAAGACTCGAAATACTTTTGCGACGTTCCTATGTTCAACACAATATATCATGTTTTCACGGGTCTGTCTAGTTGTGACCACTAAAGTAACTTTTGGGTATACTTAGTAATCTATGATCTCTTAATTATTTACACTGATGTTAGTTATTGTAGTTCATAAGACAAACTCAACATGAAGACATGTTTGAAGAGTCTGAGAGCTTTCCAATATTTATAAAACTTATAACTTCGTTAAATGTAATGTAAACTTCTTGTCCACGAAATGTGATTGGATGTTGTCTTAACATTTTATTAACAGTGAGTCGCTTGATTGACCACAAGAGCAAAACACGAAGTTGAAAACGGGTAAACAGATAAAAAAATTTCTCAAGGAGGATTATTGATTGAAAACAAGTGAATCAAATATCCTCAAATATTCCCGAATAAAACAAAAGTAAGTTCATTAATGACGGTTGGATTACTGCAAGTTTACCTCCAAACTGTCCATCTTTTAAGCAGCTGAATTTGAATGGATCATTACAGTAACAATGTTACTAGCCGTTATAACCGATAGCGGCCGAAGTGGAAGAGTTTGCTATTCACCCCGCTTGGATCATGGCCAAAATAGCAGGCAAAACAATCTAAATATTTCGAATACATCACAAAAATATCAAGTAAAGCGAAAAATATTTAAATAAAGCTGCCAGCTTTGAAGTATTTCATAAAATTGGTTTACTAAGAAAGAATTCTACCTGTTACTTCCAAAGTACTTTCAGTTACTGTCAATGGAAATTGATTTTGTTCTTCTGCTTCCTTTTTCACCGGTTTATCGCACTTGGCCAATCCATTGAACAAATCTAAGTCATAATGTGCATTCAAGTTCTTGAGATTTAAGTCTCTCGTTGCACTGACGAAACCTACTGCTCTGCGTTCGTACTGTTATCGAGATTAAAAATATAACATCAACATACCTCCACAACGACACATTTGAGATTATTGTCTTGAGCTTCAACTAGTTCTGAGACATAGTAATCTCCATATGTTTTTTGAAGAAGCTTAGAGTGGTCATTTATCAATGGCGTAAGATCATCTGTATCCTCAACTCTGAAAGTAATGATAGGTTATAACGTATCATACGCTGCTGGACGACAGAATAATACTGGAAAAATTTCGTGCCTGTAAGCGCAGAAAACGTCGTTTTCTTCGGCAACCCTCTTTGATAATTTATGAAAAGGAAAAGAGTTCAGACACTCTTTGATAAAAACTTAAATAGCAAGTCACAATTTACTGATGCTACAGGCATCTCCTAAAACAAAAAAGATATAATGGACAGAGCAGGCAACAGTAAACGCCATCTTTATTAGCTGAGTTATCGCGAATTTGTCGTGAGTTGGGCTAACCGCGAGAAGATGAATGAATAATGAGTTTGTGGTTGTTAAGCCATCGGTACAATATATATGACTAAAATATGTGTCCCAATCATTTTCTGGAAACTTTAAGCTATTTGGATATTCATAAAAGCATGCATGGCCAACCAAATTTTTGTCACTGTCAGTAACACAAAGTGACAGAACTGATCTCTCACTACATAAAATGATTGAAACTCTGATCATAAAATCATTGATTACATTAACTTCACCAAGCTAACTTTCCCAAACTCTCTTGAATTAAAAATAATTCTTAAGTTTTCAATTTGTTTAACGTCTGTAAGGCTACATCTTCTTATTTCGAAAAGACCTTCAGTACTTTCCATGGTTGAATGTGTACAACGCTGTTTCCACAACAACCAAAACCTTCAAAGTACGAAACAATCCAATGTCCAATGTCTTTGTCATGAGCATGTATATGTTGACTGATCTATTCGCGCTATTTTCTTCTTGTTTAGGTTTGGTTCTAGGTATTTGTTTATGTCCGAATAGTGCCAGTCTAGTCACTCAGTTGCACTAATTTCTGTTGGTGTAGTAGTTATTTATGGATTTGTACTTCTGGTAGTTGAGTAAATGCGTTTATCTCACCAGGATCTTCTGAAAAAATATTCATGGATTGGCGTCTAACGGGTTATTGGTTAACCCATTATCTGTTGCCTTTTCATCTACTGCTGTAAAGTTTTCTTGAAGAGTAAGTGAATACTTTTCACTTTTTATGGATCTTCAAATTATTGTGTCCTCTAAATAGATTAGTACAATTGTGTTCATTTTATCCAGCAGATCGTGAATAAAGTTGAGAAAAGCAGTGTATCTAAGATTGCACTTAAAATACCTCTGACTTTGAAACCCTTCAACTTCCGCGCAGTTTATTTAATTGGTACGATATATCCAGTTCTCTAGGTAGTTTCAAAGGTAGGATGAAAATATGTCAGTTAAACTCAACTTTTTGATCTTTTTTCATATGAGAACTACATGAGTTACTGTGTCAAATACTTTAAAGAAATGAAGGAATATTGCAAAAATCTGTATCTTATAATTCTGCGAGGTCGTTTTATATTTCGCATGATATAAGAAGAATAGATGCATATGATTTATCATTACTTTTAACTCTTGTCGGGCTTCTCATTTCCTCATTGATCAGTCCATTTATTTTCGACAGTATTGAAAGTAGTGCATCTGGTTTTTAACGGGTAAGGCTTTTTCTATTTCTCCATTTCAGAATTGGGAGGAGGGTGATATGCTTCCTTTCTCTCGGAGGTTGATACGAATCTAGTGAGTGCATGAACAGGTTACACGACGGTGTGCTGAAGACTTATGTGAACTGTCTCAAGATCATAGGTTAAAAGTTGGCACACCCTACGAGAAGGTGAACACAGTTTACAAAACCTAAATCTCGCGTTAGTAGAAGTAGACCTGGGCATAACGTCTTAAACATTCAAAGTAAAATTATACGAAATATAGTGCCCACCAAAATTAAAGAGGTAAGTGATTGCTTATTTCCGGACAACTCTTAACCACTAGACTAAGTTCCTTCAAACTAACGTTGTCGTACCTACGTTAAGTTCCTCAAAAATGACGGTTGCAGAAGATTTATTTTGTACAGAGGCGTGGAAAACTGCATTGAGCTATGCTTTCTCAGCAGGTACAATCGCCGACACAACAATACACGCGAAAGATCGATGATAAGCGATAAAACAATGAAAATTGTGCAGTTGTCGCTTTGCAAGGATTGAAGAGGGTACTGAAAACCAGAAATTCGGTAATATCAATGAGCAATAGTTAATTAAAACAACTATTTTAGGGACTTGAGTAACCAAACATCTATCAATCAGGTAATAGATCCAGTCGGCTAGATTAAATAGATCAACTTAAGGACGGTCGTCCAATATGGTAGGCGCCGAGCCTGAAAATTTCAAGTTTGATCGAGATCATCAGCCAATCTTATTTGGACCGCTCCATCTGGCAAGAATCTCGCCATCAGTCCACATCAGCGACCATGCAATCGGGAGTTGTATTCACTCTTAGATAATGTGCAAACAGTGCTTGGAAACATAAATTGCTATTTTACGTCAAAATCATTATAGTTCCTTTATGTTCCGATAACTTTGTAGAGTCATGTGTGGAATCCTATTAGGAGCATTTGCACAGTTTTGCCTGTAGTAGGATTTCTCGGTAGGAACTGAAAGCAGTTCAAGGTTGTAGATATCAGTCAAGGAGGTATTTGTGATAAAAAAATTAGCATCGTTACTATTGATTAGTTGCATAGTGCTAGACCATAAGGAGACATAATTTCATAGAATATTATGCTCAACAAACAAGGATGGACCGAGGTAATCTCAACACCAACATGATTGCTGGTCAGTAACACCATCCTCCTTTCTTTTGTGATGTAAGGCTATCTCATGTCAGCTCTATCCTGCACATCTTGTTATAAAACGAGCAAACCAGACAGCTAAAGCTATCGTATTGTGGGTTAGAGATCCATTCAGCATATAACACTACTATGAAGTTTGCTAATCGTATAAGCTTTAATGGAATATATGTCCACGAGCGCTGGTATAAACCATTTATTCAGGCACGATCTATGTGTTCAGTACTCCCCCAAGTGGAATTGTAAAATAAATGAAATCAATAAAAAAGGACAGTACATTCGTGATGTTCCAAAGAGTTAATGTCTTAATATTGTACTGAGTTGTGTTTTTGTATTCTTCGAGAATGGGATCGCGTCCACGCTGCATATCAGGTTCAAAATAGCCATAGTTGTATAGGAATTCTGTTCATGCTAAACATGCATATTTCCGCCCATTCGTGTATTTAATCTTCATGAAGACGGGGAGCCACCTAAGGTTTTTACGATTAGGACTTCCGCCTTCCACTTTTCAACTAATGCCATTACGAACCGATAATATAGAAACTCGGTTTTGCAACGCAGGAGCTGACTTCACAAGCACGACGTGACAGACCCACATGCATAATTACTCGCAGTAGTGAGACCACTACTTCATGACTTTGACAGGTTCATCACACCTAGTATGCTTACTAGTGATGTTTCAGAATCTTATGAAAAAAGGCGTTCTTAAACGTAGAGACCTAACCGATCGACAAAGGTTAGACCAAATTTTCCACAACATGGCTCAGCAATAGAAGTTACTACATATGTGAGAGATCATTAGTCAATAGAACTTTGACGAAGGTCTGTCTAGACGGCTCTTGTTGTCTGCGCTTTCCTGCGTCTCCTCCACAAAATATCTGACATGACTGTAGGAGAAAGGCCAGCACTTTATTATTTCCTATCAAATGCATTACTTCAAAAAAGTTAAATATTGTGATCATTCACGATTCATCAAAAAGAACTCAGTAGTAGAAGCTATTATTGTGAATGATGATAATCATGAAGTCAAACAAAATTCAAAGAAAACAACATTATATACACTATTACAAATATTGTAATTTTTGGTAACTATCGTATTTAGAATAAGAAAACCATAAAACTGTGATAAAGAGCATCAAATGTAAAATCTTTCACGTGATGAAACAAAAAAGGTTCTTTTAATAGTTGTTACACACAAGTGATCAGAAAGAAAGTATAAAAAATAATAAAAAATGAGAAAAATTTGCTGATATGATAAACAAGTCACAAACAGGCAATATGACAAAGGACATGTTTTGTTTAATTTAATTTATTGGAGCCACTATGTTGACGAGATCTTAATCCTCGAAACAATCGTGGACTAGGTACTGAATTAAACACATTTGCTTTATACATATCAGGAGTTTCGTTATGGTGATGTAGTGTTGTAGAATTAGTTTTCAATGAAGGTTGAGAAATTACAGAAACAGGTTTGGTGGTTAAATTATCAACATGATGCCGCGTAAACATACTTTTAGCACGAGTCACTGATGATGTTCTTGAATGTGCACTTGTTGCACGATGTGAAGACACAGGAACGATTTGTTGTCTCTGTCGGACACTAGGTGTTTGTACAACATCATCAGTGTGTTTTAGAGCATTATTATTATTAGTTATATCATTAGGAACAAGATCAGAAGTTGAGTTTTGCGAATAATTATGACAAGTTTCTTGTGTAATGGGAGGAACAGCAGAAAATTTTACACCGCCTGATTTATTGACTACACCTCGATTCAACGATAAATTTGACTGATTGCGCTGCACTGAAAAGGAGTGAAAACAGAGTGATTGACTTAATTGATAAGTTAAAAAATGTTGAACAATTTCAAACCATACAAAATTATACAGCTAAGCAAACAATACAAACAACAATAAAAATAACGATGATGATGGCGACAATGACAAAGTACATGCAAAAAAAAACACAAACCAAGAAACAACAGAAATTTACAGCAAAATGAAAGCAAAAATAATCACAAATATAGTAGCAATTATAACATAACAGTAAGAAAAAATGACTAAATTGCTTCTAAATACAAGTGTAAACTAACCAAACCCATGATAAACAAAACAAGATGCAAGTGTATGTGAAAAGTTGTTGGAAAAAATAAACAGAATAACACTAAGCTAACAGAGACCACGATTACAGCTACATTACATAATGATGAACAACTAGACCATTGACGAATACGAAATTGTGCACACTCACTAAATTTACTTAGAATAGAAGTAATTATAGTAGTAGGAGTTTAACGTTTTACTTCCTCATGCAGGCGAGTAATTACTTGTTCCAATGACATAATTGAGCCTACAGATCAATAAGAAGCAATTGAAATATGCAGAGAAATTTAGTAATTTTACGCTTGAACAGACAAAAATTGATAGTTACAATAATATTGATGGAAGGCAATAGATGATCATCATTAATGCATGCATGATGTTGGCGAACAATCAACAGATATTTATTTAAATAAATGAAGCGACCTATTCAAGAATTTATGAAAAGTCTAAACACACATTACAATAAAGCAGAAAAAACCTAGCCTGTACGAGATGCATACACAAATAATTTAATTCTTACATAGGATGAAGCTAAGTAGTTTCAACTAATGGGGTAAACAGATGAAAAAGGATGCTGTTGCATTAAAATTTATACCAGTAAAAGCAATTGTATGAATTAAACAAAAGGAATTAATGTAAATATTATGATTAGATGAAATCAACAAGAAATACTGATTATCGTTGTAGAATTTTATTTATTTAAATACATAAACATTGATACAAGGAGGCACCAAATATATATATGCGCCACACAAATCATTTGATATAATTCATTTTATCAACAAAAAATACAATTTTCTACTTCCACGGTAACCAATAGTTAAATACAAGTTGAATCTATATTATTTTTCATGGAGATCCCTACATATATTATATAATTTAATTTGAAATCAGGTTTACTTGTACACATTTATTCAAGTGACGTATGATTTGATTTCAGCAAGTTGATACAGTTAAGAACGATGAATACAGCTTTCTCGATACGACCCTTTGAGTAAACGTGAATAAGTGACGACGAGAAGCCTCACTATGACTATTAGAAAATATACCAATAAAAAACTCCATGTTTCATGTTACAAACAGTTACGTTAAATACATCCAGCTGATGACTCCCAAACAGAACGAAACGCGCGTCCTAGATTCCACCACTAGCCACATTCTATTTTAATAGAACATTATATAAACTCAGGGAAAATCACCTATCATATAACCGATTTCATCATTTGGAAATAAGTTTTATTATAATAAATTCAGTATATCTTCATGTTATTGTTTACACTTGGAATAAGATCTATTGAATCTCAATACAAACTAATTTACAAGCAGTTCTACACAATAGTCCACAAGCATATTAAACGCAAAAAAAAATATTTTATCATAAGGGCGTTCATTATAAAATTTTAATTGATTTTTTGTTGGCATATGTTTAATTTGGGCTAACTGCCTTGATAGGGACTTTTATTATAAGCTTTAATTCATTAACATTGAGATAAAAATTTATCAAATGGATGAGTTTCTGACAGGATGAAACATGCATCATATACTCTACTGCCATCCATAATATATATATATATATATATATATATAACGAGAAAAATAGTAGGATACTGGGTTCAGTGCTATAAGAAGTTGTAGATGTGGAAAATTCAAAACTATTTTTACACAGTTTCCTAGATGATATCGATTTATGTTAGAGTATTTTGAATTAGTGGTAAATTGTTAGTGCTAAAAATAGGACCATTAAGAAATTAAGATAAAACATACGTAAATCTAAGGAAGCTTTAAAAAAAACTAACTGGCAGAATATGGACAGCTTCAGCATGTCTCAAATAAAAATGAAATATCTATTTTCCATAAGATGAAAAACTTATTATGTTGATTAGTCATAATCAAGATTTCTTTTTCTTGATGAGATTTATTGTATAGTTTAACATAAGATTATAACAACCGAACTATAGCTGATAAAATTGAAACATTGACCATGAACAGCTGAACTAATATATAATATCAGGAATTCCTATATTGTAAATTAGAACACATACAAGCAAGCAATGTCGCTTTTAATAAGATCCTCATCAGTTTTTACTATAATATACAACCTATATCATTATTATCACTAACTCTATAAACTGCCTAGACAAATTGAATATTTTCATACATCCATGTAAATATCATTATATACTAGAATAAAGCCTGATGAAGATCTCGTTAAGAACAATATTGTTAGCTTACATATGAAATATTTATATGGACATCTATTAATATAAAAAGAGATAGGCTCATACACATAAAAACGTACATTTTTAGGAAACAATGGAGGTAAACACAATTCAACAATACATATACAGAAATATAGGTTACCATGGAAACATTGGACACGTAGGTAATGAAATAAAAGATAATTACTGTGTTTATTATAAAAGTACAAAAAAGTTACCACTTTTTGAATTTGGCAAAAGTATCGATTCAGCGTATTCTTCAAAGCACGTTGACAATGTATACTTGGATATTATTTGCCGTAGACTTGAAGCACGATCTTCATATCTTCGTTTTTTTAAGAAATTGAAACATTACTGAGTTAAGACAGAAGCATTGTATCTGTAAGCAATCCTGACCAATATATATATATATATATATATATATATATATATATATATATATATATATATATATATATATATGCTACGATTGTAAGTAGTATTTATCATTAAAAACTAAGGTGGGATAGTATAGGACTTCTTAGTAGTGCACATTTACGGCATTAAATGACTGCCACACCATATCGAAAATTATTTGAAATCGGATGATGAATGGTGGATTTAGATATAAGTTAGATGTGAACCTTTCATAGTGAAAATTTATAACCTTAATTTTTGGTCTAAATAGTTATATCTCAAACAACCGGTCTCGAGAAATCTCTAATAAAGAAGTTTATAGACTACTCTAGACTGGATTATTTGGTGGTGTCACATGCGCTGAGAAAAAATGAAGGGGTCATTTAAACGGCTGAGATAATGGAACATTAACCAACTGCATCCCAGTAATAAAGTGTTCAAGATCAAAACTATTAAGATTCTGATAACTGACTAATAAGGGAATAAAGAAAACAACACAACGTAAAGTTGGAGACAATAACCTTAAGGTAATGATAGAAGGGACTTTAAAATGATAAAATTGATTACGAGATCATCAAGAAAGGATACGGATGACGATAACCCGGTTTAGTAGCTTGAACAGCACGACTAGCATTAATAGCTGTAGCACGGACTAGACCTGGTAGAACATTCGCAGTTAAAATAGCATTTTCCACAATTGGTCCAAATAAACCAACCTTTATTAATTCGGAAAGAAACACATAGAAGGGTATTTAATAAACATCATATATATATCATGACAAAGAAATGTAAACATGAAGAGAGGGCATTAGAGGCCGCAAATTAAAATCATTTGGAAATTATATTGCAGTCAATCTTATAAATGAATCAAACGAGAGAAAACGACGTAGACCATAAGTTTAATCCGTACCTACATCCTTTTACATTAATAAACTTTTGATAAGGTAAATGTTGTGAAATGCATATGTACAAGCTTACCATATAGTTTATTCAATAAAAAATAAGTTTGTAAAGGTAACAATGGTATTCCATGAAAGGAATATACTGATTTTTATTTGCAAGATTGAAATAAGATGTTGACACAAATTTTAAGTACGAACCTTCTATAATACTTAAGCTGAAAGTTTCAATGAATTATATTCATCAAGAATTCAGTCATCATATATATAAAAATTTTAAAAATGGTGTGTTGTATTGCAAGATAAATAATTATATAACAGTTGAATCCGAACTGGAGTAGAACGTCAGCTTCGAGAATGTTGTAAATCTCCCGTGAAATGTAGTTGATTTATGGAATACTGACATTCGCCTTTCAGCATAGAATAGTAAGATATTGAACAACTATTTCTCATAACCAATTTATCGCAGTAATTTACACAGCAACGCATGAAGTCCTCCTAGAGTTTCTACCAATCCCAAACTCGAATAAAAGATAAGAGTTGAGAGTGGGGGTTAGCAACCGTACCACGTAGAAAACATTGATAAGTTATTGAAACTATTAGGACTTTGAGTTTGGAGTCGATAGGTTTTCTTACAGAGGAGTTATGACGGCTCATAGTGAAACCCAAGATTCCACAGACGTTATGAGGTCGACGACTCCTTTTCTGACAACTAGAGTAAAAACTAATAGAGGTAGATAGAATGTGGGAGACTGAGAAAACCATTCAAATAGCGGAGGAAATGAGAAACAAAAAATAGAAAATAATCAACGGAAAATGCAAAATAATTTAGTCGATATGACAAACCTGGGCTTCACGTCGTACTTCAACTTTAAACAATCCATTAAGTAAAGGTGAAATAATGATTAATACATCGCCGAATTGTGTACGTAGTATACTTCGTCTAAAAGCACGTGAATTCTCATTCCATATAATCATAATTTCATCGTTTCCCAAATGTTTATACTGGTAGCATTAGAAAAAAAAATTAGAAGAAAAAAGAACTGTGAAGGAGACATTTAACAATAAAAGTGATGTTTATCTAGTCCAGACTATGTGAAATGATGTATGAGAAACTTAAAAATTTTACAAAACAACTTGCTGCTATTTAAAATATTTAGTGTTATTCAGTGTACTATTTGACAAATTTAATCGTATGATGGAACAAGAACTTAGTTGTATCACCAAATTAATTACGATGACTGTACTAAAGTGTAACATCACATACAATAATTTGTATTTTATCTTCAAGAGATGTATTCCGAGATGTGTGATAATTAAGAAAAAAGTTACAGACCTGAAGTGTGTATGTGCTTCATCAAGAAAGGGATATGAGAAGTTAATGTCCTAAGTCGATCATGTACAGTGTTACAATGGTAGAAAGGTACAAATATCAAATCCACAATCGGATCAAACAATACAATAATAAGTCATCATGTATTGAAAAATAACAATTATAAAGGATTAAATGAGATAAGCAGTAAAAATGCACACTACACAATGATTACTAAACATCGTTGAATGTAGTGTAAATAACTAATCTGAGCAGGGATTATAGACGGTGAAGTTTTATTACTGATGTAACTATGTGCAGTAAATTAGTTCAGAGTCGAACAGCTCATTTAAAACAACCGTAGATACAGAACAGATTGGTTTTGGCTAGCACTATAATATATCGGGAGTTTGTGTTTTCAAGTATCGTCGAACATATGGTACTATTTTAAAATTGCCTTGAAAAGTACTAAAATGTATGAACAAACCAAGTCCAGATGGAATGTATGTATTTATTTATGTGTTCCGTAACCCAACTGGTTGTAGACTGTCTCCTATAGTTTCTATTCTGATCTCATAAGTATTGTGAACTCATCGTGCTTTCGGCTTCCTGACTATCATGTATTTGGTTGTCGACTGCAGAAGCTCCCATGCGGCGCTCTGATGTATACTACTTATAAGCAATCTTTTGAGTAGCACTCACCACAGTACTTATAGTATTATTTTCTATGATTTATATATTTATTTTGCTCGTATTCAATAAACGCAGAAAGTTTGGAAACGTAGTGCAGACTGGAGTTGGAAATAGTCATAAAAATAGTTGGTAATGAAGCATTTAGTCGTTAGTGGTGTGCCGATTTCATGTATATGTTTAAGTTTATTACTCTTCAGTAAACTGCACCAAATCTACAAGAAACAAATATTTTGCTTTTCGTCAAGCTGATAATTTATTGTCTATATCTACCAAGCAGATGTTTTTTACAAGTCATGAAGAAAACGATAGACAAATTTGATTGGATTGATCAGCAAATAAACTAAACAGATGGACAGAGTAAAAAATGAGCAAAGGAATAAAAAACAAACTAACCTTTAAATCTTCTTGAGTAGATGAAGGCATTCTTGTTGAAACATGGAAAATAACTTCTAAAGTAGATGTTGCATAATATGGTGTGGATAAACCAGCACGTCCACTACACTCTAACCCACCACGAAATCCTTTGTGTTTAAGCAAATCAACCTCCCAACCAAGACCAGCTACAAAATTTTCAAATTCTAAACTGGCTGTTTGATTTGATAAAATAGACTGTTTATCCTCTTGTCCTGAACCAACATAGAATATAGCAAGTTTATGGGTTTCACGCCTGAAATAATATATAAGAACAATAGCAATACAATCATAGACACATATACGGTTACATATATACAGCTCTACGTGAATTCATAATATATTAGCATGGATATGCAATCAGGAAAAAGAGAGTGTTTAAAATCGACGTCTGTCCAAACTAAAAATTACTATCAAGAATTAAAAAAGAATTTAGGACGCGTATTTTATTTAGGTGACTCATTGACTAAAGCTATCTGCATTCAAGTTTCAGTGTTTAGACCGAGATACTGAGCATCTACTAACCAAATTTAATCAAAACTTGTGAATAAATGATATCGTTGAAGCAATACGCTCAGGATATCTATAAGTGAATCAAAGACTGATCAATTACAAGCCCTCATATATCTGAAAACTGTGCTGTTAATATTTTTTGTGCTAAGTGATCATTTTTTGTACATTATTTTGCATTTAATTCGAATTCCAACTACAATTAATTTTAATTGTGCTCAACGAGCTCTATCTGACAGTTCTAGGAATTCCTAGTTGGCATATCAATTTGATTAGTTTCAATTATTACAGCTTATCTATCAGTGATAAAATATTCTCAATTTCATGATTCACAGTGAACATCATACATCATATCATTATCAGTCGATGACAACTCTCGTGTGGTCTGATGACAGCAAACTATAGATTCTGTGCTTATAAAACTGAAATTCTACCAGAACTGAGGAGCGACCAAGTCAGTCAGTAACAATGTAGAACTTCGTACGTACGTACATTAGTTCGAGTTGCTATACTACATTAGCACAGAGATGCAGTTGTTCATTCAAACCCCATAGTGGTAGAGGTAGTAAGAGTATAAGCAGTAATCAGAAACATTAGGGTTTGAAGATGTTATTTAAGGAGTATAATCCAGTGAAATAAATTCAGAAAGAGAAAAAAAGAGGGGACATGAAGAGTTCGGAAGATTAGAATTCGGGAGAACACAAAGAGTGGATGCACCTGCACCACTGCAAACGATTTCGAGCCATATCATTCAACGTCTCTAACCATCGGTTGCTATAATCTCGCGGATCTCAACCAGGTAGTCTACACCTACCAACATGGCTGAGTCCTCTTATCAGTGACTTCATGGATTTGTGCCATGTTTTGGTCTGGCCGCCTCTAACTGACAAGAAGCCTACACAATGATCGTGAACAGTGGTGGGTAGTGAAAACAAGAGAGATGGAAAAGACACTATAACAATTAGTCCAAGTGATTTCTAACATTGGGATTACTATTTTGAGATGTTAGTTTGGTTGCAAATAGCCAACACAACACCTTGAACTTAGGTTTCATACCATAATTAGAACCGGTTAGCAAGCCGTACCTTAAAGGGGAACTGATACTTGATGTGCTATTACAACTCCTATCATCTATCATCACAGTAAACAAAAAAAAGTTTCAATGAAATTTCTTAATACAAGATATTTAAAACTTTAAAATGAACTAACGATCCAAGATTATCCAAATGTTTTAATTCACGTATAAGAGCTGGAGATATTTGTAATAATTCAACGGTAGGTCTATGTTTCCAAGATAAATAACCTAGTTGATTTAATAAATGACGAGAATTATAAAATTGTAAAGTATTTTGTTTCATTGATTCTAATTCTTGAACACTTATTTTCTTATCATTGATCAATGAACGTATTGTATACTTCAAAGAATTTCTATAACCAGTTTTTGGTAGAGATATATGAGAGTTATATAGTGATAATCTAATAGAACAAATGTAAAGAAAAGAATAAAAATCAAACATGAAATTAGCATTGTAAATAAAATAGCAAATGCTTATAATAAACTTGAAGAGTTTCCAATGAAGATGAGATCGTCTACTTAGATTTTTATTAAAAAAAACACCATGATAAGTGATTAATCTACTTGATTCAATGATCTGGTAATAAATGGATTTTTCGCATGGATACCGAAACAATCTGAAATTTTCTACCAATTTAAATAACTTACGATGGTATAATATATGTATATTCATCACATAAAAAGTATATTTTGCATAATTTTATGAAATGTAAACAAAAAAAAATTAGGTAGATTATGCATGTGTTCTAGAATTATTGTTAAGATCACGTGTAAGGTTTTAGACAGATGATATAGTGAATTAGCTGTAAACGTTTATTGATTTAAGTGATTAAGACAAATTTTATTTAATGTCTGTAGTTATTGCCTATTTTGAGAATCGGCTAGTAATGGATTAATTGTAGGTGAATTAATTACATACTTTAATTAGAATAGTTTAGTGTGTGGACCTTCATTTTATAAATAAGTTTTGATCTTTTTATGGTATTTAAGTAGGATATATGTTAATTTTATTCGTTACTTGTGAATCATATTTGTGTAGTGACTAAGTTTTATTGTAAGCATTAATATTTCAAAATGTTTATTAATATTTGGTCAATTTATTATTATTAACATGAAGTATGACAAGCTGAATGAATTGACATTTTTTTACAGTGTTTCTAGGTATTTACTCTACCTTTAACACAGTCATCGCTTATTCGGTTGTGTCAAAATATACGACTAATTCTTCAAAGAAATCTATGATCGAAAATTAGTAAATTAGGAATATACTCTACTCTTAACGGTCATGTTTGACACTCATAAGGTAGAACGGAGCGAACTGTTGTGCAGTAATTTCGTTCTTTACTTGATAGACAGTTATTTCGCCTACGCCACAAGTGCGGAGAGTTGGCAAAAGTTAATCGAGCCTTTTAAATTCGTGCTGAGAGTTCATTGGACATCAGATCATCATGACTGATAAGACTCCCAAGATAAGTAAATCAATCGATGCGTCCAACTACTTCACTCCATATCATTTATTCATGAGCTGACGAAAGCCAGTCGTGAAGCAAGATTTTGAATTTAAAAGAAAGAGAACTGCATCCCAAAGATGGTTGCATTATTATTTAAAGTCGTCAAAAGACTGCAATTCGTCAGTGTCTTCATCAAGCAAAACTTTTATTTGCAAACTTAAAGTCAACAAGTAAACGTCTTGTTAGAAGAAGAACTCCTGAAAAGTCAGAAGATGAAAGTGTTATCTTTAAAATTATGAATTTTTCACTACTGCAGCATCTCTTGAGGAACGAGACCATGACATTCAGACCTCGTGACGGCGGCTTAGCTTTGAGAACATCACGACGACAGTTCAATGATTCACATGTCTAACTTCAATCAATTTATAATATTACGCAACTATCTTTTAATAATGTCAGTAATTGTATCGCATCAAGAGGATTGAATATAAGTGAAATATTTCACAGTATAAGTTATTTAGCTGACATGATTGTTTACGTCCTAACTGGATGTGAAATTTGTAGAATTGATTAAGAAAAAAAACATCAGATACATAATTTCCATACGTACACATCTATATCTGGCAACTTTCGATGAGTCACATTTTCATCTATTTGATATTGAGCAGTTATTTGATCACATGTCACTTTCTCCATATTCAAACAAGCTGTTTTTTCTTTGTCAGAAATATTTTTCAAATTTTCATATTCACATAGCTTTGATGTGCACCAGTTAATTGAACATTCTGGACTAGTTATTGCCAAATTTCTTAGAACCTAGTAAATATCGCAAACAAAAGAATAATGATAACGAGAACACTACACATTATATATTTACCATGATACTGCGTTTCTAGTTTTTTTTTTTAATCACATGATTATTTATGTAACTTTAACGACACTTAAAACTTTGAAAACAGAAATAACAGTCGGATCTCATCATGAACTAATACATTGACTAGAGAATCATTTGGTTTTGCATGATTGGTGGATAAAAACAGAAATTACTATATAATACTGACCAAGGTTTAAAGATATTCTTTATGACAGTATAGGGTTGTGGAGATTGTTGGATTTCATTGATATCCCGAACCGATCTAAGTTGGACAACACTTAAAACTGGGAAGGAATGGACAGCTATTCTATTTACGACTTCTCAACCACGAATCGAGCCCAGGATTCTCAGTCTCGGGTGCGAACGCTTGATCTTTAGATCACTGAACTGAGGTCTAATAATGTACAAATTGAACATCAATAAATCCACGAAATCGCGTGGCACGATTTTGGGTTTGATACCAGGTTGCAGGTTGTGGATGCGCACTGATGAGGAGTCCTGTATTTTCATGTCTAATATTTACAGGTTTTCAATGACTGTGGTCTGTGATTTCAATCTTCACGATTAAAATATCTTACATAATAAAGTGATACATTAGTAATAGTACTTGAAGCAAAAACAAGACTAAATTGAAAAGTGGTACTAATGTAAATGACAAAACGATCTGTAGCCACTTTTTCTAATGAAATGGAAAACTGGTGGTATACAGAAAGAACAGTTTACAATGAAATCATGAACCGATCCAAGTTAGACCAACATCGAGAACGTGAAAGTAGTGATCGGTCGTTTTATCCTGGTATAGGACTCCTCAGCAATGCATTCACGATTCTGGAGCAACGACCGGCCTCGTGAGCGGTTGCTTAACCTCGAGATCAATGAGACCGCGTCTAACAGTGCTAATGACTAAGTTCAATCAATCCATGATATCGTGGAACCATTTTCTATTGTCTGCGGTGGGTAACTGCCACGCACCCAGATTCAATTAAATTCAAAAATCTTCACAACCTCATACTAACAAGAAACAGTTTTGATAAGTATTACAAACTTACGTCACTTAGCCGATCGAGCTGATCAATTGTATCTTGTGTTAAGCTGTTAGTTGTCAATGGGGGCGGATTTATTCTAGGAGGAGGACATGGTGGTGGATTGCGTGTGATCAAGTGTGAATTCGAGTCATCAGGATCAACCAATCGTAAATTAGTATTTGTAAGATCATTCAATTGTTGATTTTCCTGTTTTTCTTTCATATCAACTAGACTAGCATATAAATACGAAACATCCCAACTATATTTACCAGATAGATCACGTGTAATGATTCTTGTATAGAATTTATCTGGATGAAAAATAATATAAGAATATGGTATAGTAAAATATTTGAGAACTATGCACATGTTGGTATACATATAAAGACATTAAACAATTCATAATAGTTTTCTATTAAAATTAAAATTCGTAGAATTACTGAACCAAAAAAATCACGATCTGAAAATTCAAGAAATCTATAACGTATTTATGGCAAATTGAGGAATGAAAGACAGAGTATTCTTACACCTAAACAATCGTTCCTCTTTAATACATAAAAACCGATAATTAGTTGAGTTTAGAAACGTCTTCAAAAGGGAGTTGACTGAGGATCATAAAACCCTTGTAGTTTCGACGACAAACAAATGTTAGCTAGACAATCTTTAAAAACCAGAAAGCACTACACGGCTGTTTTGTTGTAATGTAGAACTAATCACCAAAGTGCACTTATGATCCGACCAACAGTTGGACCTACAACCTTTGATCTTGCCTGCGAGCGCACCACGTTTGAACAATTGAGATGTTATCCAATGGTGTGAGACAATCATCTGACGTAGGCAATGCGAAATGGCTGCGCGATTTCAAGGATTTACTGAAGTCAGATATGTAAAACACTGGATCCTGGTTCAGTGGTCTAGAGGTGAGGAGTTAGTAAGCAAGAATGAAGGTCTTGGATTCGATTCCCTGTTGTGGGGTCGTTGATGTGGACTGTCGAGGAGTCACATACTAGGGTAAAACAACTATCAAACACTCTCACGTTTTTAATAGCTATTTAACTAGAATCAGTCTGTGATGTGAACTACAAAATATTACCGCAGTTTAAACTAGCCATTACACATGAAATAAACACTAACTGAAATAGAACAGTACGTAGCAAATACAATGAATTTTAAGTATGTAATTAGTCGAAAGGGCACAATAACAATGAACGGGACGAATTTCATAATAGGGATCGATAACGACTAAATTCAATCCTACATTCCTGAAGTTTCAAAATGCTAAAGGAATATCATCAGAAGGTAACGATCAGTCTGTAGTTACAAAAATTATTACTTAACAAAAACGTAACTTGAATTACATTTTTCACGGACCCAAATTAACACTGGTAAAAGAGATAAATCATTACTCCTGACAGATTCAGCATAACGAAAGCTGTGACTTACTAGAGCTCTCTACAGAGTAAGGTACATAAACCACTGGCTCATCATCAAAACAGTATAAACTGCTAATTTATATTACTATTACTATAAGACTAAAATATCTAATACTTAAAAAGTAATAGCAACCGGAAACAACGTAGGTGTTTAAGTGATTAAAAGTAATTGGTTGGAAACCTTAGATTTAGATTCAATGCTTGCTGGCACTGATCAGCAAGGGATAATCATTTATGTGCCTCCAAATGCCCTGGTACGGCCGAGAGTGGGGAGAGTCAGCTCTCCCTCTCGAAATGCTCTCACACAGCCACGCGTATACAGCCTCTGTCAGGGAAGTCCTACTCACTGCCTTCTCATGGCGGGGGTGTTGTTTACAAAAATGAGGGGACGAAAAGCGAATGTCCGGTGCTTTAACCGGATCCCAAACCAATGGTGCACATGGGCTCCAGTATCCTGAAGGAACAAATCGTTGGTCATCGGCTTCCATGGGACTGCATCTCCTCACGATGCTCCACTGCCTTGTGGGTCAGACGTTCAGGTCGAAGGCTCGGGGTGTGGCCCCTAAGAAAACCACCTGCTTCGGTTTGGGCACTCGGGCAGTATCACAGCCCTCACACAAATCAATTGAAATTTGTGTGGCGCATATGTATTTGGTGCCTCCTTGTACCAATACCTATGTGTTAAAATAAATAAATAAAATAATCATTTATGTAGGATTTAAAATTGGATGATAGTTTCACAGTCAGAGACACTGACTATGAGCCACTCAGGCCATAATATCATGTCATTTAGACTAGTTACAACAATCCATAATCAAAAGAGAGGATTTGACCAGCACTATGGATACAAATAATGATGATAACAATAATAACGAATATACAAGTTACTACATTGTGATGAAACAATGTAAATGATTAACTGGTACCAAATAAGTCAACGAACACATCAAAACTCATAGAATTAATAACAAACAACAGTCGAATAAACACAAAATGCATACCTGTTATTAAACTAGACTTTGACGAATCCACTTTGACATCGTTAGAATTTAAATATGATAATGGTAGATAAGAATAGGTGGAATTGTTGAATTCGAGTACTTGTAGTTCTGCATTGTCCTTATCACTACTAACTGTAGTAGGTAATACGTTATCATTGATATTTTTCAATTGGACAGGAAGTTTCACAATGGGTAATGATAGAAATGTCAAAATAATTGAACGATCTAACACAAATATTTGTAAATTATTTCGTTCAAAAATCTCCGCTGTTAATTCGGATAAATCATCCATATTATTATGATTGTTAGTAGTGAATTGTTTCTGAGATGATAAACTATGGGCTAACTGATCATGACGTTCTTGTATGGATGTATTCAGTTGTACACACTGTTTCGACTAAAAAAAGGTACATATGTATGCAAATTTTTTTCAAACATTTACATAATGACAAATGTTAGTGTTATAACTTATAGCCTGTGTGCCCTGTTAATGTATAACGTAACGATACCACCAATTAGAGAACAACGAATTAACGATCGGACCAATGACGCGTAAACCCGTATGAGCAGTCTAGAGTTCTTATTGGTCTTGCTTCCTGCCTAGCTCAACCAGTTAAGTCCAGAACACCAATCTCAGACTCTGCAATATGAATCATGTATTTCAAACATACTGGGTTTCTATACCAACCAAACAGACCACATCGTACCATAAAATAGGAAACAACATTTGTACAAGATTTAGACAAATGTGGCTGTGAATAAGGGAGATACTAATTGGTAAACAGGGCATAAATCAAGAATAGTAAATCGTATAATAATAGTTCATATGTCAAAATAAAGCTTATGATCAGAGGAACACGAATATGAATAGTATAGTAATTATCAGTTCTACGATAAAAATATATGTATAGTATTAGTTCAGAAATAAATTACGACAGTTACCATTCATTATGCTTATCGGGACATAACAGTCAATAACTGATTCTGTAAACAATAAAATGTTTGAAATATGCAAATTAAAGCAAATCTCAATAAATTCCAATGAACTTTAGATGAGAATGAGAGTGACCCAGTGACTAATCTAATTCGTACAACACATGCATTTATATTAATTTTGAAGATCAAAGTTTTTTGTTATACTAACATAGGAGATCACGTCAACGATGACATCCGCTATCCATGTAGGTCCCAAATGTTGAAAGGTTCTCATGTATTCTGGTAGCTCATTAGTTTATTTATGTTAAATGATCTTCGACTTGAGTTTATAATCTTGTCCTGGAAATGTTAAGAGACCTGGAGATGATTTTGTTTCGTATGCAGCATTTGTTAATAAGCGATTGGAGAGTCTTAAGTTGAATTCACAATAGTTATTGAAACTGTGGGGCATGACCCCCCAAAACTTATGCAAGTATTTGGTCATTAATGTTAATGATCGTATTATCACTTTGCAGTTGGAGACTGCATTTGATGTTACTTTGATTTCTCGCAAAAGTTAGCACGGACTTAATCGGCCAGCCATCGATCCTACTACTGATTGTATAAAGAATGTATCAGACATTTCAATCAAAATTTCCCAAATTGTCAAATGTACAGTCGAATGTATTGATCTAATAATCAAATCAAAATGCTGCGTTACTGATGAATCCTTCAACCTATTAGGTCCTGACTGGATCACAAAAATAAAAATGTTTGATTATCTATTTAATCTAATTTGAAATCCAGATTAAAAAAATGCTCGATCAGTCATTCAATCTGATTTGCAATTAAGTATGTCCATATCCTCATACGATTCCCAAAGGGAGACAGCAATTTTCTAGTGATTTTGAAGATGATCACAAGGCGAGTTTCGACTTTACTTTGGGATTATTAAACAGTTTAAACAAAATGAATTATAAACATTCAAAATAACCAATAAATTATTAAAATTTACTGTAAAACTGTGAGGAAGGACCACGGGTGAACTCGAGGAAGCTGTAAGAGTCTCAGAAGGGGCCGAAGATATTCCATCTAATCACCTTTCGGAAGAATATTCTAGAATTCCTACGTGTAGCTTCCCGATTGGACAATGCTAATAACCCCCTGCATGCGGACTGGAGGACTGTAATGATGATTTCGTTCTTACTAAAAACTATAATACCATAATTGACACTGTTTGGAATAATATTCCTTTCATTAGTCTTGTCTTCTCCTTGCGAATTGGAAAGGTTTTGGCGTTCTAGTGCTCAGTTATAAGCGGTATATTAAGTAAACAACCTTCTAGATATAATACCAAGGCGAAGAGAATTGAACGTCAGTTTACTAATGGGTGACATACAAACCATACCCACCATAAAAGATTACATTCAGATAAAAAAACCTCATAGCTTGAACCTGCAACTAGACTATTTAATTGATACAATCATTTTTGAGCAACAGGATCAGAGCAGAAGAAGTGATGGCCAGATCATCAAGAAGAGGACATTTTTCTCAAAAGCTTTCAGTTAAATTCAGGGAGCATAACTTATTTTTCAAGAGGGAAAGGTAATATTGGGAGTCAATCAAAAGTAGACTAATGAAGTGGCAAACAGAAGCGATCTAAAGGACAGGTGCATTTCATTCGGTAAGAAATGGATCAAGTTCCTAAGGATCAGAGTGGTATATATCAGAATGAGTATTTGTGCATTTTATTAGGTAGTCCAATACACTTTTTCGCTTAAGTAGTCAGTTGGGGGGGGGTACATAGCACACCGTATATCAGTGTCAGATTTTGGAGACCGTCCACGACAACAGAACTATATGGATACTTCCCCTTACTGATTTATTGTAAAGTTCAAAACGTGTATTCGATCTACTAAGCATAACAATGTGATCAGTGAATAGAAGACAGAGTCATACCTGATTAGCACGAGATGAAAGCGGCAAAAGAGATTGAAATAATGAAGTGTCAATAATAAACAGAAAGGCCAAACCGCAAGGATATGATTTGAAAAAAAAACCAAGAACGGTAAGTATAAAACGATACTGGAATGCAAGATCGAGGGGAAGATAAAGAGTAAATGAATTTGCACCAATGTGAACAATTCTGGTAAGCATTGATTTTTGAGGTTGGCGACAGTTAGACATACGTTACACATGTCAAACCAACCTTAGTCTGTGAAGATTCAGTACTTAATTAACCGATTTGTCACCTTTGATAAGTACCCTAGGCCTAATTTCGACATTGTTAATTCAGTCATTTCACGAAACATTGGTGATGTTTTGAAGATAGCCGTGATAAAAAACCTTCAACCTACGCATGTCTTATACTTTCATAGACCACGCTTCATAACCGTAATGTAGACCAAAGCGAACAGTTGAGCAGTTAACACAAGAGTAGCAAGTTAACAAACTCCAACAGGGCTTTCGGAATCTGTGCGGAATGTTCGATAAGCGCTACCTCAGACTTCTTAATGAAGATTAAACAAAAAATGAGAGCATTCGGGTAATACATATGACATTTTCCAATAATTCCATTTGAAATTATACTAAGTCGATCCCAATAAGAGCTATTAACTTGAATTCATGGTCAGACCTGAAAATCGTGATGATATAATCGAGACATATTAGATGGGACAGTTGCTCCTTTAGGATATATCATGCACGACAGGATGGTTAGAGAATGTTAAGACTAAAAGCAGTAAGCTCATCATCAGAGCCCAATATACAGGGGGCGACAAGAGTAAGGTGTTTCTTCCAGACAACCAATGTGTTTATCAATGCAGCTTTCTCAAATTCCATCTTGTCTTTGATTTACTAATTTGATCCAGTTCGTTAAATACTAGGGATAAATACAAAATAATTGTTCTCATTGCTTATTTTAGTGACATGACTTTAATGCAGATTAACTTTTTCATATCTGTTTGGAAAGTATATGATTAGGCTTAGGCAATAGTAAAACAAATAATCACTCACAATTAGAGATTTAAATTCATAGTTTACTCAGATCCCTCCTGTCACCAAAAACAAAACACATTAAAATGTATATGATTGATAAAAACCTACCATTGGAAACTGGTCTATATGATTGAGTAAATGACTCATTGCCATTCGTGCTGCCAATCGTACTGAATCCATTACACGATTCATATCATCATTATAATGATATAGAATCATAGTATTCTCAGTGTTAGCTGCAATCCAAGACTTCGCTGTCATTGTGGATAGATCTAGATCAGATTTTGGAGCCTATAAAAACCAATAAATATACATATACCAATGCCACTTAAAAGTTAAATATAATGAAGAATTGGGGTACAAAAGTTGAAAAATAAATGAAAAGTAGGATATTGAAATCTACGCAAAATACTTCGGATTTGTTGGTCAGACACTATCAGCAACAACCTACTATGGGAGAGAAACCAGATTCCAGCGGAGGAAGAAGTGCTGGAAGTGGATAGGGCACATGTCGAAGAAAGCATCGAACTGTGTCACAAGGCAAGCCCTCACATGGAATCCTGAAGGCCGAAGGAGAAGAGGAGGACGAAAGTACACAATACGTCGAGAAATGGAGACAGACATGAGAAAAATGAACAAAATTGGATAGAACTGGAAAGGAAGGCCCGGTACAAAGTGGGTTGGAGAATGCTGGTCAGCAGCCTATGCTCCACTGGGAGTAACAGGCGTAAGTAAGGATATTGAAATATTTTAAAAATTAAGTCAACAATGCATTATAAAAACATCGAGGTTTATTATATCTTTCAAATAGAAAAAATATCTATTTGGTATTACTATTATTATCGACTCAGATGACTATTATTGAGTAAAAAGAATGCTTTCAATAAGACAGAAATTTTTCACGATGTACAGATAAACTATTACAATACACATAAAACTGTTGTGTATTGATTTATCAATAAATATGCCGTATAGAACATTTTAACTAAAAACAGAAAGAGTGAAAATCACATGACAATTAAATATAATTTATCTAGCTTATGAAATAATTTCCATAGTATTAATCCGGCGAGTTGAGTATATACATTTACTCTATATTAATAATAAACTCTAGTTTATATATATATATATATATATATATATATATGATCAGGTTGATACAAAAAGCAACATTACATGTAAATGACAGAGACAAAGATATTAATGGTACAAGGCAGAACTTGCGAACAATTAATACTATGAAGAACTAGTATATTCTGATGATGAATGAAAGGTGATTTATAAAATCAGATGGACATTAAAGCAAATAGAACCATAGAAATATCATCAGTAAATTAATACATATTACGATGTCAGATAATATGTTGCATACGACTGACTAATTATAAAGCTTTATTAAGCATAAAATCTATCGAATATCTATGATGTACAAACAACCAGCTACAACATTTGATTTTCAAATGTATTCATTTAAACGATACAGATTATTGCTGTTTGGTACAAAATGTAACAATCTTCAAGTCTATCAATGGTGTAGTTTTGATGGAGTTTCATTCATTGAGTTGGATGATTTAGTCGGGAAGCTTTGATTGTTCTTACGAACAACATCAACACCATAAACTTCAGGTAGAAGAGAAGTATTCAAGTATCTCCATATACGACTGGCAGCTTGTCTTGTCGACCTTGACATTGATTAGTTATTGCTGTCCTGATCAAAGCGATAGGCAATCAAAATAAATTTGCAGAAACAAACAAGTTAAAGGTCAACGATAACCAGCCAAGATCGAGGTCGATAGGACAAGATTTCAGTCATATGTAGGGAAATTCGAATACCTCACTTCTACCTTAAGTTTATGCTGATGATGCTTAGAAGAACAATGAAAGTTTACCAATTAAACTATTCAGCTCAGAGAACCAAACTCTATTAAAATCATCCTCTTGGGCAATAAATCTCTATCTTTCGCAATCCATTATACGAAGTTGATAATCAACAAGTCTAGGTTGAATCCATCTTTAACAGTTGTAATATGAACTTTTATTTTAAATTAAGGCATTGCACACATAACGTGGAAGTATTTTAAAGTTCATTCGATGATTTCAATTTAAAAGCTCATGCACTATAGAGTTATCGAACTGTACTGGAAGTATATGACAACCTGTTAAACTTATACATGCATATATGTTACATTATAGAAATAAAAGTAAACATAATGGTTTGATCAGTTGTATAGTGTTTTAAAAAAATAAAATATTATGATAAATAAACTATTAAAGTATTATAACTTACACTGAATAAATTAATATCGATTGACTGTTTACATATATTAATGTATTCTCCTAAGGGATCTGTAAAGTTAATATTTGATAAGATTTTAGATTGAGGATAATTGGAATTTTGTACTGAATTCATTAAAGTTTGTGAATTTGTATTATTCGATATAATAAAGCATAACACTTCAATTATTGTATCTAATAAATTCGATGCTGGTAATAAATTTAATTCTGATTTATTTTCGAAATTCTTTATTAATTGATCATATGGTATACGGATAGACCATTCGATAATTGATTGAATAAGACTATGAAAGAACTGTAAAAAAGTCAAATCACAGAAGAAATAAGTGGAGATATTATCAGTATGAAAATTCAATGAGAGTAATGTTTAATGGGAGAAAACAATAGAACAAAACAATTGGGTTAAAAGAACAATTAAAAGTTTCAAGGAGAAGATAACACATTTATCAAACCAATCTTATATATCATGACAAAAACTGATCAAACTTTTAAATCTTTATTAAAAGTAGTAATAGTAACAAACAATATGCTATGGACTACTGATAGGTCTAACTCTAGAGGACATTTATTTAAGACAAATGGGGACGGCTAATACTGTTGGAAGTATAACATCCTCAAATTAACTGTATTGTTGGGAAATACTGGAATTCGGTAAAAGCCATGTCGCTATTTATCTAACTGTAAAATTACTCCAACATGACGAATCACTAAATTTTTTTTACCTAGCCATTAGGCAGTCAGCATTTGTAACGAACACTGCTTAACGCATACTTTTTGTGACCTTGGAACTACCGCTAATATTATCCTATATTATTTTATTTGGCATTTCAATCTGATTAATCAATTCCCACCTTGTTGTATACATGATTACAGACTAGCATTATAAAGTCTTATATTTGGAGGTGAATGATTACAAAAAAAATTCTTATTAATTACCGAGAGTGATAAAGCTGTGTTAACTAAAGAAAAATACTTTACAGTTTCATGTCACAAAATGACCTTAGTTAGACAACCATTGAAAACCATAAAGCACTGAACGACTGTGACTAGCAAAGTTGAACAATGTCGGATGTAAGACAGATATGTAAATGGTTGCGAAATTCCACAATCGAATAAGGTTAGAAGACCAAATGATTAAATGGTTGCTTAGTGGTCTTAAGGTTGGTTGATCACGGAGAGGTTTGAAAATTATAGGTTTGACCCGCAGTGGGATCAAAGATGAGTACTACTGAGGAGTCGCATACTAGAACAAAACAGATTTCCAGTTCTTCTTGGTTTTTAAAAGTAATTTAATTAAGATCACTTCGTGATGTACACAACAGAATTAAGCAATCCCTATAAACCATTATACGAAAAAGAAATATTGTTCAGTGAATTTATATAAATACTTGACTTACCTGTTTATCAGTTAATGACATACTGTCAAGATTTGTATTGTCCCATGTAGAATATAAAGTCCATGCAAGTGACTACATGAAACAGAAAAAAAGAAACAGGTGAGCATGTATAGTACTAATACTAGTAAATAAATACCACATCATTAAGGCTTAAAAATAATCTACATAGTATAACACAGAAAAGTAAGAACAACCATGTCACTTAATAATCATTAATTTGAATAATTGATGAAAAGTGATATAATGTAAACAAATAAACCATTATATTAATATTTACCAAAATCAAATTCAATACGATAAATGGAAACAACTAGTCACAATCGATGTTCGTATATATTTCCACTTTTTCAAAACAACTAAACTGTTAATCAAACTCATTAGACTTATGAGTTTGAGGGTAAGTGATCTTGTTTAGGATGTTCAGTATGACAATTTGAGTGAAACGTTATACAAAAAAAAGTCAACTATGACAAGTGAATTATGATTTCCATTAATTTGCATATAAATAAGTACAGTTATGGAAGCATATAAAGTGGTAATAATACTTAACCTATGAAATTCAGTCATCTGATCAGTGTAGTACACTGTATGTGAACAATTTCTAGATTGATCACGGTTAATATTATAGACACATTTACTCGTATGGAAACCAAGTCTTCTCATTTCCTACTTCAAAACTTAAGAGGGAAAAGAACTGGAAGCAAAAAAATAACGTTATTTACTTTTTGAAATCATATAAAGCGTAGGAAAGCTAAGAGAATGAACTACTGTATCAGATCTCAAGTTGTTACTACCAATGTATTCATTAAATATTTATCCATATATATTATTAATATTTGTGAATAATGAAGTTGTTTTATATTATTTTTAAAAAAACATTAACAAAAAACGGTAACATAAACTGTTTGAACATTCTTCATTGAAGATACAATAATAAATTCGGCAAAACTCACCAACAATACTAGGGAGGGTAATTTCGCATCACGATGTAACAGGAGACAACAATATTCAGCGAGCGTATTGATCATCTCAACTGCAACGATAGATACGGCCCTATTTTGAAACCGCATCATTCCTAATAAAATTATGATGGATTCGAAAAACAAATCGTCCATTGGTGTAAAATTGACAGATGATACAGTTCCTGATTCCCTTGAGAATGAATTCACTAGTTCAATGACACAATAAATTGATAGACCAGTAATAGCCAGGCATCGAACCTCTCCAGATGGATCTGACAAGACAGCTTGTATTAAACTGCGAACCAATTTTGACTAGATTTAAAAAAGTCAATATGTAAAAGATTAATAGGAAGGTCCATTAGTGGTGCAGAACAAGTTTGGCTCATCACAAAATAAACAGTGTTGAGAACATTCATCCATAAGGTTAGTTAAACAGTCGATAGAAATATAGTTTTGTAGCAGACGCACATGAAACTTTTGAAGCAGTCGTCTTAGTAAAAACCATAAACTAATGAACACAAACATTATTTCTAGATCTCCCGATTACGGCAATAAATAAATGAAAATCAGAAACACAATAAATGTATTATGTATGTGCAGACTACACATCCTAAATTCAGACAGTGAACAATTATTTTACTTCCAAAAGATAAAAGGAGATATGATAATGTTAAGCAAACCTTAGCTGGTTTACAGCTATTTTCCTCGACAATCAACACATTCAAACAAAGTAAATTTTATACTTTCATAAATTAATAAAGATACTTCCTGTCCATGAAACCATAAATGAAACATTAATTGTTACAAACAAGAATAATTTGATCGTGTATCTCGGAACAATGCATATTAGATAAACTCTAAACAATCAGTTTATGAAATCAAGTTCAAAAATCAACAGAACTGAAGATTCTACATAAGAAATTCGCAAGACACACCAACTATATAAACCGTGAATCGCATAAATCTCAGAAAACAACTCATTTTGAACAATGCATGCAGAAATATTGTGTACCAGTTCAGTATCGCAATCTATGGTCGATAATCATGTGCAGTAGTGTAAAGCTCAGTTTTTAGCTGAACAATCTATCAGGAAAAAGACATCAGATAAGAACTTATTTAGGCATAACATATATATTAGTACAGTTATCGAAGAACAGAAACTGGACACAATAATAAACCTATGAAAATCCATCATTTGATTAGTGGTAACAGATGTAAAACATAAGCATATGTACCTCAATGATAAGATAGTCTTCAACAAAGTAATGATAATTGAAAATCTGACCGAAATATCGACAAAATTGTTCGAAAACACAATTGAATACCAGATCTAGTTTGTAATAAGCAATATGGAATCTAGTACATATGTATGTCGGTTAAAGATATCACCCCAGATCAGCACATCAATGACGATTTACAAATGCCCTGATATAGCCGAGAGTGGGGTGGGTTCGCACTCCCACTCGAAATACTCTCACACAGCCACGAGTATACACCCTTGTTGCGAGGGTGTTGTTTATGAAAATAAGAGGACGAAAAGCGAATGTCCGGCGCTATAACGGGATCCCAAACCACTGGTGCATATGGGCTCCAGTATCCTGAAGGAACAAATGGCGTATGAACCAATGGTTGGTTCCATGGGACTGCATCTCCTCACGATGTTCCATTGCCTTGTGGGTTAGACCTTTAGATCAAAGGCTCGGGGTGAGGCCCCCTAAGAAAAACCACCTGCTTCGGTCTGGGCACCCGGGCAGTATCTCAGCCTACACACAAATATAATGATAATGAAAATGATGATATTCACTGATTTATCGTCAAACAATTAACATTATTATTGTTGTTATTACTATTATTATTTACCACGTCATTTATTCACTCTCTTTCATTCCCACTCTGTCTATCCTTATTTTTCGACTTATACAGCAGCTCGCCTATGGTGGACATTCGGCTCTATCTGAACGTTCTCGAGTCACTGCCTGGTTGAAAATTGTATGTTACCATCGAATAAGAGTACTGAAGCAGTCTTTTTGAAACCACGCGCACCATTCAAACTGGCTGCCTTTAACGTTCGCACACTTATGCAGGTCGGACAACAGATAGGGCTGGCTATGTCTTTGGAAAGCCTTAATATTGACGTTTGCTGTCTATCCGAGACCCGTATTCAAGACTCTGGTGAAGTACTACAAGTTCGCTCTCCATCTGTCACTTCAAATGCTTGTTTTACGTGCGTTTATCCGGAGACCCTGTGGGATCTTCGTCTGATCTTGCTGAAGTTGGTGTCGCACTAAGCGCAAGAGCTGAGGCAGCACTAATCGATTGGATCCTCATTAACAGTCCGTTATGTGCTGTTAGATTAGAAAGTTCCATCAAAGTGAGAAGAAATTGCCGTGAGAAACGACGTCTTTTCGTCATCTCCGCCTATGCCTCGACAGATCGCAGCCCGGATGCAATCAAGGATGAATTCTACCACCAGTTAACTGTTCTTCTCCAGAAAGTGCGTTCGACAGATATTGTAGTACTAGCCGGAGACTTGAATGCTCAGGTCGGGCGTCTAGGCACAGAAGAGAGTCGTTTAGGTGGCCGATGGGGACTTGTTGGTCGCAGGACACATAACGGGGAACGTCTACTGCAGCTATGCACAGACCACAACCTGTTTCTGGCTAGCACTAACTTTCGGCACAGTCATCGCCGATGTGCCACCTGGCGTCCCCCTTCTGCATCTTAAGCCTGGACTCAGATTGATCACATCGCGATCAGCTACCGCTGGCGTGGTTGTGTACAAGACTTCCGCTTCTTTTGGAGTACCTATCTGGAATCTGATCATGCTCTGGTCTGCGCCAATCTTACTTTACTTTTCAGTGGACAATGAAGCGACCGCCACCACAGGATTGATGTTAGCAAGCTGGTTGCAACTTCTGTTGCTAGTAAGTACCGAACCGAGCTAGCTTCTAGGCCAGCTACCATTCCACCGAAAAGTATAGATGAGCATTGGTTGCAATTGCATGACGCCATGAAAATGGCGGGTAAAGTCAGTTGTGGGTTCACAAAACGTCCCATTTATAAGCACTGAGTTTCCTCTGGCTCCTTACAACTGATTGAAGCCCGTCGGTCTACTCCAGGTGACCGTGGGTTTGACCACAAACGAAGGATGTTACACACTGAAATCGGGCAAAACTTGCGTAAGGACCGAGAAACCTGGTGGTCGGAGCGTGCTAATGAGCTGGAAGCAGCAGATGCATCTGGTAATTACCGGAAGCTCTTCCAACTCATCCGAGCCACTGGCAGCAAGAAGTCTGGTGTGAGCGAAACAATCTGCGAAGATGACGGAACGCCAATAACTAACATCCATCGACGTCTTGGACGATGGGCAGAACTTTTCGAATGGCAGTTCAACTGGTCTGCTGCTCCGGCAACACCGGTCAGACTGTCCTGCCCTCCATGGCCAGTGACGACTGATCCACCAAATGAGGCGGAAGTCCGCAAGGAACTCCAACTCTTGAAACGTTACAAATCACCAGGCCAAGACGACTTACCTCCGGCTCTTTTTAAAGATGGTGGTGAATTTCTGACTAAGGAACTGACAACGTTGTTTACAGAGGTCTGGGAACTAGAGAGTGTACCAACGTCATGGAATGAGTCGATAGTTGTCCCTATCTTTAAAAAGGGTTCACGTCGTTCCTGTAACAACTATCGGGAGATAAGTCTACTTCCGATCGAGTCCAAGCTATTGGCTTCCGTTATACTTCGTAGGTTGTTCAAAACCCGAGAAAGATTGACTCGTGAGGAGCAGGCTGGGTTTCGTTCTGGTCGAGGATGTATTGATCATATCTTCACCCTCCGCCAAGTGTTAGAACACCGTCATACTTATCAAAGGCCAACAATCGTAGTGTTTCTTGATATCAGGGGTGCCTTCGATTCGTTGGATAGGACTGTTCTCTGGGATTGTCTATTGAAGAAGGGTGTGCCTGAGAAGTTTACTGACATCTTAGAAGCCCTATACACAAACACCTCAGGAAGAGTGAGGGCATAAAACCACCTCTCTCCATTGTTCCATTCGAGTAGTGGGGTTAGACAGGGTTGCCTAATCTCACCATTCCTCTGTAACTTTGCCATCGATGACATTCTGGAAACAGCTCTGATGGATGTAAGTAATGGTGGTGTGGATCTGTTGCCTGGTGTTAGCGGGACATAGATTGGATTAAAGCATGCTCAATGCACGATTGCTTCGGCGCACGCTGATTAGCTTATCCCTAGTCGATACATGGGGAAGACTCTAAAATCTTCTTATGTAAAAACTATAAATATACTAACGGTTTTCCTATTGTGCTTCTTTCTTCCATCTAACCTTGTTGATCGGAATACAATATCTTTCCTGTTCAACCGTGTTCTGATTTGGGGCCTTGTCGAGCGAATTGGTGTCCGTGAATACTAAGCAATAGGAATAGCTGGGTTATAACCGTAAGAGAGAAAATTATAACAGTATAACCAGTAGAGAGAAATATAACACCTGGAGAAAGACTTCTCGATCTTGAGTATGCGGATGATAGTGTCTTACTGTGCGATAATGCCCAAGCTATGCGATCCGCACTTATTCAGTTGGTAATCAATATCCGTAGGTATGGTATGTGCTTCGCACCTTCGAAGTGCAAAGTACTTCTACAAGACTGGCAGGATTCTAATTCTGTACTCACTCTGGATGGTGAGCAGATAGAAGTAGTCGAGAAGTTCGTGTATCTAGGTAGCTGCATAAGTGCTGGTGGTGGCGTGAGTGATGAGATCAATGCACGTATAGTGAAAGCCAGAGCGGCTTATGACAATCTGGGCCATCTTTGGCGCCTTCGTGATGTTAGTTTGGCTGCAAAAGGTCGGACCTACTACGCGTCGACGAGAGCAGTTTTGCTCTATGCTTGTGAAACCTGGCCTCTCCGAGCTGAGGATGTTAGACGACTCTCTGTGTTCGATCATCGCTGTCTCCGAAAGATTGCTGACATCCAGTGGCAACACCATGTCAGTAATGCAGAGGTTCGGCATCGTGTGTTCAAGCACAGAGACGATAATCCAATTGATTTCACCATCTTGAAACACCGACTTCGGTGGCTTGGACATGCTCTACGAATGTCGTCCCAGAGAATTCCTCGTCGTGCATTATTTGCCGACTCTGGAACTGGTTGGAAAAAGCGGAGAGGTGGTCAGTGTATGACATGGTGTCGTGGTATGAAAGAAAGTTGCAAAGTGCTGGCTTGTGTTGGTCCTTCACGACTCCCTGGCTGGGGTCCGAGAGATGGTGTAGACGTTATCAGATATGGCTCAGAATAGAAGCCAGTGGCGATCCTGCTGTAACCTTCTTTTACTTTCTTCATGAAAAGTGGTTGCTTCTTCCTTAACTGAAAGATTACTTCGGATTGTACCTTTCCGTTTCCCCCATTATTGTTCTTTTTTTTATAATTCCCTACGTTCCTAACATTTTTTCCCTTCCTATTAAATTCTCATTGTTTTGTGTGGCGCATATATATTTGGTGCCTCCCTGTACCAATGTTTATGTGTTCAAATAAAGAATAATGATATCTTTCTCAACTAGCCTTTCCAACTCTCAGACTGCAGTTAAGAAGTCAATCAACCTAACTGATAAAATGGTATCGCAATTTTGAATAATCTCAAAAATTATTCTGTCAGGCTTCATTTCCTTCTGATTCTTTCTCCCCTTCTCGCTTAAGGTTAGCTATAGGCTTATACATTTCGTTACGAGTTGGCAGGAGGTTTATGTCAACCTATTACGCAGATTATCATTTATAGAGATTTGTTTTGGTGGCATTAAAAAAACCAGATCTATTGAGATCACTTAATATTACTCATTTATAAGTAAGCGTTTATAAAAAGCGCTTTACGTATAGAAGTAAGTGGAGAATTAAGAATAAATGGTAATTAATATGAGAAGAATGTATAGAAGGCACAACAACGAAAAGAAGGAAAAGTTGAATCACATGCATCAACCTCATTACCATCACCACTAACTCATTTGCATCAATTTAATATAACGCTAGCACTACTACGGCTACTACAACTATATGCAGAAAATATTCTTTCTTGAGGGTGCGCATAGCTGAAGACTCCTATACTAGGACGAAACAGCTGTCCAGTGCTTCAGGTTTCCAAAGGTCGTCAATTCAATTGTTAAAATTGTAAGATATTTTACAAGATATATATATATATATATATATATTAATAAAATAGCTTTACTCTTGTCTGAATGTGATAATCATAAAAGTATAAGCAGTTACAAAAGCTGGAAACATACCATTAAATCTATACACAAAATAGTTTCAGCTTTCATTGACATCGAATCGATTGATTCAAGACGATCAAAATGATAAGGATAACATAGTAGGGATAATATAATCGATATCGCTTCAGAACGTGGAATCTAGGTTAAGAAAATAACAGAGATACAAATGAAAATTATTGATATTAACAACCAAAAACAAACTTTAAAAAAAAGATAAAATCATAATAATCTTAATATGAATATCAATACATTTGGAAAGTAGATCTAGAGAACAATTGTAAAACAAAAAACAACACAATTTACGTAATCATCATCAAAAAACATTGTGGGTATCACATGGTTATGTACATTTAAGGTGGTTCACTATTTCTCAGGAAGTGAAACTTTCTTAAGAACTAAATTTAATGACTGAAAATGAATTTACTCTCTATTCATATTATTGCCAGTATGACATTGGATTATATATATATCCATTTCATTACGGTTGCCAGATTGTTTTAATTTTTTTGCGAAAATTTGGATTGAGATCAATTTATGATAACAAAAAAAACCATTACACAAAGACGAAATCATCATTCATAATTTGATATAACGAATGAGAATTCGTGCATTCATAAAATTAGGTACTCACTTCCGTGCCACAGTTAGGATTTGATAAAACAACATTGACATCGCTTAAGAAATCTAGTATGAGTAAGTGTGTAGATGGAAGTGAAGACCCAAATAAACGCATATTACATGACCGGATAACTTCGAAGACGTAGTTCTAAAAACAAGAAAAATAAAATATTTGTAGAACTTTAAAATGTTTTTAGATTCACAAACGGAGACACTTTATAAACATACTAAGAGACGACAATTTTACCATTGTCACCAGTAATATATAGATATAGTCTATATACTTGTTGATTTAATACTGGTAGACTTTCATTGGTTCGATCCCCTGCTAGAAGAAAAGTGTCTACAGATATTAAGAAGCTCAAACGAATTTGTGAAGAACATGAACAAGTGAAATGATTCATTTAACAAATGGTAGTGTGAAAAATAGCTATTTATAGAGCTTAGAACTGAGATGTGCAGGAACTCATTTTCTAAGTACCCATTCGCGTACATGGCAACAAGACACAATATAAGCATGAGATCTACTACCTCACTGGTCGAAATCCAAGTAGGCGAAGGGCTTAGACTTTTATGACTCAGTGACTGTAATTCAAAGACGAACTAAGCTACCGCTACGTGTTGCTGAGAGCTAATTTTACAGTTTACCATTCATATGTCGTTCTGAATATAATGAAAAAAGTCAATAAAATGCTTAATCATGAATTCGTATACAGTTTAAAAGAGGTGAAACGTTTTACAGAACAATATTAGGTTCATATCAAAATGAATAATAATGTTGTCAAACTGAATTACCTCTTGTTTTTCAACGCTTATTTGATGAATAAGATGGTAAAAATGAGCAATTAATTCTGGGTCAGGACATCCATCATGAGAACGTACAACTATATCACATAGTGTACGTATAGCAATTTTTTTAGCTTCTATAAATTCTTCAGAAAGACTCATTGTCTAGGGAGAAAAAACATCCGAAGATAAATCATCCATAATGAATCACAGGAAAAAACACTAATATTATATGAATTGAGAGTGAAATATATTCGTCTCTATTTATTAATTACAATTATTATTATTATTATTGTCATTGATTAAGTCAAAAATAATTTTTTACGAACGAATACTATTAGTAAGTGACTGTATAAAATATAACTACATGTTAAAACGTTTTTGCCATTGAGTAATAAATTGTATCTAATGGTCTAAATCTTCCTATGCTTTTCTACAACTTACATTTAACATCTAAAACTATTGCATTACCTTTAAAGTAACACTATATCATAATTCAGCCAAGTTACACGGCTTAGAATCGGTCGCGATGACCTAAATGCACTCACTCCTAGTCTTAGATGATGAGTTGGAAAATCGTCTCATACTTTTGTTCCCACAGATTTGTTCTTCTTAGTTCATACTGTTTATACCTGATTTTTTTTGCTACCAATGACATTATTGCGACTTCTACTGACCTAGAATGAATTTTGATAATTTCCTCTAGTCGTGCTGATATGATGTAGGAACTTAGACCAATATACATATTAGCCGGATTCTACGTTGTCTATAACAGACTAACAGACAACTGACTGATTAAGAAGGAAACTGTACAATATAACAGATAGGTTTTATGACGTATCCAGTTTAGGTAAATAGCTTAGTATAAACTTTGACTGTTTAAGATATCATGATAAGTCTTTTGTATTTAATGACTAAACCAACTGTGAAAAGAGAATATGTGAAATCAATAATATAAATATAGCAAATGAAAACACACTTACATTAAATAATATTGGTGCAATAAAATTCACAGGTGGTACAAATTGTGGAATAGGTTGTACACATGTCTCAGTTACAGAAGGAACACTTTGATATGCTCTAATTTTTAAAAGACATGAAGTCATTTCATTTAAATAGCTGAATATATCATTCATTGTTGTCGGGTTAATAATTTTATGAAGACTGCCTAGAATACCTAAAAATCGACGCCAACAAATAACAATTGATTCATGAGTCCATCCAAGAGCTGAGCCACCAGCAAGAATACAGCGAGGTAGATCTGCTGTGTTGAGTTGATCATTTGATGTAGTTGAAGGTAATTTTGAAGTCCCATTAGGAACTAATCAAAAGACACAACGTAGAAAGTGTGTAATTACGTTGGAATTCAAGACATTATTAAGAAAATCTTTTGTATAAATGTTGACAAAATTTCTAACTACGATTATATATATATATATATATATATATATATATATATATATATATTCTGAAAATAATTACAGAATATTAATAGTATAGCGTTGTGGAGAATGTTCAGCAGTGAGCATCTACAACTCTGCACAAGGGACTCGAACCCAGGACCTTAACATCTAAACCATTGAGTTGGCACACAACGGTTTTAATATTTAACTGCAACCAATGAACGATATTGCGTGACGAAACGCTCGTAGAGTGCTTCCAGCTTTTCATTAGTCAAACATTCATTGGTTCATAATTTCAGTAAAACAGTATTATTCGACAGAGTATAAGGAAACACAATGAAGAACCATAACTTACTGGAAACTACTTGTGAAGCAACAGCAGTCAATGTTTCTTTGCTATGTGGTTCTAACGTGGAATGTTCATCACTTAGTATATCACATGATCTAGGAATATCTACAAGGTATTAAAATATGTATCAAAATATGCGATTCAAGATGTACCTAAATAATATTTTTTTAAAGTTATGGTTGATAACAGAAAATCTTGGGTAACATAAAATGGAATACAAACTTTTGTATCTTTTAATTGAAAATGCGATGACACTTAATGGAGAGGATTTATCAGATGTTGATTTTACACATTAGGATTAATTCGTACAGAAACACAGAATTACATTCTTTGTCTAAAATTATCCTGTACACAAATTAGCCAATGAACCACAACAGTACACATATATGTTTGCAGACTTTCAAAAAGACCCATATAGGAAGATCGATAAAACACAACGCTTATCAAAATGCAAGAAAACAAACAAATTATTAACCAGCTGAATGAAAAGTAATGGGTTGTATGGTGTATCTAAAAATCCATAGAACTGAAAAATTTCATATTCTAACGCAGAAATGAACAAATAATTTAAAAGATCAGAAACTCATTTGATGGCTTGCTTAAATAATTGAGTCTATAAGGAAAACAGCAAGTTGGAGATAAATTTAAGGGTCACTGTTATAGTGATGAAAAATTTATGAGCAAAGTATGCAGCCTCTTTGAAAACAAGGTCATTCTTTACAAAGATTTTTTTATGAAAGACTACTAGCTAAAATTAGTTATGTTGCCACTAAGATTGGTTATTTGGAGAGCGTTATCGAGCGACCACGACACTCCATGTTGGACGTCAGTAATTCTCAAGGGACGAAAAAAACAGCGATTTTAACAAGAAATTGATTCGGAAAAATTATTTAATGATTTGTAAAAAAAACAAATGGTCATTTTTTAGAATGATAGTTAACCAACCTAAAAATGGTAAACATTAGGGACCCATACAACAGTGAGCAAGGATAGTTTAAAAAGGGTAATTATTATCATTAGATTCAAGAGCACTGTAGTCTATTTCAAGATAGGGAAAATCAATATAATTACTACTGAAAATCAAAAATATTTAAGAGAAACTTCATTGTTTTGTAAACGCAAGTAAAAATTTACAAAATTGAACTGAATTTAGATTTATCTAACTGTGGGTGCTGCCTAATTGTGGTGTTCTAGCTTGCATATGGTGATGACCAGGTTAAGCAGCAAACTTATGATCTGGAGGTGAAGTCTTATTCCTAACTGTAAAAGGGGATGAAGGAGGTGCGGTATTTTCTTTAGACGACCAGTTTCTTCACCAATGACGCTCCCAGAACGAAAACAGGAAGAAGTGGAAAATGTTCGGTATAAAAACAGTACGCTTTACTTAGCCACGCGTATCGCCGTCATTAAGCCAGTATAAATATGAAAACAACACAATTAAAAGTAATCACAAAAAGGATGTATGTGACCGGCCATAAGCAGTTGTTTCTGGGGGCTGTGGTCATGGTTAGCAGGTGTGTCAAGTCCACCTTGTAACTCGGTTTTCTCGAGAAGAATCCTTCTTTCGTGAAGTGAGAAACGACAACCACACTCGACAATTCAGCTGTAGGTGAATGATTAACATCTGCTATATCATGCATGACAGACTAGAAAATTCATAACTAATTGAATTTAATTGCAGGGACTTGATTGTAGCTGTATTTTGGATGACAAGATAATTTAAGTTAATGATGCTCATCATGAATGACAATTTGTTTTCTAATTATTTTTAGTCAACTTAAATACACAAATGAAATATGATGCATTCAAACGCGTATAACTCTTTGACGTGAGACTAGAATTTATAATACTTCGCCCCCAAATGCCCTGGTACGGCCGAAAGTGGGGAGAGTCCGCTCTCCCTCTCCAAATGCTCTCACATGGCCATGCGTATATAGCCTCTGCCAGGGAAGTCCTACTCACTGCCTTCTCGGCAGCAGGGGTGTTGTTTACAAAAATGAGAGGACGAAAAGCGAATGTCCGGCGCTTTAACCGGACCCCAAACCAATGGTGCACATGGGCTCCAGTATCCTGAAGGAACAAATGGCGTATGAACCAATCGTTGGTCACCGGCTACCATGGGACTGCATCTCCTCACGATGCTCCACTGCCTTGTGGGTCAGACGTTCAGGTCGAAGGCTCGGGGTGTGGCCCCTAAGAAAACCACCTGCTTCGGTTTGGGCACCCGAGCAGTATCACAGCCCTCACACAAATCAATTGAGATTCGTGTGGCGCATATGTATTTGGTGCCTCCCTGTACCTATACTTATGTGTTAAAATAAATAAATAAATAATAAATAATATAATACTTCGCAAATCTCAATTCCGAGCAAACGATACAGTATATAAATAGCTAACATATCATCAATATAACTCAATTCAATCCCGCAATAGTACTTAACGAGCATACCTTAAATAATATTAATCATACAAATAACAACAAACAACTATCTTTACTTACTTGAAGTCCCCACATCAATACTTTCATCGAAATAAGTTGTCAATGGACTCTGAGGTGAATCGAGATCAAACTATGCAAAATATAAATGGAAAATAAAAATTTATGCAACAATGATGAATGAGTAAAATATTATTTACGAATGACAATGTATTGATCACAAAAAAAAACGATAGAAGTAAGATTTATTTAAGCTGCTCATAAATCACAACACTACTTCACACATTTAACCATCACATTACACTTTTTCTCACGAATATAAATTACATAAATATTAGTTGGCACACTGAAAAGTATATCAGCTGACTTAAAATGAAACAATAAACAATGTAAATCATTAAACCAAGTTTTACATTACAACAACAACATTTGTGTATTAAGCATGAAATGTTTACTAAAAGAAAAAGAAAGAAAATATTTTAATCAAACTACCGACTACACAGTGAAGACTAATATTTGTTTTTGTTATAAATTTAAAATATCATTGAATGAACAAGGTTCGTAATCATTTAAAATGAGCAGATTACTAACCAATAGATTAAATGTGAAAGAATGCAACCGAGCAATTACTGTGCACGAGATCAAATTACAGACATAAACCACAGTGAAACGATAGGAAGACTACCGTGTATATATATATATATATATATATATATATATATATATATATATATATATAGTGGAGAATACTCTCATACGATGTCAAGTTTTTAAAAAAACATCACTTTACTATCAGTATTATTATTATTGTTATCATACGTACAAATGGCCCCCAAATGCCCTGGTACAGCCGAGAGTGGGGAGAGTCAACTCTTCCTATCGAAACGTTTTCACATGGCCACGTGCATACAACCACTCCCAAGGATGTCTTACTCACCGCCTTCTCGTGGCGGGGGTGTTGTTCACGAAATTGAGAGGACGAAAAGCAAATATCCGGCGCTTTAACCGGGTTGATGGTGGGTACGGAGGGTCCATCTAAGGGATTTGGAAAACCCTGATTACAAACCAATGGTGCACGTGGGCTCCAGTATCCTGAAGGAACAAAAGGCATAGGAACCTATTGTTGGTCACCGGCTACCGTGAGACTTCATCTCCTGACGTTGCTCCACTGCCTTGTATACTAAACCTTCAAGTCAAAGGATCCGGGTGTGGCTCACTAAGAAAACCGCCTACTTTGGTTTGGGTACCCGGGCACTACCCCAGCCCTCACACAAATCGAATGATTTATGTGGCGCATATCTATTTGGTACCTCCTTGTACCAAAGTTTATGTGTTTAAATAAATAAATACGTACTACTTAAGACATAAGCTAGTTATAATGAGTGAGAATAAATCGAGATAATCTTAGGTTATGATTTGATTGTACTCGTTAAATATCGGCGAATCCCATTATTTGTTGGTGATAGTCAATAAAAAGCTTTCTAAATGAACTTGGATCATCAAATAAGTTAATGAGAAATGAAGAGTAGCCGAAAACTAAAAGTCTTCCTAAAGTTTCAGATAAGACCAAGTGACAACAAGTACTATTAAGAATATAAATAAGTAGGAGCAATTCTGATGTAAAACTTTACTGTTTTAATTGAAAGCTAATCCCAAAGTGTAAATTATATATATATATATATATATATATATATATATATATATATATATATATATATATATATAACTGCTTTTCGACAGCTGAAATAGAGAAAATAATGAATTGCACTGAGTATTAACTTATACTAAGAAACATATATAATCTGCAAGTAGATGTAGTGAAATCCAAAAAAATTTGTTACAGAGTCGCAAATGAATTAATTACTGTCTAAGACAGTATTAAAAGTGTACAATTAGTTAACCTCAATTATAATTCTTTTTTGGGGTATCTTCAATCAGTTAATAAACTTAAAGCATGAAAGTGAGCTGATTATTTAGCCTGTTAGTTAAATAAGGAATAAGATATGGGATCGTATAGCATATTGATATTTTAGAAACAAAACAGACCTATGTATAATGAAAGTATATAGACAAAACTGTAGCATTAAGATCAAGATCTCATTTACAGTGACTCGATGTATCAGCAATTGCCAGAACAAATCATCTGTTCTTTTCATTATTATTACTACCAATAAAAGTGTACTTTCGAAAGTGAAATAAAAGAATGGTATTATTGACGGGAAATCTAAACCTAATTGTAAAACAAAGTGAAATAAGAAAAAAGTGGGGGTAATCATTACCTTAACAGCCTCCAGCGTAATTTCACTTGTTGCACGTCTTACAGATGACATACGTCTACTTTCTGATATCGATATTTCACTTTTAACGGTTACATTAAATCGCTTTGATTCATTTTGATTTGATAATTCATGAGAAATGGACTGTGAATTATGCAGAGCATGATTACCATATATCTCTGTTAAATCATTACTTAACACCTGTAAATTCGACTCATCATGAGTGTTATTAATCGAAGATACATTAGAAGGGATATAGTTATGCATTACATTACCATTATTATTATTATCCAATGCATCGTTTTCAGAGGATCCAGTATCAAAAGTCCATTTTTCAATGCATGGCCTAATATTATTATTTCTTGATGTTTTCAGTTCACCATACGCAGCAAATTGTTTTTGTGAATTCTCCTGTGATAAATGTGGTTCAATGGAGTCAGTATTTAACGCTAAATTATCATCATCGAGTGAATTTTGATGAATACTTAAAACCGATAATGCACTAGGATAAGGCACAGGAGGTGATGATAAAACGGTTGCTAAACCACTGCCAATATAAGTAGTAGTAGTAGTAGTAGTAGTAGTAGCAGTAATATTAGTAGTAGTAGTAGTAGTAGTAGTAGTATTGTCATTATGATAGTTCAACGCTGCTTCAGTCAATGATTTAGGTCGAGTTCTAGTAGCTGAATTAGTAGAACCTGTAAACAAATACAAAATAAAAATAAACAGGTGAGTAAATACACTTCGCACATATGTAACATCAAACTAATCAATTACGTAACTAACAAGTAATAGATTTTGTGAAAAAAAGGTGGGAATTTTGTAAAAATTACACAAAACAAGAAGGACCTATATTGCAGAATACAATGAGTCAATATTCTATTGCGATGGTTTCTCTTCAGCTACATGTATATGCTTAGTTACTTTCCATTTAATAAAAAAATGTGAAATTCAAAAAGCGAATTGTCCATCAATAGGGAATAAGTTGTTTGAAAACTACAAAATAAAGAATCAAAGTTTTTAGGTAGTATTCAAAATTGCTTGAGGTAATTGTTCGCCTGTTTATTTCTGAATTTTCCAGACTAGTTTGTTACATTCCACAAAATTATCTTAAAAATATTCTAGAACTAAAACCAAAAGCAACTATAACAACCCTGATAAAACTAATCCTTAACCTTATTTCCATCCCAATAAAAACAGTATGTTAGGTTGCTCATCCTTTGATGATCTTAAACTTTCTTTCTGTCATTCAATTTCGATTTCCAGTGATCTTGAGTGCTGTTAGAGGTATGAGGGCGGTTTATACTTACCGGTTGCTCACACCGTAGAAGGGTTCTTTTAGAGCTACCTGAAAAGGAAATCGGGTTACAGGTGGTCTTAGTGGCCTGAGAGCGTATTCACAGTGCCCAAGGCACAACTGCCTGAGGCCGGTCACATACTGTCTTTTTGTGAATAATTTTCGTGTTAGTTCCGTACATGTTGGGACCTTACTGCCGGAAACGGATATTCGTGGGATAAGGCAAAGTGTGTTTTTTAGGGTCGACCTTTTCTAACCCCCAACCTTCCCTTGTGGGAATGCATCATAGTTCTTATGCTGGTTGTCTGAAGTAAACACCTTACTGTTGTTACACCTCTGTAAAGTCAGCAGTACGGCTTCGCCCTCGGACCTTGGGATTGCTGCTTTCAGTCCTACAGTTCTTCAATCGACTTGTCTGGCGTCGTAAGACCTTGAGGAATAATTGTTCGGGCCAGTATAGTTCGATTGGTTTATTACGATAGGCAAGCCAGACCACCACGTCAATACTAATCAGCCACTATTACAGAACTCTTTTCAACAGCTATCAAGTAGACAACTATGTTCACCCTACCACTTTTATTAGGCCATCATCATATAACTTCCTTTTAATATCTGATTTTCGTAAACAATTCATGACAAGAGACCACTTCAGGTTTTTTTACTTATCCAACACTATCCCTTTACTACATTACTATCATGAGCAAATAAAATTAGTTATAAATATAAATGTAGATGAAATCATCGAAGAGAAAATTTTCTTTATTGAACGGTCTTGATTCTTCAACTTACTCTCTATTGATGGACAAATTCTGCAATATTTTATTAACTGGAAATAACTAAAATTATTACGCTGAATGTATAAATTAAACAGGAAACAAAACACAACTTGGATTCACCGTATTTTGCAAATAATATTATTGCTTTTTCTACCTTTGGTTTGGATTTTTGAAGAGAATCATTGACAGGAAATAACTATGCCATTGAATTTATGCATAATAAGAGCGGTAAGATAATCAATATCATTTCATTTTTATTAGAAAGAAAAACGAATTATTAAATATAAAAATCAGCTTTACTACAACTGTAGTGGATGAATACTCAGCTGAAGATAACTAATTTGTTGTTTGATGAAAAATTACGGAATGTCTTCGAAAATTATAAAAACAGTACATTAAATACATAATTTTCACATCTTTCATCAGTTGTCTTTTACATCCTTCATGATTTTTGCAATTCTCAATTCCTTTAAGTTTCTCTTTTTGTTTGTATCAGTTTAATTTCCTCAGCATTCTTTTAATAGGCATTCCACATCTGATCGATGTTACATACTACTTATATCTATAAAAACCAGTAACATATACCACACCACTACTACTAATAATAATAAATTCAATAGGCGATATGAATGCGTTATTTATTGAATTAAAAAAAGAACAACATAATTCATATACGTAATATTTCGTGATGTTTCCACTTCAGATTCATTTGTTATTGTTTAATTTATTTGTTTGTTTTCCTTTTTATTTTTGCTCACCATCACTGAATTCTTTATCATGATCATGAACATTAGCTTATGTCCTATAAAAGTTGTGTAAATAATGATAATAATAATAATAATAATTATTATTATTATTATTCGGGCAAATAATAAATTAAATGGATAGAAAATTATGAGATGATGGTTGATTTGCCCATTTCGCGTGTATACCTATAACGTCTATGCATAATCAATTTATATAGACATATGTGTACATATAGAACAAAATTAATTTTAAAAAATAATTTATTCTATGAATTTAGTTAAAAAGGTAATGAGAAATTTCATGATAAAAATGTAAAACACTTTACTAAACCATGTAGGGAGTTAATTTACATGAACTCTCGACTTAGCTTGTACAATATCTATCTTCTATATGTCTATCTATTCATATTTCATTTCTAATGTGATAGTACACTTGAATGATAACTAATAATAGCACAATGTAACATGAATTGTACGAAAAATTTAATTTGTTAATGTTTTGTATAACTAGCTGTTATTTTGAAATACAAATAAAATAGAAATGTGTGGATTGCACAGACTGAAAATACCTGCTAAACGCTTAATTCGAGGTCCTTTCTTTTCTTGAGGTAAATCTGACAAATCTACACCATATACCAATTTAGACATTGTACATGTCAACATTCGCATAACTTTCTGTAGGATAATAATAACAAAGAGAGAGAGAAAGGGAAAAAAGATATTGAAATCAAAATGATGAGGGTTTTAAACATAATGACAATCTGTCAGCTTCGCTAATAATCCGTTTTTATACACTTCAAGAGGTCGATGCCCAAGTATATCGTAATTTATATATGTGAACTTGATGCGGTTGACCTAAATGAAGATTGCGATTTGTTGGAGTTGTTGCAGCAACCATTATTATTGTGAACTTTTCTGTCTTAGTGTTATGGTGTTACTTGCAATGTGACAACGCCGCTCAGCAAACATGTATTCGTGGTTGTCTTCCTCTGTAAAATGTTATATGCCCTGTGATATTTACTTGGATAATTGTCTTTCCTTTAAACAGAAAAGCTATTTTCAAAGCGTTGTCATTCCTCTTTTTATTCACGTCGATTTATCATGATTGAAGTGTTCTTCTACATAGTTGCGTATTTTATTATTATTGTCAACCTAAGACACTATTGTTGATTACATTTTCATTTCTGTAGTGCTCAACTACATACACATAAATCTGTACAATAACATATCGTAGATCACTAACGTGCATGTCACATTCCGTAATATACATACACCAATTAGCAGAAACTTTTTTACGTAAAATATCATTACATATTTATTTTTGCGTTTCCTTTGTGTTTATTTTTTTAGGCATGAAATCTTGTTTTCCCCCATTTATTTGGCATACCAGTGCTACCTCCAGACACTGTGGAGAGTTATGTAGAGATAGTTAAAATAGACTTACTTTGTAATTAGTTTTCGCCATTATTTGTATTTCCTTCATTAATTCCCATAATTTGTACAATTGCATGTATGGACTAAAATTGTTGTTTGTAAAAACCTGACCTTTGATCTTCCGTTCCATTTCTGAGCACACATTGATTCGTGTTCACAAATATACTGCTGCATACACACGCTTCTTGTTCTCAATTATTCGCTGTCACGATAACAGAACTCTAGTATATTTGCTGTCTATGTTTACGGATCACAGTACCTTAATCTAACATTATTATTTTATATTAGGGAAGAAGCTACTAAACGTCTCATTCCTTCTCTTTAATAAAATACTCTAGTTTTATATGAATACACTGAGTGAGCTGGTGCACAGGCCTAGACACATGGTGTTTTGTACAATGACTACTCAGCCTACAACTTCGATATCAAATTCATAAGACAGTATACCAAATGCCTTGGTACGGCCGAGAGTGGGGAGAGTTCGCTTACCCTCTAGAAATGCTCTCACATGGCCACGAGTATATAGCCTCTGCCAATGAAGTCCTGCTCACTGCCTTTTCGTGGCGGGGGTGTTGTTCACGAAATTGAGAGGACGAAAAGCGAATGTCCGGAGCATTAACGGGGTTGGTGAATATGGAGTCCACCTAGGGGAGTTGAGAAACCCTGATTACAAACTAATGGTGCACATGGATTCCAGAATCCTGAGGGGACAAATGGCGTATGAACCAATTTTCGGTCACCAGCTACCATAGGACTGCATCTCCTTACGTTACTCCACTGCCTTGTGGATTAGACCATTAGGTCGAAGGCTCCGGGCGTGGTCTCCCAAGAAAATCATCTGCTTCGATTTGGGCACTCGGGCAGTATCACAGACCTCGCACAAATCAAATGAGATTTGTGTGGCGCATACGTGTTTGGTGCCTCCTTGTACTAATATCTACGTGTTCAAATAAATAAATAAACAAATAATAACATGAAAAGATACAATGCCATGGTAGCTGACAACTAAATCAGGTTTATGTGGTTTTCCTTCACTTAGGGTCATATAGCGCATGTTTATCACTAGTTCGTTCGAAACCAGAGTTTTCGAAATCCACTAGATGAACCCATTCCTACCAGCAAATTATGATCTCTCATTTCTATGAATACACCCCAGTCACGTGAAAGGACTCCGTAAGACAATTCTGTCAGGGGTAGGATTTCCTCCATTCTTGTTTGCACTAGGACACTAAAGAATGATACGACAATTACAGATAAGTGAGATCATTTCCTTTAGCCTGTTACTCCTCGTGGAGAATCATAAACCTCCCACAAGGACTTTTTATCGGACTTTGTCCTAGGTACTCCTTCCCCAGTTTTTTCCAATTGCTATTGAGGTACTTAATTGAATATGATAGAAACAATATATATAAATAGAGATTTTTACTAGTATGTAACATACTTTCCATTCGATTATCAGTGATGGCCAATGACTTAACTGAGAGTAAACATTCAAACACTGGTCCCATGACTCTGAAGATATTGTAGAAAATAGAGATGCACGTAATAAAGCACCATTTAAAGTCTACAAAAAAAGGGAAATAGATTTATGGGCTTAAATTCTACGACATAAATCAAAATAAAAGATACAACCAAACATAAGTTAATGAAAACTCACTAGAACTACTTCTAAGAATTGGAACGAAGACAATGGTAAAATATTCATGAAGCCAATAAACGTAAAGATGGTGGCAATTTTACAAAAACCCTGTTCTACATATGGCCAGAGATTTTACATCGTCCCTATATACCTATGAATAGTCACCTTCGAAAATGATACAGTTTGGTTAATAAACATATAACAATGCATCGAATAATCTCCATAGATGAATGTATAAGAGAGTAGTGTAGTAAATCTAGAACGAGGACTTCTGTGCATATTCTGCAAGCCATACTTGCAAGAAATGGCAACGCAACATGTGGTTCCAGTTTATTCTAATGTATTGTCAGTCAGTCAGTCAGCTGCAACGTAGGACCAGGCACGTATATGCATCGGTCCAAGTTGCCATACCGCATTAGCACAACAAGATGAACACCGGATTCATAGGAGTAGTTAATTCAGTGGTGGTAATATATAGAAGAAAGATTGTGTATATGGAGATAGTACAGGAAGAAAGAATTAGTTCCTAGACAGATATGAAGCGATTTTAATCTCTTAATTTAAGGAAGACAGAGAGTGTATACACCGACGCCATTGTGATCGATTCTGAGCCATATCACCAAGAGTCTCCAACCATTGGTTACGATAGTCACGCGGACCCCAACCAGGCAGTCTGAATCTCCCAACATGGCTCAGACCAGAAGTTAGTGACTTCAAGCATTGATGCCACGTTTTGGTTTGGCCGCCCCTAACTTTCTTCCAATTATCCCCTGCACTAGTCAGCATTGCGCGTCGTGGTAATCGGTGTTCAGGCATACGCAACACGTGGCCCAACCATCTCAGTCGATGAAGATTCATAACCTCATCAACTGATTTACCATCATTCCCTAATACCCTGCGTCTAACCTCACTATTACTTACCCGGTGATCCCAGCACATACCCGCAATATTTCTAAGGCACCTGTGGTCAAATACTAGTAACTTACGAATATCTTCCACTCTTAAAGGCCATGTTTCGCAGCCGTATAGAAGGACGGAACGAACTGCCGCGCAGTATACTCGTCCCTTAATTGATAGACGAATATCTCGCCTTCGCCATAGATGATGTAAGTTGGCAAAGGCCAAACGAGCTTTTCGAATCCGTGCTGAGATTTCGTCAGACACCAACCCATTAGGGCTGATCAGACTTCCAAGATAAGTGAAGTTGTCAACGCGTTCGACTACTTCACCCCCTATCCTTAGTTCAGGTGTTGATGCAGACCAGTCCTGAAGCAACAACTTGCATTTAGAGGGAGAAAAGCGCATCCCAAACAATCGGGCATTGTTGCTCAGTGCTAACAAAAGACTCTGCATTTCGTCAGCGTCTTCACCAAACAGGACTATGTCATCTGCGTATTCCAAGTCAATAAGTGGACCTCCTGGTAGGAGATCAATACCCGAGAAGTCAGTCGATGAGAGCGTTATTTCCATCAGGATGTCTATGATAAAGTTAAACAAAAAAGGAGAAAGTGGACAGCCTTGACGGACGCCACTTGAGGTTGCAAAAGCAGATGACAGTTCGCCATAGGCTCTGACCCGACTAGTAGTGTTCGAGTAAAGAGCCTTCACAAGGTTTATGTACTTCTGAGGTACGCCTTTCAATGACAGACACTGCCACAGAACCTCTCGGTCAACAGAGTCAAACGCTGCTTTTAAATCAAGGAAGACCACTATTGTCGGACGCCGATAAGTATGCCTGTGTTCTAGAACCTGACGAATGGTGAATATGTGGTCGATGCAGCCACGACCAGGTCTGAAGCCAGCCTGATTTTCACGTGTTTGCAGCTCACGAGTCTTAGTTAGGCGTCCGAAAATTATCGAAGCTAGTATTTTAGATACTATATTAGTCAAACTAATCCCTCTGTGGTTGTCACAGGATGATTTTGACCCTTTCTTAAATATTGGGACGATAAGTGATTGTGACCAGTTAGATGGAATAACGTCTAACTCCCAGATTTTAGCTAAAATATTAGTCAACCTAATCGCTAAAACTAGACCACCATCCTTAAAGACCTCTGGGGCCAATCCATCTGGACCAGCTGCCCTTCCTCGTTTCAGATTAGCTATAGCCTTTTGAACTTCAGCTAGAGTTGGGGGACCTACTTCAATGTTCCATTCACACTGTCTGGGAATAGAGGGTAGTTGTAGAGTAGCTGAAGGCCAACTGAACTGCTCCTTAAAGTGTTCCGCCCATCGTTCTAAGCGTCTGGACTGGGAGCAGATGAGAGTGTCGTCTTTTTCCGAAATGGTCTGACTTACACTTGATTTATTAATTCCAGTTTCTTTTATTAGTCTGTAGAGTTGTCTTGTATTCCCTATAGCCGCCGCCTTTTCCATCTCTTTTGCTTTCGTTGCCCACCACTGCTCACGATCATTCTTTAGACTTTTGCTTAATCTAGATCTGATTTCTTTACGCTCTTCATCGTATTCAGAACCTGATGGGATGAGTTTGCGAGAATCTATCAGTGCAATAGACCTTGACGAAATCCATTGGTTCTTTGTAACCCTGTGGTTTGAATCGCTAGTAGATGTCACTGCTGTTTCCACAGCTGCTTGTATAACTTTCCAAGCAACATCTGGGTCAGTCTCGTTTTCAGAACTACCTAAGTGTGACCTCAGTTGTTCCTGGAACCTACTTTTGGTTTTCTCATTACTCAATTCGGTTCTAATGAGTCTTTTTTGTGTGGCTCTTTTGCGTCCAGTGAGGCGCAAGCAGATGCGTGCTCGTACTAGGGCATGATCAGAGTCCAAGCAGGTACCCCAGAATGAGCGACAATCTTCTATTGACCCTCTCCAACGATGACTGATGGCAATATGGTCTATTTGAGTCCATCGTTGGTTTGGTGCAGGGGGTCGCCATGTTAGACGATGTCTCTCCTTATGCTTAAAATTTGTGTTTGCTAAAAATAAACGATTGTCTGAGCACAGTTGCAGCAGACGATCACCATTATCTGTTCGCTGTGCCGGAATACTAAAATACCCACCTAAATGTCTTTCTGTTTTGTTTAAGCTACCTACCTGGGCATTAAAGTCACCTCCTACGAGTACTATGTCTGAACGTTTAGCTTTCTGAAGAAGTTCAGACAGCATTCTGTAAAATTCATCTTTCACTTCATCCGAACTGCAGTCAGTGGGAGCGTAGGCAGAAACGACGAAAAGGCAACGACGTGTGTCCCTATCCTTCCGAGTTCTTACCGAGCCGTTTAGTCGAACAGCGCATAGACGACTGTTAACGGGGATCCATTCTAATAGCGCTTGTTCCGCCCTCATGCTAAGTGCTATGCCTACACCTGCCAGTCCACGAGAACTAGCCATCGGGTCGCCAGATACACGGAGGGTGTATCTCGTTGGCTCTCCGTTTTGCCGAGGTGAGGTCAAGTGAATGATTACACTAGGATCCTGTATGCGTGTTTCGGAGACACAGCATACATCAATGGTACGAGATTCTAAGGTTTTAGCCAAGGAAGCCTGCTGACCGATTTGGCATAGTGTGCGTACGTTGAAGGCTCCAATGTGTAGTTTGGAGCGAGGTTTCAGTATACCTGGGACAGTGTTTTGAGCATTAGAATCGTTGGCTGTGGTGACACTTGAGGAGGAAGCTAATAGAGGAAGTTTAGTGTATAAAGTCGATGTAGGAGGAATAATAGGAATTGAAGAGGGAGGTTGACTATGAATACAGTGGTCTTGAGTGCTGTTAGAGGTATGAGGGCGGTTATCACTTCCCGGTTGCCCACACCGTGGAAGGGTTCTTCTGGAGGTACCTGAAAAGGAAATTGGATTAGAGTTGGTCATTGTGACCTGAGAGCGTGACCGCAGTGCCCAAGGGACAGCTGCTTGAGGTCGGTCACACACGACCTTTTTATGAGTGATTTTTGTGTTAGCTCCGTACTTGTTGAGTCCTTACCGCCGGAGACGGATATCCGTGGGATAAGGCGAGGTGTGCATTTTTAGGGTCGACCTTTTCTAACCCAACCTCTCCTTGTGGGAAGGCAGCATCGCTGTCATGCTGGTTGTCTGAAGGAAACACCTTACTGCTGTCACACCTCTGTACAGTCAGCAGTACGACTTCGCCTTCGGACCTTGGTTTTGTTGCTTTTAGTCTTACCGCTCTTCAACCGACCTGTCTGGCATGGTAGGACCTTGAGGAACGGTTGTTCCAGCCAGTATAGCTCAGTTGCTTCATCACGATAGGCAAGCCCGACCACCACGTCAAGGTAGCAACAACGGTCAGGCGTCAAGGTAGCAACAACGGTCTAATGTATTGGGAAGATTACGATACACTACAATACCAAGATTTAATCCATTTGACGCTTTTCATTAAAAATCAATATCACGAAAAAAAATCAGTATAGGGTTGTGGAGATTGCTCGGTTTCTGGACTAGATTACCGCTATCAGGATCGTGGATGTGCACTGCTGACGAGTTCCATACTGACGAAACGGCCGTCCATTCCTTACAGGTTCTTAATGCTGGTCTAACATTGATCGGTTCATGATTTGACGAAGAGAATGTCAAGTACTTAGAGAGAGGTAAGTAGGCAGCTTGGGAGGCTAGATCTCAGGTCGCATACCAGATGAAATTGAATATGGAGCAAGTAAAATTAACAGACCCTGTTATTTACTAATGATACATTACAAAAAGATTAATTTGCTATATTTTCTTTTAAAAACTGAAAATAACATTGCTCTACCTGTGTTTAGTGCTTTATAACTCATTTTGCTGCCCTTTCGTTAAGCAAAAATGTATTTCAATTTGAAGCACAGTTGAGAATGTGTTTATTTCATTACTTTTAATTGACCAACGTAGAGAAAAACTAACCGAGTAATAATATAAGTATCTCTGAGAATTATGCTAATAACTGTCATATGGAAATCAGTGAATCCAAATAATTGGCATAATTTCCCATCAGTTAGACTACGAGTTTTATTTCCGTCCCATATATTAGTTTGAACTATTAGTTAAAATTTAACAGATATGCTTACATGTACTACATAGATTTCTAAGTGTCAAAAGAGACATATGGAAAAATTAGATCAACAAAGTAACATGTTGCAATAATATGAGACTTTAAACTTCCCCACAAAAGGAGCACAAATTTTATAGTACAATATAAACAGCTTTCAAGATATCCTACCTGAAAAAGATTCTGTGTAAGTTTATTGTTTGATAACCATTTGTAATTCTGAACATTATTTGGCGAAGTATTAACCATTGTTTTGCGCATTATATCCATTAGGATGGACAATAATTTAGACCTAAAATATGAAAAGGATGATTGGACTCATGAAGTATAATCGACTTTTAATAGGTGGGCTATGTAGACCATTGGAAAAACCAAGGATCTTAATTAAAGGAGCTTAACTGGAAATCAAACACAAGGCTGATAAGATTTAAATTATTTGTTTCAAATGAAGAAGTTTTGAAAATACCAACGATTTATGAATAGATTGATTCAATCGAAGAGATGTTTGGAAAAATCACAGTTAAGGATGTGAATGATACAAATAGATAAAACCTAACCATAAAATCCCATCGAAATTTACTTGGGAAACTTAATGTAAGCTCTAAGCTTCATATCAAAAGATAAGATGATTGCTTGAAAATCACTTACATCAAATGGTAGTAGGGTCATCGTTCGATTGAAACAGACTGTGTATATAACTGATACAATACACTTCAAGAAAGTGGAATGATCGTCTGGTGTTCAAACCATTACAGTTTGGTTAAGTATCAGCGTTAATTAGCACGAGTAGTTTACAACTAGTCACAATGTTTAATGGTGTATGACATGAAATAAAATCTTTAGTACGTTTGAGATGTTGGACATAAGGCAAAATATTTATATTTTTTCAGAATATTACCGCTTTAATAGTTATCTGAATTGACCAACTACACAATTAGGCGTTTAAGTATACTTCTAAAGTTGTTAACTGAAGGACACATTTCTATTGTGTTGCATAGTATTTTCTAACATCAACATGTGATTGAAAAACTGAGCCTGTTTACGACAAACGTACGAGAATAAGAAAAAAGTAACAATTTGTTCCTTTTTTCAGACGTAAAATGCAATTACAACAACTTTTTTAAAAGTTTATACTGTATACTTACCAGGTCTCTGAAGTTAACTCATTACTGTTACTAGCAAACTGAAAAATCTGTAACACTAAACGGCATAAATCAATTTGATACTTTGTATAATCGGTTCCACTTGTGCTGATTCTGTTTGTATTTTGTGATTCCGATAAGTCAGGATTTAAACTACTGGCATAAAATATATTGGCCATATTTTCCAGCATAATCTACGGGGTGTATAGGTGTGTTATACAATGACAAACAACAACAAAAATAATTTAAACAAATAAATTATATCAATAAATATAAACAAAAATTCACTAAATGATGATTGAAGAAAAAGACTCAAAAAGGTTAGTAAGATAGGTGTGTTTATGTTTCCGAAATATTTTTCGAGATTACATAATGTAACAGAAAACTGATATAACTTAGTTGGATATTTTCTAGAAAGTATACAGTATGAATACGTTCTAAGAATATATATCATAAAGTAGTTTAGTAAGTTGTTAATAACTGGACAAACGAATTTGGATGACGATGGCATTCCTGACCGTTGTTGCTACCTTGACGTGGTGGTCGGGCTTGCCTATCGTGATGAAGCAACTGAGCTACACTGGCTGGAACAACCGTCACTCAAGGTCCTACCATGCCAGACAGGTCGGTTGAAGAGCGGTAAGACTAAAAGCAACAAAACCAAGGTCCGAAGGCGAAGTCGTACTACTGACTGTACAAGGAGGGGTGGGGTAATGTCTCAACAAGTACGGAGCTAACACAAAAACTACTCATAAAAAGGTCGTGTGTGACCGACCTCAAGCAGCTGTCCCTTGGGCACTGCGGTCACGCTCTCAGGTCACTATGACCACCTCTAATCCAATTTCCTTTTCAGGCACCTCAAGCAGAACCCTTCCACGGTGTGGGCAACCGGGAAGTGATAACCGCCCTCATACCTCTAACAGCACTCAAGATCACTGTATTCATAATCAACTTACCTCTTCAATTCCTTTTATTCCTCTTACATCGACTTTCAAATCTAAACTCCCTCTTTTAGCTTCCTCCTCAAGTGTCACCACAGCCAACGATTCTAGTGCACAAAACACTGTCCCAGGTATACTGAAACCCCGCTCCAAACTACACATTGGAGCCTTCAACGTACGCACACTATGCCAAATCGGTCAGCAGGCTTCCTTGGCTAAAACCTTAGAATCTCGTACGATTGATGTATGCTGTGTCTCCGAAACACGCATACAGGATCCTAGTGTAATCATTCACTTGACCTCACCTCGGCAAAACGAAGAGCCGACGAGATACACCCTCCGTGTATCTGGCGACCCAACCAAAGATGGACTCAAATAGACCATATTGCCATCAGTCATCGTTGGAGAGGGTCGATAAAAAATTGTCGCTCATTCTGGAGTACCTGCTTGGACTCCGACCATGCCCTAGTACGAGCACGCATCTGCTTGCGCCTCACTGGACGCAAAAAAGCCACACAAAAAAGACTCATTAGAACCGAATTGAGTAATGAGAAAACCAAAAGTAGGTTCCAGGAACAACTGAGGCCACACTTAGGTAGTTCTGAAAACGAGACTGACCCCGATGTTGATTGGAAAGACATACAAGAAGCTGTGGAAACAGCAGTGATATCTACTGGTGATTTAAACCACAGGGATACAAAGAACCAATGGATTTCTTCAAGGTCTATTGCACTGATAGATTCTCGTAAACTCATCCCATCAGGTTCTGAACACGATGAAGAGCGTAAAGAAATCAGATCTAAGTTAAGCAAAAGTCTAAGGAACGATCGTGAGCAGTGGTGGGCAACGAAAGCAAAAGAGATGGAAAAGGCGGCGGCTATAGGGAACACAAGACAACTCTACAGACTAATAAAAGAAACTGGAATTAATAAATCAAGTGTAAGTCAGACTATTTCGGAAAAAGACGACACTCTCATCTGCTCCCAGTGCAGACGTTTAGAACGATGGGCGGAACATTTTAAGGAGCAGTTCAGTTGGCCTTCAGCTACTCTACAACTACCCTCTATTCCCAGACAGTATGAATGGAACATTGAAGTAGGTCCCCCAACTCTAGCTGAAGTTCAAAAGGCTATAGCTAATCTGAAACGAGGAAGGGCAGCTGGTCCAGACGGATTGGCCCCAGAGGTCTTTAAGGATGGTGGTCTAGTTTTAGCGATTAGGTTGACTAATATTTTAGCTAAAATCTGGGAGTTAGACGTTATCCCATCTAACTGGTCACAATCACTTATCGTCCCAATATTTAAGAAAGGGTCAAAATCATCCTGTGACAACCACAGAGGGATTAGTTTGACTAATATAGTATCTAAAATACTAGCTTCGATAATTTTCGGACGCCTAACTAAGACTCGTGAGCTGCAAACACGTGAAAATCAGGCTGGCTTCAGACCTGGTCGTGGCTGCATCGACCACATATTCACCATTCGTCAGGTTCTAGAACACTGGCATACTTATCGGCGTCCGACAATAGTGGTCTTCCTTGATTTAAAAGCAGCGTTTGACTCTGTTGACCGAGAGGTTCTGTGGCAGTGTCTGTCATTGAAAGGCGTACCTCAGAAGTACATAAACCTTGTGAAAGCTCTTTACTCGAACACTACTAGTCGAGTCAGAGCTTATGGCGAACTGTCATCTGCTTTCGCAACCTCAAGTGGCGTCCGCCAAGGCTGTCCACTTTCTCCATTTTTGTTTAACTTCATCATAGATCTACTGATGGAAATAACGCTCTCATCGACTGAATTCTAGGGCATCGATCTCCTACCAGGAGGTCCACTTATTGACTTAGAATACGCAGATGACATAGTCCTGTTTGGTGAAGACGCTGATGAAATGCAGTCTTTTGGTAGCAATGAGCAACAATGCCGGAATGTTTGGGATGCGCTTCTCTCCCTCCAAATGCAAGTTGTTGCTTCAGGACTGGTCTGCGTCAACACCTGAACTAAGGATAAGGGGTGAAGTAGTCGAACGCGTCGACAACTTCACTTATCTTGGAAGTCTGATCAGCCCTAATGGGTTGGTGTCTGACGAAATCTCAGCACGGATTCGAAAAGCTCGTTTGGCCTTTGCCAACTTACGACATCTATGGCGAAGGCGAGATATCCGTCTATCAATTAAGGGACGAGTATACTGCGCGGCAGTTCGTTCCGTTCTACTATACGGCTGCGAAACTTGGCCTTTAAGAGTAGAAGATATTCGTAAGTTACTAGTATTTGACCACAGATGCCTTAGAAATATTGCGGGTATGTGCTGGGATCACCGGGTAAGTAATAAGTGAGGTTGGACGTAGGGTATTAGGAAATGATGGTACATCAGTTGATGAAGCTGTGGATCTTCATCGACTGAGATGGTTGGGCCACGTGTTACGTATGCCTGAACACCGATTACCGCGACGTGCAATGCTAACCGGATTTGGGGATGATTGGAAGAAAGTTAGCGGCGGCCAAACCAAAACGTGGCATCAGTGTTTGAAGTCACTAACTTCTGGTCTGAGCCATGTTGGTAGATGCAGACTACCTGGTTGGGGTCCGCGTGACTATCGTAACCAATGGTTGGAGACTTTTGGTGACATGGCTCAGAATCGATCACAGTGGAGTGGGTGTATACACTCTCTGTCTTCCTTTAAACTAAGAGATTAAAATCACTTCAAATCTTTCTTTCTATGAACTAATTCTATCTTCCTGTACTATCTCCTTATGCACACTCTTTCTTCTATATATTACCACCACTGAATTAACCACTTCTATGAACCCGGTGTTCATCTTGTTTTGCTAATGCGGTATGGCAACTTGGACCGATGCATATATGTGCCTGGTCCTACGTTGCAGCTGACTGATTGACTGACTGAACGATGGCATTAAGGTAAAAAGGATAGTAACTGTGCTGATTAACCATTTCAATCCCAAGTATTAGATGCACCGAAGAACAGTAAATGGTGATTAGACAAGAAATGAAGTCGTTGCATATTACAAGACCTCAACTTAATGATATACATATGCTCCCAAATGACCTGGTACGGTCCGGGGTGAGTTGAGTAGCTCTTTCCCTCGAAATGCACTCACATGACCAGGCGTATACAACCACTACCAGGAAAGTCTTACTCACTGGCTTCTCGCAGTGAGGGTGTTGTTCACAAAATTGGGGAGCTGGAAAACCCTGATTACAAACCAATGATGCACATGGACTCCAGGATCCTGAGGGAACAAAAGGCATACGAACTTATTGTTGGTCACCGGCTACCATGGGACTGCATCTCCTTACGATGCTTCACTGCCTTGTGGATCAGACCATTAGGTCGAAGGCTCGAGGTGTGGTTCACTAAGAAAACCACCTGCTTCAGTCTGGGCATCCGGGCAGTATCACAGCCGTCACATAAATCAATGATAACTGCTACTGGCCTCAATGTTATTGTGTGGCGCCTATTTATTTTGTGCCCTCTTGTACCATATATATATAATTTAACTTCTTGGTAGAAGGAATACGTATGAAAATCTCGGGCTTTAGAAGTCAGCAGTGACTGCAGTGGCCACATTGAAATAAACTATGAATCAGCACACTCTGTAATCTATCACCCTTAGATTACAACGACTTCAAATATAGATTATGATTATTAAGTAGTAATTCGTTATTAGTCACTACGGACATTGACTAGAGTACCAATATTAATTATATATGTATGTAAGCAATCATCACAGAATACAGCACAAAACCTAATGAGAATGGACAAACGTTGCGTAGATCATTCAAAAAACGGTTCTCATGACTAATAAACGATAGGAAAAACATCATACTCCGCTTCTGTTGTTTCGTATAAAAGCGTTCAAGGGAGTATACTTAGGTTCATCGGGGTCCCGGACATACAAAAATTTAAACCTCTTTTATGTGCTCAAGAACAATCTGTTACTAAGCTAAACCATCTCTGGTAAAACTGTTTTATTATCCAGCGTGATGAATTTCATATTGTTCTCCACATTATTTTCTTTATTATCTTTCTTTCTTTTTACCTTCCATTCGTCTAGTAGACCTTTTAACTTTTCATATATAAATAACCTTAACAAGCATATGTGTGATCAGATTTTTCGAAAAGCATTGAGCTAATATCTGATATAGTTTTGATAATCTTCTTCTCATTACACTATTCAAACCACACTTATCGTTTGGGACTGGTTCTAAACTGAAAGAACAGCTTGCTAATGAAGTGTCACAACACCACCTTGGTTTCAAATTGCCGACCATCTTTTTGTGTAGTCCGATCTTACAGGGTAATCATGTACAAAATAAGCCAGTAGTTAGTGCTTGTGTTTTCAGTGCTGAGGAAAATCAGCTAAGGATCTATAGGGAAACAGTTTTCACATTTTGGTGAAGGAAATCTTTCCGAAGGCTACAATAAATACCAGATTTTGTATTAGATCAAAACTTCTAAACTACTATTCGACAGGTGAAATCTTGGAATATTCATTTACAACTAATTTATATACAATAACGTCACTGTACTTAAAGAAGAAATATAATAATTTTACCATTTAAAGCAATCAATAATTTACAGAGAGGTCAACACATTCTATGAATTTAAGAAACTAATTAAATATATTATATACATATGGTAAAATAACTTAAAAGGTTTTCCAAGCAAACAGAATTAAAACAGTATTACTTGAAAATGGATATGAATAAATTAATTGTGCAAAACTTGGTTGCATCCTTAATACAGGTCGCAACAATAAGTAAATCAGTCGAACAAACATAGGAAATCAATAATCATTATTGATCACTGAGATCTGCATGTAGATGTAACTAAAAGTGGAAAGCAAGTAAGTAAGCAAAACAAAATAAATAATAAATAATATTATTCTAAGGTAACTAGTGAACAACCAAGTTTGTTAATTAATTATTCAAATGTTAATGATACTACAGCTAACCTGAATTGTATTCTGTAAACAACCTTTCAATTCTTCTGGATCATTGACGCCAACATCATCCTGAGATTTAGCCACATCAATAGGATAATCTTCAATTTGCGACCGTTGAATTTGTTTAAGATCATTTATACGGCCATTCATTTTAAGCATTTGACTGTGTTCTGTTGAAGATGCGTTAACTTGTGATTTCACTGGCTGAGGGTTTACGTAATAAGAAAAAAGATTTTTTACATTTACATGAATGGAAAAGTCTATTTTTTCATGAACGGCATTTGACAACCATATAATTATTGTAATGTTTGTATTCTTGGCGAAATTAAAGTTTAAAACAAGTATCTCTTCCTTACAGTATTGCATAATATACCCTGTACAATAACAATGTAATATAAAGCCGTGTACAAGTGAAATTTACGTAAAACACCAGTGTATACAAAGTCATCCTGGGGAGCAAACGATAAGGAAATAATTCAAAATATCAATTATCCAATCTGGAAGGTGTCATAATGAAGCCAAAAGGGGTAACGAAATACGGTCAAGTTTATCTAAGTAGCTATATATTAGCAAAAGATGTGCACATATAACGTTTACTCGACAAAAACCGTTTACATCGCCTATCATGACTTAATTTTTTTTACGCAAATTTGAATCTCTTACTCTACCTGCCGCCAGCTTTCCACCTTTATAATATTTTCATTTCTGATATAGTAAAAGATACCTTTTTATTAATTGTTCAACTTGTTAGGGGATTAGAAACTATGTCAGGAGGAAGCTAACACTGAAAAATGACTTTCAGTTTACGACATTGTAATAATTACAAAGTATTCGCTCAATAAAAAGCGAATTTAACAAACGAGACCAAAGCTTGGCACTTATTTGACCTAGTATTCTTAGGAATAAAAATCACAGTCAGTTTCTAAAACAGAACGTTTTTGAGTATTTTACAGTAGCTTAATGTTCTTAAAAGCCAAAGCTAAGTGTTTTTTTAATCCTCTTATGATGATTCTTTTAATGTCATGCTTAGTACGGACGAACACTTGAACACTAATTAATGAATATATAAATATATTTGCGATAAAATCAACTGGTCTATTATGCGTTTAAAAATGAGAGAAAACAGATATCAAAATGTTTAGAAAGAGGGAGATCAACAAATTTGAAACCAACCGGATTAATACTTTTCATTGGACTATCCAAAGCTTGCATAAAAATTGGGCGATTGTGTTTGTTCTAAATTTGAATGACACAAAGCAATGGTTAGACATTACAAGCAAAGATTATCGTATTTGTTACTAGCTAAAATGGTACTACATACAACCACCTTTAACAGTTTAAGACAAAATATCAATGAAATCAACAATTCACTGAATATATAAGGAGAGAGGTGGAGATTCCTACACAGAATAAGAGTGATTGTCAAATTATCACTGATACTATACATTATTAAGCCTCGGGAAATATCCCAGTTGTATTGACAACTTTCGAGATATTCAGTAGAATCGACGGAAATGTATTTAAGAAATTGTAAACAGTGATAAGAATTTATCTTATTTTGTGAAACAAACCAGGATAGCTAGTCCCGTTCTCAAAGTAATGAAAATGAAGGTGTAAATACTTGTTATGATTGATTAAATATGGTACTCTGTACGACTATTCAGTAAACGTAGGACACTATGAAGTTCATATAGAGACCTGGATTATTTGAATATGGCACACTGTTTTTCATCTAAGTACACTGAGACAATTTATGGAATGGTGAATTTTATAATTCCAATACATGGCTTTTTGTCAAATAAGTTATAAAAACAACATTTCTTTAATGGAAGTCTGATATTAGGAAAAGTACTGAGCTGAATGATATAGCATAAAAATATGACTAAAATTAAGATGAGCGCAAGAAACGAAAAGTTAAAAATGAATTACAAGTTCAAGATAAAAAATTGTGCATAATTAAAATCCATTTGCAATGTTTTGCTATGGTTTCATTATATCATACTCTGCAACTTGCTTTAAATCGCTATAAGCCTTGAGGATCTTAGCATAGAGACGTTATTCTATCTGAATGACACAAATAGTTCAAAACTATTGACTTCAGTCTTGATTTACGATTCTTTGGTCAACGTTCGTTTAGGTTCTTAGTTATATAAGTTAATTGATAGTACATAATGAACACATCACATAAAAGCCGATGCCAACTAAAGTGCATCATTTTTTATCACATATAATCTAAGTTTCAAAGTACTTGAAAATACTTCCAGGAGTTCGAAAATGTGACAACAAAATTTCTAATCTTGGAAACTGAATAAACACTTACTTCCAACCACGAACCATAAACTGTAACGATAAAGAAAAGAGCTTTGTGACATTCCAAAGGAAGTAGTAATGCCTGGTGTAAAATATCCTGTACCAAATTAATATTTTGTCTACATCCATATAACACTTCATGAACCATAGAAACCTGAAGAATAAAATTATTTGTAAATACGTTGAAACTGATGATCAAACAATCAGAAAACATTTATACGACTTCCAATCATAATATTATGAATGATTTATTTCTTGGAGCTAAATAATTGCAAGAACAGATTAATCCTCAAGTTAAACAAATCAATTCAATGGTAAGCAAATGGGTTCAGTATCTAATTATAATTCAAAAACATTAATACCTGTCTCTCCTTAAGGCAATTTTATAGAAAATCATATGTAGGATATAAAATTATTTTTAACTAGAAAGTGTCTATCGAAAATTGTTTCAGGCTCTCTCGTAGTTTCAATAAAAACTGAATAATTTTATTTAGGACTTTTTCGCAAAAACGGCCATATAACACGACTAGAATTCCAAACACAAATCTTCACCAGTATTAAAGCATTACCATTACTCCAATGACTTTAAAATTCATGGTGAAATATTACAAGAATCTAAATGATGTCAAAGTTTGGTTCATAAATAATTAAGAATGATGATAACTGGGAGAAAGGTAGAGGTTACGAGGGCGGTTGCATATACACAACAAAGTAATGCTACAAAATAAATCAATACTAAGTGTAACTTTGCTTTACTCAACGACTGATAATATTAATTGTGTACAACTACCATTACTTCAAATGATTAACCTATGAATTCTTCAGCTCCCGTACCCTAGTAAAAATATTATTTTCCAGATACACAGTTGAGTTTCTACGACACATAAAACATTAAGTAAGAAGCGTCTTAGACTGCCTATCATGAATCAGTAAACGAAATAGATATACACGAGTAAGTGGTAAGTCAGTGATAGTTAAATCACATCCTAAGTAAAAAATAAAATACCACTGAACTGTTAGTCATCGGTAGGACAAAACCAGTGAGAGATTTACTTATTACGTAGCTTAGGACACTAAAACATTTGCAGTTGGACAGCAAAAAGACTCTGAATAAGATAAATTCATCCAATCAAACTACTCGCCAACAAATTTTAACACTTTCTAATTAAAATGTTTACTTACGACTTTTTCATCGTAATTGAAGAATAGTTCAGTGAAAATAAATTTTTGGGGAAGTGGAGATGTTTGAACAGTGGAAGGAATTACAGCGGTATCTTTGAGCAGATAACTGTTTGGTTTAGGAGAGAGGTTCGGCGCAGCCAGGTTAGTTGGTTCCTGGACAAAATTCTCGTCGCCATTTCGTAGATAAACTGATGCTTGAACAGGTGGGGAACTCGAAAGTTTGGAGTAACTGTTAACCTTTGAATATGATCCAGATTCGAATTCACCATGTCCAGGACAACCTATAAATGTGCGGAAATGTCGAGAGAGAAGAAAGTCGTTTGGATCACCATGTGTATCCCATGGGAAACTGCCAGCCAGGTTAAAAGATGGGCCAGTGGTACCAACTACAGAACCATGGGTAGTAAAATTTGAATCGAAGCCACCGTCTGAAGAGCTAAACAGAAAAGCAACTTGTTTAATAAGTCTTACAAACTAAATAACATATGCTTTGCAAAACTGATGAGTGAGAGTGAAAAAGTTCATAATACGTCAATACGGTTTATTATTTAAATACCACTCGGCTTTATACACCCGTTTTCAACTTAAAAAGGTGAACTATACAGACAGCCCAAAAAAAGCAAAAACTCACATAGCATGACTTGATTCCCGTGGACCAGTATATACAAAAGTTGCCAACCAGCAGGCGAATTCTAACTGATAGTATGAAAGACGTGATGGATGGATTGGGTAATCCTGTAAAATATTTGAAGTTAATGGGACTGTGTTGTTCGCTTGGGATGAGATCGAGGGCGAATATATTGAATATAAAGGAGATAAACTGTACATTGAATGGGAATAAAGAAATTAACAAAAAGACATCACTCTAAAACTAAGCAAAATAATATGGATACTTTGTAAAAACATTCAACAACCACACGGCTCATAATAAAAAAGTTTCTGGATTAAAGCATCCATACAATTAATCTGAAAACAAAGAACAAAGCATATGGCTATAACAATCTACTTCAGCATTTACATTGGTATTTGTTAAGTTAATTGAGACCCCAACAATGAAATTTAGGGTTTTGGATTAATCAAAAGTTTATATTTTCTTAGAATCATAGTTTACCACTTAGTGCTTCAAATTACAGTTGAGGACTAAATAAAAAAAATAAGTTAAACAATAACTTGTAATTCAGTCAGTCAGTCAGTCAGTCAGCTGCAACGTAGGACCAGGCACATATATGCATCGGTCCAAGTTGCCACACCTCATTAGCACAGCATGATGAACACCGGGTTCATAGAAGTGGTTAATTCAGTGGTGGTAATATATAGAAGAAAGAGTGTGCATAAGGAGATAGTACAGGAAGATAGAATTAGTTCATAGAAAGAAAGATTTGAAGTGATTTTAATCTCTTAGTTTAAAGGAAGACAGAGAGTGTATACACCCACTCCACTGTGATCGATTCTGAGCCATGTCACCAAAAGTCTCCAACCATTGGTTACGATAGTCACGCGGACCCCAACTAGGTAGTCTGCATCTACCAACATGGCTCAGACCAGAAGTTAGTGACTTCAAACACTGATGCCACGTTTTGGTTTGGCCGCCGCTAACTTTCTTCCAATCATCCCCAAATCCGGTTAGCATTGCACGTCGCGGTAATCGGTGTTCAGGCATACGTAACACGTGGCCCAACCATCTCAGTCGATGAAGATCCACAGCTTCATCAACTGATGTACCATCATTTCCTAATACCCTACGTCCAACCTCACTTATTACTTACCCGGTGATCCCAGCACATACCCGCAATATTTCTAAGGCATCTGTGGTCAAATACTAGTAACTTACGAATATCTTCTACTCTTAAAGGCCAAGTTTCGCAGCCGTATAGTAGAACGGAACGAACTGCCGCGCAGTATACTCGTCCCTTAATTGATAGACGGATATCTCGCCTTCGCCATAGATGTCGTAAGTTGGCAAAGGCCAAACGAGCTTTTCGAATCCGTGCTGAGATTTCGTCAGACACCAACCCATTAGGGCTGATCAGACTTCCAAGATAAGTGAAGTTGTCGACGCGTTCGACTACTTCACCCCTTATCCTTAGTTCAGGTGTTGACGCAGACCAGTCCTGAAGCAACAACTTGCATTTGGAGGGAGAGAAGCGCATCCCAAACATTCCGGCATTGTTGCTCATTGCTACCAAAAGACTGCATTTCATCAGCGTCTTCACCAAACAGGACTATGTCATCTGCGTATTCTAAGTCAATAAGTGGACCTCCTGGTAGGAGATCGATGCCCTAGAATTCAGTCGATGAGAGCGTTATTTCCATCAGTAGATCTATGATGAAGTTAAACAAAAATGGAGAAAGTGGACAGCCTTGGCGGACGCCACTTGAGGTTGCGAAAGCAGATGACAGTTCGCCATAAGCTCTGACTCGACTAGTAGTGTTCGAGTAAAGAGCTTTCACAAGGTTTATGTACTTCTGAGGTACGCCTTTCAATGACAGACACTGCCACAGAACCTCTCGGTCAACAGAGTCAAACGCTGCTTTTAAATCAAGGAAGACCACTATTGTCGGACGCCGATAAGTATGCCAGTGTTCTAGAACCTGACGAATGGTGAATATGTGGTCGATGCAGCCACGACCAGGTCTGAAGCCAGCCTGATTTTCACGTGTTTGCAGCTCACGAGTCTTAGTTAGGCGTCCGAAAATTATCGAAGCTAGTATTTTAGATATTATATTAGTTAAACTAATCCCTCTGTGGTTGTCACAGGATGATTTTGACCCTTTCTTAAATATTGGGACGATAAGTGATTGTGACCAGTTAGATGGGATAACGTCTAACTCCCAGATTTTAGCTAAAATATTAGTCAACCTAATCGCTAAAACTAGACCACCATCCTTAAAGACCTCTGGGGCCAATCCGTCTGGACCAGCTGCCCTTCCTCGTTTCAGATTAGCTATAGCCTTTTGAACTTCAGCTAGAGTTGGGGGACCTACTTCAATGTTCCATTCATACTGTCTGGGAATAGAGGGTAGTTGTAGAGTAGCTGAAGGCCAACTGAACTGCTCCTTAAAATGTTCCGCCCATCGTTCTAAACGTCTGCACTGGGAGCAGATGAGAGTGTCGTCTTTTTCCGAAATAGTCTGACTTACACTTGATTTATTAATTCCAGTTTCTTTTATTAGTCTGTAGAGTTGTCTTGTGTTCCCTATAGCCGCCGCCTTTTCCATCTCTTTTGCTTTCGTTGCCCACCACTGCTCACGATCGTTCCTTAGACTTTTGCTTAACTTAGATCTGATTTCTTTACGCTCTTCATCGTGTTCAGAACCTGATGGGATGAGTGAGTAAGACTTTCCTGGTAGTGGTTGTATACGCCTGGTCATGTGAGTGCATTTCGAGGGAAAGAGCTACTCAACTCACCCCGGACCGTACCAGGTCATTTGGGAGCATATGTATATCATTAAGTTGAGGTCTTGTAATATGCAACGACTTCATTTCTTGTCTAATCACCATTTACTGTTCTTCGGTGCATCTAATACTTGGGATTGAAATGGTTAATCAGCACAGTTACTATCCTTTTTACCTTAATGCCATCGTTCAGTCAGTCAATCAGTCAGCTGCGACGTAGGACCAGGCACATATATGCATCGGTCCAAGTTGCCATACCGCATTAGCAAAACAAGATGAACACCGGGTTCATAGAAGTGGTTAATTCAGTGGTGGTAATATATAGAAGAAAGAGTGTGCATAAGGAGATAGTACAGGAAGATAGAATTAGTTCATAGAAAGAAAGATTTGAAGTGATTTTAATCTCTTAGTTTAAAGGAAGACAGAGAGTGTATACACCCACTCCACTGTGATCGATTCTGAGCCATGTCACCAAAAGTCTCCAACCATTGGTTACGATAGTCACGCGGACCCCAACCAGGTAGTCTGCATCTACCAACATGGCTCAGACCAGAAGTTAGTGACTTCAAACACTGATGCCACGTTTTGGTTTGGCCGCCGCTAACTTTCTTCCAATCATCCCCAAATCCGGTTAGCATTGCACGTCGCGGTAATCGGTGTTCAGGCATACGTAACACGTGGCCCAACCATCTCAGTCGATGAAGATCCACAGCTTCATCAACTGATGTACCATCATTTCCTAATACCCTACGTCCAACCTCACTTATTACTTACCCGGTGATCCCAGCACATACCCGCAATATTTCTAAGGCATCTGTGGTCAAATACTAGTAACTTACGAATATCTTCTACTCTTAAAGGCCAAGTTTCGCAGCCGTAAAGCAAAACAGAACGAACTGCTGAGCAGTATACTCATCCCTTAATTGATAGACAGATATCTCACCTTCGACATAGGTGACGTAAGTTGGCAAAAGCCAAACGAGCTTTTCGAATCCATGCTGAGATAGCTTGTAATTCGTCACCAATTACACCCTACCCAGACCTATCAACTTGCGTAGACCTTATTCTACCGACAAAAACCATGCATGGAGTGAAATATTGCTATCCTCCTACACAACAAACAGTAACAGACAGAAAACAAAAGTCCAATTAAGCAACAGAACTTTTAAAGAATCCTTTTAGTAGTGTAGCCTATGAGAGGGACAGCGTATGTACAGAACTATTGATTAGAGGGCAAGTCATGTAGTTTTATACATAAAGAAACTACGGAAATAACGATAAATTGTAAACTTTCAAGCACTGCTTTGAGTACACTATTGGTTTAAAAAACAGGTTGAGATTGTGAAAATTTTTAGCTCATTTGGATGATTTCGATAGAATCCCCTAAGCTGAATGGATTGATCGTGGAGCTATAATTGTTCTTCTCAATAACATTATTAGCACGAGATTCTAGTGACTTCTACCTTAAGTTTGTGCTGATGTTGTTCGGAAGAAAAATAAAAGCTCTTCGACTAAACTATCCAGCTCAAAGAACGAAGCTCCATCAGGTTGGATAAAGATACAAATTAATCGAAGAAAATTGATGGGAGAAGAAATACTAGACTGTAACTTTAGATTTTAGATTAAACGAGGTTTCTGGGGCTAAATTGAGACATTAGAAAACAGATGGTTTTTTCATTAGGCCAGAAAAGAACTCATTGATTACCACTCACTATATTTCCTTTTGTCACTGTCAGAATTGGAAGAAATATGATAAATATACAAGTCTACTTTTTCGTGTCAGTTTACTGTACTGAAAATATAATCAAAAAAATTACGATATTTCGTTTTTTATAATTTGTTTCAGGAGTATTTCATGGCTATACAACGTGATTCCTGACTAATAGGTATCATCTCTGAACCTTTTTACATTTACTTTAGCTCGTGCAGTCGGGAATTGCTCATTTACAAACGAGACGTGACTCAAAGCTGAAAAAGAACAGTAATGTATGTTACCTAGCACATCAATAGATTAGGTGACAATTATAAGTAACCAAGTGGTAAAAGTAGACACGATTATCCAGACACAAGAACAATGGAAAACCACATGAGAACAGAACCCGAAAGAACGTATAACTACAGTACTATAACATGCTTGAATTCTTCAGCATAATAAAGTGAATTGTCAATAAGTAATTTCACATGTAAAAGACTTATGGTTATTAGCTATATAATTTGTGAATAGTAATTCGAATACAGTGATCAACCAAGAACTAGGACACTTCATTAAACGTATCCTTGATGTGAAGTCATTCGGATTCGTCGCTAGCTTAGATATCGTGTTTACTCCACAAATAAGCCACCAACTTGGCAGCACTTTAAGCACCGAATTATACTTAATGAACCGATGCATGTATGTGAAAGGTTCTACTTCACAACTGACTGGCTGATTGTATGTCAGGCATAGCTATGCCTTGTCAGTCAATCAAAACGTAGGACCTGGTACGTTTGTACATCGATTCAAGTTGCCATAATCAATTAGTACAGAGATAAAAACGTCACGCTAAAATGAAAAAATAGTAGAGGTAGTAACAGTATCAGTGGTAATAGAAAGGATTAGGCGTTGAAGATATGATTCGAGAAAATAGAAATTAGTGGAATAAAAACGACAAAAAATTGGAATCTCAGAATTTGGAGGAAGACAAATAAAAGATGCACCTGGGCCATCCCAAACAATTTTCAGCTATTTCATTCATATCTCTAACCGTCGCTTACGATAATCACGCAGATCCCAACAAGGTAGTCTATACCTAGCAACAGCTCAGTTTGATTGTCAGCAATTTTATGGTCTGATGCCACGTTTTGGTTTGGTCACCACCAGCTTTCTCCTACACCACAAAGCATCGATCACCGAAGTAGGAATTGATCGAGCATATGTAACATGTTTCAACCAACTCAGTTAATGATCGAAAACCAGTAAACTAAGAATTAATATTTATTCGTAACGGCCTTGTAGGATAAAAAAAATCTCAAAGCATAGCACGATCTACTGAGTATAGTCTCTAGATCAATAACCATAAACTGTTAGACATCAGATCTTAATACTTACATTTTAAAACACTTACCATGGGAAAATAACGGGGAGGTACGAATGTTTTAACTTTTCGAACAGAAACCATAGCTGCATTAAATGTTGTTCATACCGAAGTTGCGACCACTCGACCTTGAAGGATTCTGAGACAAGGAAACGTAGAAGTGCCTGAAGCAGGACTAGGGATTTATCGTCAAACTACAAAATTATCAACTTTTAGGAGAGATCAAAACATTTACCGACTCATCCTCTCCTAGAGCAGCGGCAGTTAGGAGTGCGACACGTTCGCGCGGGGCGACAACATTCGAGGATTTTGACTCTTGCACCATTTGCCCACGTGTATCCGTCGAAAAGTTTCTAGCTTGAAGATTGTTGTGCTTGCGCTGATCACATTTTTCACGCTTTTGATATTCTGCAATCAGTGGGCCGAATTCAGGGACCAGATTGTAGAAAAGTCTGTGGCAGACAGTTGTTGCATTTAAGCCAAGTATTTGATACCATATTAAAAATAGCCTTATTCCCCTTTTACGGATAGTGAGCGCATTCTTTTCGTACAGGAGATCTTCAATTACTTCAACTAGATGAAGTGTGTTACTAAAACCACAGAAAACCTACTGATACAGTTATGCTGCCATCTTTGGTGAATATGTTCCGGCAACAATAACAGTACTTTCTGAAAATAAGATCACTCAGAAAAAGACACCACCTCAAATACTGTAAGCACTACCTCTAAATCTTTAATGCAATTACTGCTTCCTATGAAATTGAAATGCCAAAAAACAACAATATACCCTTTAATTTGACATCCCACTCTAAACTAAAGAAACAATCACTAAACACTTGGAATATTAGAGACGAATTTTCAACGAAAAATGGTTGAAGTTCATCATCTGGTAGGTTATCTGAAAGATATATCGGTTAAATAAAACAAGTTTATTCACTACCAATCAGAATCTTCAGGTGCTTTATTTTATGAGTACTTTCTTTTTCGCTTAGAAACTTCTTCCTAGACTTAACTGCGCTAGTATCACTAGGCCTGTGCCTTCGAAACATATCCCAAGCCAAACATTCATTGCCTTTGAAGAATGCTCATTCAATAGACAAGTACATTTGATGCATATAAAAAGCACTCGGACCATAAGATTATCTGACATATTTGTGAGTTAAGAACACAGGGGTTTGACATATTCAAACAGTTCAAATGGTTTTGGACGGAATATAAGAAGCTTTCGCTTAACGGGCTTCGTGCCTAGTAGCGGTGGATCACCAATACCTCCAGGCGGGAGCCTATGTATATTAACGATAAAAGAAGAAAAAGAAATTGGCAGATCGTAGTAATATACTATTCTTAGTCCTTGATAATGTCTCAAGTTTTCTCTCGAAGGACTTTTTAGAAATCGCTTGAACTAGTTAAGCCAACAACTAATTCCAGCATATAACTACTCTCAAGGAGTAAAAATTGTGTTTACTGTCCATTATGCTAAGTTGTGTCCCCAGTTTATGAGGGTTCCCTTTAGTTTTGTGTTGGAGCTAAACTTAAGTAAGTGTTTAAGAGGGTGTCAATAAGTGTTACTGATTCTGTAGGCCATCAGATCACCTCTAATACGCCTGTAAAGTTTCGGTGATTAGATAAGCTCTTCATAGAGCTTTGATTTTAGTCCCCAAACTGATTTCGCTATAGCGTTTCCTTATCCTTTTGGAATGAGAGAGGGAATATTATGTTTCCGTACTCTAAATGGGGACGGACAGAATTGTTGAAAATTATGTGGAAAGTTCTTCCATCTAACTGTCCAGTGCAAGGTTTGCTCGAAAGGCATTCCTGTCACACTTAGCGTAAGACTTAAAATCGTAGGGTACCAGTAGTCCTAATTTTTTTTCAACTTGGGATACTTCTAAAGAGGAGTTGCCTATGTTGTAGCTGTAGTCTGTGACATGTCTCAGATGGACTACTTTACACTTTAAAGTGTTAAAAGTTCGTTGTCATCTGCCCAACTTGGAAGTCCAGTTGGATCCTTCTAAAGTGCCAATTTATCCTCTTGGCTGAGTATCACTCTCAAAAGCCTCACGTCTTCAACAAAGTCTGACAATACCTATTATGGAAGATGGTTCATGTAAGTGGGCTTCCTGTGGATGACTCCATCTAGACACCTGTAGGTGGCAAACAATCTTACTGAGCACCGTACGGATTCATCAAGATTGATAAAATCTTGTTTGCGCACTAGATGTACCTCTAGGCAAGTTAGTGGAAATAAGGTCACTCCACCCTCAATTCCTGTTTTCCTGTCATCGCGAAACAAAGACATCCGGGTATTGCTAGCTCCTGGTCCGTAAATTTAGAAGATATCCATATTTTAGATGTGCATTATTAGCATTGCTGAATTCACACAGCTCATCCCCTTTATTAGGTAAACTCGCGACGTTCTCACACATACTGATTATGCTTTCAATTTGAAACGCATGAGCTTCCTCGTCCTGATTATCTGTATGAGCCTTATACGAGTGGACGAGTACCCTACATATACAGGGTTTTCGGGGTTGGAAGATCCCGTCCGTTCCACGTTTCTTTTATGTTCCTGACAGTCCATAAGTTGAATAGTCAGCCCCAACTTGCCTTTGTGCTTGATCGTGGTATCATGTGGCCTAGCCGGATTCACATGTATTCCACTTGGTAATCGGCGTCTGTTGGCACAAAATGCTTCATGAGTTGCAGCCGCCATGTGGGAGGATGAGAAGATTATCTTCATCGGCCGGGTTTTAAAATACCTGTCGTTATTGGCTAGTCTCGCCGCTTATTGAGTCAATAAATTTTTGAGCTTCAAGGACTGCTTGATGAACTTCCATTCCCGAATATCAATTATTGTGTGGTCGGATTAAGTGTTTTCTGTACACCTTGCACAATGATATTTCTTCCGCGGAGGAACTTCTCGTGAGATTCATTATGAATGTTCCGGATGACATTGGGCTTAAAATACGGTATACCAGGTAGTATTTTTCCTTCCCATCTGATTTTAGTAAATGACTAACCGGTGTGAAATCCTCTACATCGGTGGTGTTAGTGAGCGTTACATGGAGTAGTCTTGGGTGAACTTGACTCTTGGAGTCCTTTTCCTAAATGGGTCTTGAGGCCGTCAAAGGCTCTATTATGGGAAGTCCAAGCTTCTTGTTTAATTCTTTCAAGAGCATTCTGTCATTTTTGTTCTGCGAGCTGATGGGAAGGTTAGGGCTGTCTTTTGGGTTCATGATTATGAGAGAATTACCACGAATCGTGATTGTTTTCCCAGGTTTTCGGGTACGTCCAGGTTGAGGACCTTGTTGTTAAGCGGTCTTTTTGTTGCGTAAGGCACAACGAAAGTTCGAGAAATGCAAATCACTTTAGGGCTACTCTTCCTTTTCGAATATTTATTTACTTTAGTAAGTGATTTAGTTCTCTATTGTGATGAAATTTGCTAACTGTACTCCCAACTGTAGTACTAATCGACATTTGTATTTTGAAGATAGAAGTCCCTTAAGATACTTAATTTATGCTTATTTATCATTATTTAGGTATCTGATGAGTTTTGAAAGCGACATTTAAAGGTGTAGGCAATTTTCTGGTTGTAGTCTCAGTGAGATATCGGATTCAGATTTGTGTATTGAAAGCAGAAGTATCTGACATTGTGTATGCCCATTTAAAAGCCAATGGGATTCGAAAACCGTTAGTTGTGACCAGATTGAAGTGGGCCGTGGTCTTGGGATCATTCAATTTAACCCTCATTACACTTGGAAGTTCATATACATACAATATAAAAAGTAAAGAACCTAGTACAGAGCCTTATAGTACTCCACTAAGTTTTAGTTTTCAGATGGAGCATTGGGAACTTATTCCTACTTTCTGTTTACAACATACCAAGGGACCCTTGGTCTATATCAGGAGGGGTCCCGCAACTCATATATCTTCCAGCTTCAAGAGTAGTCTATTTTTCGGCACCTTATAAAGGACTTTGCTGATGTCCATATGGACATCTTCGATTGGTATCCCACTTTTTGGAGCCTCAATCCGTTGCTCTTTTACTATAAGGACGTAGAGTACTATTAGGCTCTGTACTAGGTTCTTTACTTTTTATATTGTATGTATATGAACTTCCAAGTGTAATGAGGGTTAAATTGAATGATCCCAAGACCACGGCCCACTTCAATCTGGTCACAACTAACGGTTTTCGAATCCCATTGGCTTTTAAATGGGCATACACAATGTCAGATACTTCTGCTTTCAATACACAAATCTGAATCCGATATCTCACTGAAACTACTATCGGAAAAATGCCAGAAAAGCATCTTTATTAAAGACAAACTGTAGCATGAGTCGACTAATATGGTTATCAGGGTCGTGCCCAAGCGGACGTTTCATCGTCCCATACTAATTCGTTTCAAATTTAAACGTCATCAGAGTAAACATTTAGTTATTCTTAATGATTTAATAATTTTATGGCTTTGGACTTTGGCTACGCGAAAAACGTTTAGAGAATAGGTTCTTTATCGCATTTTGACGTCACTGATTCACTCATATTTTCGGAGACTGCCTCGATAACAATCAGACAGACTGACAATCCTGGATATGGATTTGAGATCCACAAAATTTGCGCCAATTTTACAAAAGCTTTTCATTCTTTTGGAAACGCGTATTGCCTTCGAAAGTCTATAGACGGATAACAAATACAGATAATCTGTAAGTTGTATTGTTCAAATCTCTTCTACGTAAATGATTTTAGAATTGATAAAAGTAACAACTGAAAATGCTGGAACACGAACATATAGATGTATCATGGTGCACATCAGCTAACGGGCAATCGTAGGAGACGCGTTTCACGACATTTTAGCACTTAAGGATAGTTAACTAAGCGTCCTCAGGTGGAAGTGTGTTCAGTAAAATTGTCAGCATCATTGTGAAAGATTTACGGGGCTATTTACTGTTACAGTCCTTGACGTTCGAAATCAAATGCTTCACTTGTCTGCTGCCAGGCGTATGCATGCTGATTTTTGTTTGAAGTGTTTTTTCTGATGGATTTCCAACATGAATAACACGGAGTTTCCATTTAAAGAGAATATTTGTTCGAGAACTTTACTGAGTAACTAGTAAGTAATAAAAAGTTACAAAACGTTGAAGATGCGATACCTCTTACAAAAAATCACTTGGGTGACATTATTAAAAGTGCGTTTCCAAACATGGTAACAAACCGTTTGCTATCAAAACAACACCGGCGACAACTATTTGTCTGAATAACTTCACTGAAAGTAAACTAGGTTAATTTTGCTGCATGATCCCTAATAAAAGCTTCATTGACGATATGCTTAAGATGAATCAAACTTCTAGGCTCACGCATTCAGCATGGTAAATCGATGTTTTCATTCACAGGGAAAGTTATGAAGTAACTGAAGGTAGAACTGTGTTTAATGTATTGATGACATTGGTAAGGTCTCTCATGCAAATAACAAGCGCCTGTATACTTATAAAATTCAAAATAGTTCCGCAATTATTATTTCTGAAGGCTAGGCATAAGATAATACATATACTTGAGAATTATAATGGAGGATTAACCCGAATAATGTTTACAACGTTACCAACTACGGTTCGCATGTATGTTTAGAACCCCAGTAATTTGACCGGAGGTCGAGAAAAGATGAGAGATGAATAGTGAAAGCATTTGCAGTAAATAAATGAGAATCTGTATCACATACGTCTTAAAATGAAAGTTACTTGAAAGATGTATTTGAACAAACAGTAATCGGAATCATGCGAATACAATAGAACTGTAAAGTGTATAAAAAATGGCAAATATATGGGGTACAAAACTCCGCTTGTGGCTCTTCCACGGCTGCTGCCAGTTCCAAACCCTAGTGGAGGAAACTGGTTGGGCATGGAGTCGGCAATTCCATCCCATACAAATCAACTTTACTAACTAGGATAAACAAATTAAACCATTCAAACGTTTCATCAGGAGTTGAAGGAAGAATTATGACACCTGATGTTAAAAAGCAAGATTCTTCGGAATTCATGAGGCCGATACCTCTTCTAACAAACACAGCAACAATTTTTATATGTACATGGAACGTCCGGATAATGTGGGAGAC